TGGGAACATTAGCATTGCGCAGAGACACGGTACAGCAGCTGCAAGGAAAGCCAGCTCATACTACATATCCTCTAAAACGCCACTGCCAAAGGTAGGTGCACCCCCGACGGATGAAGGATGGGCAGGGACAGAGACCAGAGTGGAGGAGTAGTCAAAGTGGTGGAGTGCAGCAAATTCAGCGACAGCAGCGATGAGGGCAGCGACGCCACCAAGAGGAGCTGTAGGGTCTGTAACAAGAGAGGCAAGTAAGCGGGAGACTACTGAGCGAGCAGTGCAAGCAGAGTCAGAAGACAGAGCAGAGGAAATGGGTGTGGACGACGGAGGAGGTAACAGTAGGACAGGGATTGGAGGAGCACGGGGACGAAGGACCATAGGGTGGACACGAGCACGAGGAGAGACAGGACGACCAGCATGGGGACAACGCGCCCACGTGTGTGCAACGGGAGACGGTTCAGGGGATGGAGGAGAACGAGGGGGGAAACAATCCAGAGACGAGTCCCAGGGAGAGAACAACGGGCCGTAGACGGGGGCAGGCGAGAGGGGAGGCGCTGTGGGAGGCACAGGGTAGCAGTCAAGGGAACCGGAGGAAAGACCGAGGAGATGAAAGGCAGATTGCGGCTACTGCTGCAACCGGCCCACGCCAAGAACCCCAGCTCTACCACTACCACCGCCAGTACTCTCCGAGTGAGCACCCCTAGAACTAGCACCCTTAGAACCAACACCACCAGAACCACCACCCCCTGGGCCCACATTCCCCCGCTGCTGCTGCAGCTGTGGCTGCGGTGATGGTTGCGGCGGCTGCTGCTATTGCGGTTGCCTCAGCGAGCGAGGCTGCTGAGGTGCCTGGGGCACCGGGGCTGGGGGTAGGGGCGCCGCAGCTACGGTAAGTGCACCCGCAGAGTCAGCAGACTCCTCCACGGGCCCAAGCGAAGGGAGGGGGGTGGCGTGGGTAATACCAGACGGGGTCGGACGTGATGAGAGGGGGGCGACAGGCGGTGCACGGGCAAGTAAGAGAGGGGGAGGATGAACACAAGTGCTTAGAAGGAGACATACTTGTTTAATATAAGGTAACGGGAGCGAAAGAGATGGTGCTGCACCAGGTGGTAGAACGGCTAGGCACCCCCAAACATAGAACGCAGACGCGTCACTAGTGGATCCAGTCCAGAGGAAGGTCACAGAAAACTGTGGCTGCTAGGTGCTAGACCACAGGCTAAGCTGGTGAGCCAAGTACCACACTGCGAACGGCCATATAAAGTGGGGGCACCTGCATTGACCATGGAGGTGTACAAGCCACCTGCATGATCAGGCCTATGCGTCGCTCAACTACCTCTTTCTGGTACAGCGAGCCTGGTAGGGTAAACGTCTGGGTGATGCCATCCATACGGCAGAGTATGCCAAGACGACCAGAGGCAAACTCGCCACCACGGTCGGAGTGAAGGCGAGCACGGGCAAGGAGTGCTGGGCGCAGATGACTCGGTGCCATGGGAGGAGGGCATTAGGCATGTCGGCCTTCCGCTCCAACAGGAATACCATATTATAGCACGAGAAGTTGTCTACGATAACCAAGAAGCAACGCTCCCCGTAAGGTCCAAGGACCGGGGCGGGGCCCCAGTCGTCCATGTGCAGGGTCTGGAGCGGTGCAGTGGCCGAAGGAAAAGAGGAGTGAAGGACGGCATGCTACAGGCCCTTGTCGCAGGTGGTGCACGCAAGCGCTATTGAGGCAGGGAGGACGAGGAGCGACTTGAGAAGACCAATGACCAGGTTGTGCTATGCCATATGATGGAGATGCGAGAGGGCAGGGTGGCCTAAGCAGTGGTGCCAAAGGAATGCCGGGTGGGTGAGGGAGCGATAGGAGTAGGATGGGGTGACCTGGGTGGACGCAGCTACCTAAGGGGACTCCGTGTGCAGTGTGAAGAGACCTAACGCAGGGTCACGGTCAAAGGTGGCAAGGCGGGCACTCGTGGCTGCGTCCGTACAGGCTGCATACTGCACATGGAGGCCTGAATATGATCGACACCAACCAGATTCCTAGCAAACGTGGGAATGTGCAGGCCGGTAAGGGAGCTGGATGGGACAGCTGGGCAGGGTCGTGGTGCTGCGGGCTACGACTATGGCAGGCGAGTCTGCTAGGGAGACTAGTACCGGTGCTGAAAGCGGTGTGAGAGAAATGCGGCCTCTGAAGAAGCAGTGAGACGCTCCAGAGTCGAGTGTGAAGGAGAGGGCTGCCGCAGCGGGGGCTGGTGGGGGAACAGTAGGGGATCCAAGACGAGACACGGCAGAGGAGCCAAGTCTATACACAACAGGATTATCGGAACCCAAACCCAAGGGCACCGACTGCCCTTGAACCCATTCACCAAGGCCTCCACCATGCTCAACACTCCCAGGGCCCCCCACTGCGCCAGCAGTCTGAGCAATGGGGAGGAGATGGGTCTCTATCTGAGTCAAGGATGTGAAGAGGTCGATAGTGAGGTTGGCGGGGTGCAATGCGAGGAGGGCATCGCACACAGGAGCGAGGCGGTCAGTAAGTTGGGTGGCGAGGAGGTAAAGTGTGATGGGGGTGGGGGGGGGGAGCGCAATGAGCTAGGCCTCGGTGTAGGCCGCATAGTAGTGGGCCTCGAGGGAGCGCAGGTGCAAGAGAAGGTCCATGACCATGGGGAAGGAGGCCAGGTCGGGGAAGAGGAATGAGAGGAAGAGGTGACAAAGAGGGGCGGAGGACGGGGTCGAGTACTGGGCGATGATCGCGTCCCAGAGGGCCTGAGCTGTCTCCTCCAACACAAAGTGGGAGTACTCGTCAACCAACAGGCACCGTATGATGACAACCTGCTCGGCGGTGTTGCGTGACTCCCAGACGGAGAGGGCAGTCCTGGCAGCCTCGTACTCTGCACGCTGATCCGACGTCGCTTGGCGCCAAGGGGAGCGGGGCGAGAGGGGGCAAGCAGATCACCAACGAGGTGGGCGGTGAGCGACTCGCCCTCTAGGTGATGGCTCGTCAGCTGCGTGCGCAAGGCGGAAGCCAGGCCACGAAATCGACTATGCGGTCCAGCCGAAGTACGAACACCGACGCCGATGGGGCTGCCATGCCGGCAGGAAACCAAGACGCCCCACGTACCCGGACATCGGCCGGTGCTGACGAGGGCAGTGTACGGCGACAGATTCGACAGCAGCAGTGGCAGTAGGGCCGGTTGCAGGTCCAACAACAGGTCCAGCCGCACGGCCGGCTGCAGCGGCAAATCGCTGGCGGGGCTCAAGCAAGGCGCGAGACAGGACGGGGTGGGCGGGGCGTGGGCACGGGGCGCGATGAAAGGAGCAGCGCGGCAGGCATCAGAGCAATCCTAGCAGCGTGATGCACAAGTTTGGGGAGGGCATCCGAGGACACGGAGTGCTTCGGGATGAGGCAGAAATGGTTCAGAGTGACGTGTACGAGACGGAGCTAGGGCTAAGTCCTGAAACGTGTACGGGTGGTGTATGCGCTTGCAGTGTGGCGCACTAAGAAATGGAAAATTCCTTACATCCTACCTGTCCCGAACATGTCTACTGCAGTCTGACATGCTCTGACACTATGGGGAAGTGACATGGAAATTCCGTGGCTTTCCAATAGAGCCACCTTTGTAGCTCGCAACAGGCCTTGTACAACCTGAAATCGAGTTCATTCTCGTGTAAAATAAATGAGTAAGGGTCTCATATATTTCCAGCCTCGATAAATGTTATCACCTCATAACCGAATGACTACAATGAAGGCATACAAGGGAATATATGGTTGGGTGTTGTACTCTCTAAGAGCACGAACCCTTCTAGGCTACATATACAAATATGTATAAGTTGACACACCACCTAGGCTAGACAAGGGGCAGTGCCTAGCGAGAGACACGCAGCTCAGGGCGGCACTACTAGTCCAACCTTTGAGACAAGAGCCACAAGGCCAGTCAAGATAATATAAGGTATAGTACACAATCAGGGTCCTAGCAAGTGAGGAGCTACTGGAACTAGAGCAAGTTGTGCACGGTGCCGCTGTACGAGTGAAAGAAGCGGTAAGATGGCAAGTGGTAAAAGTGCCAATCAGACGTGTCATGGGGGAAGTCAAGGAAGACACAAGGGACGGTGCGAGCAGTGAGCTTGTCTGCGCCAGAGGCGCGAACGTGAGCAAGGCAACCCTAGGTACGAGCCACCTCCATGACCAAACCGATGCGTCGCTCAGCAACCCCATTCTACTGCGCGGTGTTATGAGTGTTTCACCAGAGTAGCGCGGAATTGAATGTCGAGGTTCAGAATAATAGAATGTGGTACAATGGAATGACGAAGCAATATATATGAACACCAGAGCAATCCTAGCCGCGTGATCGAACAGGTTCGTAGAAGGCATCCAAGGATGCGGAGTGCTTCGGAGTGATGCGGAAATGGTTCGGTGCCATGTTCGAGCCAAAGCTAGGGCAGATGTCGGTGTCGTGTGGGTTTTGATGTGCACGGTAGCAGTGTGGCGCACCAAGGAATGGAAAATTTCTTACACTACCCCCCTTTTAGCGAAGGTGGTCCATATTTGCGACGTGCTTGCGGTATAAACAATCCCGGAGTACAATAGGTAATTGCACCTGTACCGAGGGAACCTACCTGTCGTCCTCACTGGTACGATGAGTCCATCATATCAAGAATTCAACGTGTCATTCGTGACCGTTGATTCGTACGCGATGGCTCAGGATCTTTGCTGGTTCGATGGGCGTTTCTTCGGCTGGCCGATCACTGGCGTGGGCATTTTGATGATATTGAACTTCCACAGTAGCGGGGTCGAAGTTTTGACAGTATCTGGAGGCGAAGGTTTTTGGTGTCAAGGAGGACTAGTTTCCCTGTAGTCAAGGTAATATCTCGTCAGTGGCGGTCGGCATATTGTCGGGCAGTGACATTGGCTTATTGGATAAATTCAATGGCTTTCGTGCGGGTAGTTTAAAGGTGTTTGATGAACTGCTGCGAGCGGGGGACTTAGCTTTCGACGTTGGTGAAAATGGGTACTGTCGGATCCATCCCGTGATTCAGGAAAAATGGCAAGTGATTGGTCGTGGCAGAGGGTGCGTTGTTGTAGGAAAACTCGAGCATGGGTAGCAAATCTTCCAATTTGCTGATATCCGGGAAGTTCGTGCGAATAAACTGTTCCATGGTCCGATTCGTCCGTTCTGTCTGACCGTCGGTTTGCGGGTGATAGGCGGATGTGAACTATAGGCGAGTGCCGTAACGGTTCCACGTAACTTGCCAGATGCGCGAGGTGAATTCTGGGTCTCTGTCGCTGATGATCGCCGTAGGGATACCATGCAGGCAAACGACGGCCGAGATGAACAGATGCGCGGTTTCTTTGGTTGTGATCGTCGTATAACATGGCGCGAAGCTAGCCATTTTCGTGAGGCGGGTCGACGACTACAAGAGCCGCGTCGTTACCAGTTGGTCTGGCCGGCAGGCCGGTGACAAAATCCATTGTCACGTGTTGCCAAGGTCGCTTGGGTGGCTCGAGGGGCTGCAACAGTCCTGCTGACCGCTGGCGTGATGATTTCAATGTATGGGTGGTCAGACACACGCCCACGTACTTCTGTACGTCAGGAATCATGTCCGGCCAGTAATAAAACCACTGGAGTGCCTTCAGAGTCTTGTCAACCCCGAAATATCCCGATAAGTTGGAATCGTGGACTTCTTGAATTCGGAATTCGCGAAGTAGATGATAACTCGGAACCCAAATTCTTCTGTTCCCGCCTTCACGTAATAGGCTCCCCATGTAGTCGTGACTTGTTGGTGGCCGTTGTTTACGAAAAGGGATCGGTCGGATATCCATGGGTAAATAGTTCGCTGAGCAACGCGTTCGTCTGGGCGATTAGTACAGCGGCGCTTTGGGCAGATTGTCTGGAGAGGGCGTCAGCAATGTTGTTGGCACCCTTCTTGTACGTGATGCAATACGTGAAGTTCGACTCCATATAATCCAACCTGCGGATCTGCCGTGGGTTGAGATTCGACTGCGCTCGCAGGTACTGTAGGGATTTGTGATTTGTTCGTACAGTCACGTCGGCTCCCGTCAGGTAGCATCGCCAGATCTTGAACGTGTGCACGATTGCCAACATTTCTTTGTCGTGTACGGGATAATTTCACTCTGCCGACTGTAACTTTCACGAATCATGCGCGATTGGCTAAAGGTCGTCGCCAAAATCCTTTCGCAGGACTGCTCCGATGGCGATGTCACTTGCGTTAGTCACGACTTCGAACGGTCATTCTGGGTCAGCAATCCGAAGTACTGGTGGCAAGATTATAACATTTTTTAATCCGCCGAACGCAGCTTGCTGCTTCTCCCCCCCCTGATAATCAGCACCCTTATGAAGTAGTTCAGTTAGTGCTCCAGTTATCCCCGCCATGTTGGGTATAAATCGGCGCACGTAATTGACAAACCCTAAAAATGATTGCAGCTCCTGGAGGTTGGTCGGCGACTATTATTCCTGAATCGCCTGAATTTTGCGGGGGTCAATCTTTATGCCCTCTGTCAAAATAGCGTGCCCCAAAAACTCCAGTTTGGGCTTTAAAAACTCGCACTTAGAGCCTTTGGTGATGAGACGATTCTGCACATTCGAAGGCCCCCATCTTTCTTGGGTGTAAACAGGATCGGGGCTGCGAACAAGGACATGCTCGCTCGAACGAACCCCTTGGCCAGCAAGTAGTCTAGCTGGTCCCACAATTCCTGGAGCTCGGGTTGCGTCAGCCGCCACTGTGTCCGGGCAGTTGGTTGCGCGCCAGTTTCGAGGTCGAACCAATGGTCCTGAAACTTTTCTAGCGGCAGGCTAGGTGGCAAGTCGTCCAGAGAAATAACTGGGAATTGACGAATCAATATCGTCAGATCTTCGGGGAATGCTGCGCAGAGCTTGTTGATGTCGGTCGGTTTATCGTCGTCCGTTGATTCCTTCAGATGGACGGCATACAGTTTTGCGCCTTTCTTGACCGCGCATGTCAGCGTGATAGCATTGACGCATGTCGTTATCGACTCTGCTCCTCGCCAACTTGGCAGTTTCTGCCAACCATTCGCACACTTCACAGTGCATTCGCCAGTTGTCCATTCGATCCGCGGGTTTTATCGCCGAAGCCAATCGCGTCCCAGCAGCACATCATAGCCGTCGAGTGTCGTCGCCAGCATCGGATCGCTGAAGCCAAAATTGTCACCACACTTCATGCGAACAGTTTGCACGAGATCGCGTATCGCCAGCGGGGTGCCGTCGACCAATTGGGCGTCGATCTCGGGCAGACACTGCTCCAGGGGTTTTTTTTTTTTTTTTTTGCCGTCAGTCGCTGAATCAGGATATAGCTCGCACCACCATCAATGAAGATATTGATTTTTTTGTCGTTAACCCTTCCTTCTACTAGCACAGGGTGATCCTCAGGTTCATCCCCGTTATTCGTCCAAGAGCGGTCGATAGCGTGTACCGGTACCACTACCCGGTGGAGATGTTGTTTCTCGGGCGATGCAACCGTATCAGTAGGGGGCACGTCTGCTACTGACGAGAGTCGTTTCCTGGCTTGTCCCCATCGTTGTTTTTCTTTTGCTTCAGGTCAGGGCAGTCAGCATATCGGTGACCCGGCTGGTGGTTGTGAGAACACTGTCGCTTCCTGCGATCTTCATCGTTCGCCACAATGTCATTGATCGAGGGCCATTGATCCTGGCCACGAAAACGATTTCCCTCCCGGGAACCCGATATCGCGTATTTTTTCTTGGTGTCGTACAGGTCAGCGATCACCACTGCTTCTTGGAACGTTGCTAGGCATCGCATCCTCACTTTTGTAACGAACGTCGGATTTGAGCCCCACGACGAACTGATCCTTTTTTTCAACTTCTGATAGGTCGGTGATTTGGTCGCACAATGCCTGAAATGATGACGCATAATCCTGGACAGAGGTCAACTGGCGCCAGGTGTCCAGCTTCATGTGTGCGTTGTCTGAGGTGGATATGGGCTCAAAACATGCGCGCAGAGCTGTACCCCACGCTTTCCACGTGTGAATCTTGGTCGATCCGAAAATTGACGTTGCCTCTTGGGCCGCAGATTCCAAACTCCCGAAAAAACCCCTGAGTGTTCCCTGCAAAAGTCCCTGTCTCACTTAGCGTCGATCGCCACCAATCCAGTGCAGGTCCCCTCTGTAGCGGAACAGACAGTTTGATTTATAAATCAACAACAGAAATCCTGACAGCATCGAAATAAAGCTCCATCGCAAAAAGCCAGCCCGTCATGGTGGTGTTTTTGTCCATGGGGTTAAAAGGGGGCGGCATCGGCAACTTTATCTTGGCCACTGGTACAGTTGGTGTGGCTGTGGCTACTGCATAAACTATTGCTGCTGCTTCGGAGCGGGTAGTGGCCGTTGTAGCAGCTGCTTCAACTGCCGTGGCACATGCGGCGGCATTTGTTGCTGCTTCAGCTTCATCATCACGGCGCTCCTGCGACACTTCGCGTGCGATTTTGTCCAATATCGTTTCAACACGTCCCGTGTTGGCGGCATCCTCTAGTGCGGGTGGCTTCTTACTCGTAGTCTCTTGTGCCTGTCGAAGTTCGGTAACTTCGGCGCTAAGTCTCTCATTGTCGTTGAACACAGCTTGCAAGCGAGCATCCGTGGCGGCGAATTTCGCCAGCAACTCATCGAACGGTGCCTCGTCCATGTGGCGGACACTACGCCGGGTGGGCAAGGGAATATCCATGATTACCATGCTCAGGTAAGAGCGCAAACGCTATTGTAGTCGGGCGAACTAATTTGTCTAATTTGCGGCCAACCACTTTGCAGCTCACTGAGCGAATCACTCCCCCCCCGAAAAAGGTTTTCCGTCTACAGAAGCGGGTAGGTGAGGAAAGTAGCTCTGAATATCAGATGGCAGGAGTGTTTCACCAGAGTAGTGTGGAATAGAATATCGAGGTTCAGAATAATATAATGTGGTACAATGGAATGACAAAGTAAGATATAGGAACTCTCAGAGTAGCCGAATGAACTAGAATTAAGGGTACACGATAGTTTTGACCTAATGTGTTGTACTCTCTAAGGCATGCCCCTATCTAGTCCACAGCAGCATATACAAAAATGTTTGACACACCCCCTAGACTGGACAAGGGGCCGTGCCTGGCAAGAGACAAGCAACTCAGGGCGACATTGCTAGTACAACCTCTGAGAGAAGGGTCTGAAGACCAGTCAACAAGAGTACAAACTTGACAAGAGCAAACAAGGGCGGCACTACAACTCTGGCCACTAGAACAGCTGCCACAAGGCCAGCCAAGAAGGTATATATAAAGAGGAGTACACAATCAATGTCCTAGCAAGTGAGGAGCTCTAGGAACTAGACCAAGCTGCAAACAGTGTCGCTGATGATCTTTAGGCGCAAGCGCCTTAGTAAAGATATCAGCAATGTTGGAACCGGAGGCCAAGTGTACTACGCGGACCTGGCGGCGCTGCTATAGCTCACGCAGGAGGAAGTACCGCAGCTGGATGTGCTTCGCTCTGCCCTCGAGTCGAGGCTCCTAAACCAGGACGATCATGGCCCTGTTGTCAGCATACAGGACTAGGGCAGAGCGGGACCGCTCACCTAAGTCGGTGAGCAAGAATGTCCGCCAGCGGAGCTCCAGTGCCGCCATCGCACCGGTGTAGATCTCAGCCTCACAGCTAGACTTGGCAGCATACGACAAGCAAGTGGACCTCCACGAGATGGCACATGAACCAAGGCTAAAGCACTAGCCACGGGAGGACCTGAGCGTCTCAGCGTTGTTTGCCCACGAAGTGTTTCTGGGCCCTGTAAGGACCACTAGCCTGCGTCCTCCCAGCATGAGTCTCATGCCCAATGTACTTGCTAGATAACGCAAAACCCTCTTAGCTGGCGACCAGTGCTGTGGTCGGTGTCTCCCTGTGGTCACAAAGCGGGCCAGGATGCTGAAAGGGTATGCGAGATCTGGACGAGTGCAAATCATGAGGTACATGAGGCAACCCACCAGCTCTGCGTAAGGACCACTAGGCTCTACTAACTCCTCACGAATAGGAGCAGAGAGCCTGTGGTGTACTGGCAGAGGTGTGGGCTGTGCAGAGGAGAACTGAAGACCGAACCTCTGAAGGATCTGTCCCTAGAGATCTACAGGCCAAGGTAGCAGTGCAGCTCTCCTAGGTCAGTGCTGGTGTGTCTCCTCAGGAGCTCAGCTCAGTTAGTACGACTCTGTCTGCAGTAGCAAAGACCAGGTCATCTACGTAGACAAGGATGTAGGACGGAGTCTGACCAGCACGAACAAAGAGCGAGGGGTCTGCAGTAGCAAAGATCAGGTCATCTACGTAGACAAGGATGTAGGACGGAGTCTGGCCAGCACGAACTTCAGGTCAGCTAGCGTAGCGCGCAGCGTGTCTTGCCACTCACAGGGTGCCTGTTGCAGGCCGTAGATCGGGCGCGAGAGGAGCCACTCGGTCCCAGGAGGGAAGGTACCAGTAAAGCCCTATGGAAGACTTGCTCGTGTAGACTACCCTGAAGAAACGTAGTGGAGAAGTCGATGGAGTGTAGCTCATAGTCACGCTGTGCTGCTACGCGTAGCAACGCCCGAAGAGTAGTCATCTTCAGGTCGGGGCGAAGGCCTGAATGAAATCCACACCCTCGCGCTGACTGAAGCCTCTAGCAATGTAGCCCGCCTTGAACACAGGCGGCTCTCAAGGGGGGGCGCTTCACCTTGAAGAGCCACCGGCCATCGACTACGTTCACCACAGGCGGGGGAGCTGCGTCGACGAAGGTACCGATGGATCTCCAAGATGCCATCTCCTGCTCCATGGCAGCTATCCACTAAGAGGCCCAGGGTGCCGAGGTCGCCTCAGCGTAAGTGCGAGGGGTCGAGATATCAAGGGTGCCTGGGTCACCCTTCGGGACAAGCAGTATGGAACAGAGATGGGGAGCGTCCTCAGACATGAAAGCAAGCTCGTACTGTCTGTCCTCTAGGACGTCACTGCCAAGGGAAGGAGCACCGCCGACAGACGGAGGGCAGGCAGGGCCAGGGACTAGAGCTGTGGCGTAGTCAAGGTGGCGGGTAGAGGCAAAGTCAGCGACAGCAACGACAAGGGCGTCAAGGCTCGAGACAGGAAAAGACGGGTCGGTAACGAGGGAGGCAAGGACCCGAGGAACAAGAGGACGAGCGGTACGAAGGTAGTCAGACATAGGAGGCAGAGCGACAACAAGCGACGATAGAGGAGGAGAAGGGAGGAGGGGAGGACGAGATGCGTGGGAACCAAGCAACATGGGGTGAGAGCGCTGGACAGGAGAGAACCCTGAACCTCCAGCTACACCACGGCTACCTCTGTAACGCTCCACTCCAGCACCCTTAGAACGAGAACCCTCTCCAGTACCAGGGCCACCCCCGAGACCGCCGGGACAAGCCACGATAGGAACCCTAGGACTAGCACCCCAAGAACTAGAACCCTCTAGAACGTCCGCACCCCCAGAGCGACGGCTGCTGCCGCTGAGGCGGCGGCTGCTGCTGCGGCTGCCACGACGCCTGTGACTACTGCTACGGTGGCGACGATGGCGGCTGCTGCGACGGCGGAGGAAGGGACACCAGGGTTGAAACAGGCAGCGAGAACTGTGCCGTAGGGCCACTAGAGTCAGCCGACTCCTCGACTGGGACCACCGACGGGAGGGGAGTGATGTAAGACACACCAAACGGAGCTGGACGGGGAAGGAAGGGAGCAGGGGCTACCGAGGGAGTGGGAACCAGAAACAGGGGCGGGGAAACCGGGAGACCTCGGTGGGGAAAGTAGTGGTAGAAGGAGACAGACTCATCGAAAGTGAAGTCACGTGAATGAAAGAAGCGGTGAGACGGTGGGTGGTAAAAGTGTCAGTCAGACGAGTCAAGGGGGAAACCATGGAAGACACATGGGACAGTGCGGGCAGTGAGCTTGTCCGTGCCAGAGGCACGAACGTGAGCCAGGCTGCCCAAGATGTGGAACGCGGACGCGTTACCAAGGAACCCGGTCCAAAGAAGGGTCAGCGAAATCTGCAGGTTGCGGGGGAACATCGCAAGGGGGGCACCTGAGGCGGCCTCGGTACAGACAACATACCGCTCGTGACCAGGGAACGTTGTGGTGATGTCGAGGTCCTGAAGACAGCCGACACCAACTAGGTTCCTAGAGAACGAAGGGATGTGCATGCCTGTAAGAGAACCCAAAAGAACCGCTGGACAGGGAAGGGTAGTGTAGCTACGGGCAACGACAGGACCGGAGGAGGGGTTAGCAAGTGCGACAGCGGCAAGACTGCAAGCGGTGTCAGTATGTCGTGGTTGCGGAAGAAGCAGGAAAACGCACCAAAATCAGACGTAAAGGACAGCGAAGCAGAAGCTGCAGCTGGTGGAAGAGCGAGCGTGGAGCCTAGACTAGACAAGGCAGAAGGTCCTACGCCTGACGTAGCAGGGGGGGCGGTACTACACACAAGCAAGACACCTAAAATAGGCAAGGTAATAAGATCCGGGCACACTAGAAGCATCAGCATACAGAGAATGCAGGGCATAACAGATCTGATCCATATCTCACTCAAAGACAGGCACACTGTGGCACAGCAAACTGGCCTAGTCAAGGAGGTCCGGCGCCGGGCCGAAGCGGCGACGAAAAGGGTCGTCGAGGCGGCAGAAGCAGCGGGCGATTGGGTGCGGGCGACGACACACAGTGCCGTGGAGGCGGCCGGTCTGGAGCTGGTACTGTCAGCCCCCAGCACCGAAGCTGCCGGCCGACGCCTAGCTGCGAGGGCCGCAAACGCGGCCACCCCCGCTAGAGGCACCCGGCCACCCTTGCACTAGGCGGGCCCACGACTGCTGCTCCTGCTGCTGCGATGGCGGCTGCTGCAGCTACTGCTCCTGGGCACCAGCCCCGGTCCACTCGTCGGACCCACTGTCCTTGTTCTCACCACCACCACTTCCACCACCCCCACCACCCCTGCCACCACGCCCCCCCTTAGGGCCTCGACGACCCCAACGTTGGCACAGCTGCGTGGAGGCCGCAGCTGCGGTCTCAGCGGCAGGGGCTGTCGTAGCGACAAGCCCTGAAAGATGGGGATTGCCGCCGTACCGCTTCACTGAGCGATAGTGCGCTGGCGAGTCTCTATCTCAGATAGGGTGGTGACAAAGGCGGTAAGGGTGAGGTCACCTGGGTGCTAACTATGGAAGTGGTCGCGGGCAGTGGCTAAGGGGTCTGGAAGGAGCATGGCAATGAGGTACAGGGTAGCGCAAAATGGCGCGGGCGAGGTAGTGAGCTGGGCCTAAGTGCTAGCGGCGCGGAAGCTAGCCTGAAGATCAGCTACTAAGGGGAAAGTGGCGAGATCTAGGAACAACATGGGGAGGATCAAGCGGTCAGTAGAGGCGGAGGCGAGCGTGGAGTAGCGCGCAACTACGGCATCTGAGAAGTCCTTGGCGTTCGCGGTAGCAGTGAAGCGTGGACGCTTAGACAGGGGAAGAGCATGACTAATGGGAAGCTGCGCTACGGTATCGCGCAAATCCCAGACAGTGCGAGCAAGCGGAGCAGCATAAAAGGCCTCACGCTGAGCAGTGGTGGGGTCAGCAGGGAGGGGATCAGGCGCGAGGGGGTGGGGAAGCAAGCCATTGACATGCACAGCCAGGGAGTGCCCATCCTGGCGCTGACTTGTGAGGTGACGGCATAGATCGATAAGCCAAGCGGCGAGGTCGATCGCATGCCCCTCCGTGTCCAGGCGGAGTACAGAGTCCGCCATCATACGACCTCAGCGACCCGACTCAACGGCGGCACGGCAGAACAGCGACACAGCGGCACAGCTACACAGCGGCACAGCTAGGGCGGAAGTAGGTCGGCGAACCTAACCTAAGCTGATACCATCTCAGAGTAGCAGAATGAACTAGCAGGGTACACAGTAGTTTTGACCTAATGTGATGAAATCTCCAAGGCATGCCCCTATCTAGTCTACAGCAACATATACAAATATGTTGGACAAGAACACCTGAGCAATCCTAGCCGCATGATCGAACAGGTTCATAGAAGGCATCTGAGGGCGCGGAGCACTTCACAATGACGCGGAAATGGTTCGGTGCCATGTTCGGGCCGAAGCTAGGGCAGATGTTGGTGCCCGTGTGGGGTTTGATGTACGCGGTAGCGGTGTGGCACTACTAGTCCAGCCTCTGAGGCAGGGGTCTAAAGACCAGTCAAATAAGTGCAGACAAGGCAAGAGCAAGACCAGGGTGGCACTACTAGTCCAATCACTGGGAAGAGGCCATAAGGCCAGCTTGAGTAAATATATATAAAGGTCTGTAAACAATCAAGGTTCTAGCAAGTGAGAGGCTACAGGAACGAGACCTTGCTGTACACAGTGCCGCTTATGATCATTAGGCACAAGCGCCTTAGTAAAGATATCAGCTGTGTTGGCACCGGAGGCCAAGTGTACTATACAAGCCTGGCAACGCCGCTGCAGCTCGTGTAGGAGGAAGTACCGCAGCTGGATGTGCTTCGCTCTGCCCTCAAGTCGTGGCTCCTGACACAGGAGGATCATGGCCCTGTTGTCAGTGTACAGAACCGGGGCAGAGCTAGGCCGCTCACCCAAGTCGGTGAGCAAGAATGTCAGCCAGCGGAGCTCCTGTGCCACCATGGCACCTGCATAGATCTCAGCCTCACAGCTAGACTGGGAAACAGACAAGGAATGGGTGGACCTCCACGAGATGGCACCTGCACCAAGGCTAAAGGAGTAGCCGTGTGAGGACCTGAGAGTCTCGGCATCGTCTGCCCAAGAAGCGTTTGTGTGCCCGGTAAGGACCACAGGTCTCCGTCCTCCTAGCACTAGCCCCATGCCCGATGTACTTGCTAGATAACGCAAAACCCTCCCAGCTGCCAACCAGTGTTGTGGTCGGTGTCTGCCTGGGGCCACAAAGCAAGCCAGGATGCTGAGAGGGTATGCGAGATTTGGACGAGTGCAAGTTATCACGTACATGAGGCAACCCACCATCTCTACGTAAGGACCACTAGGCTCTACAGCCTCCTCAGGGACTGGGGCAGAGAGTCTGTGGTCTACTGACAGAAAGGTGGGCTGTGCGGAAGAGAACTGAAGGCCAAATCTCTGAAGGACCTGGCGCACCAAGTGTGACTGTGAGAGAGTGATGGTGCGCGCTGCTCTGTCCCTGGAGATCTGCAAGCCAAGGTAGTGGTGCAGCTCACCTAGGTCAGTGCAGGTGTGTCTTCTCAGCAGCTCGGCCTTCACGGCGGCCAGTGTGTCTCTGTTTGCAGTAGCAAAGACCAGATCGTCTATGTAGACAAGGATGTAGAACAGAGTCTGGCCGTAATGGACAGAGAGCGAGGGGTCTGCAGACGAAGGAAAGAACCGCAAGTCAGCAAGTGTAACACGCAGCGTGTCGTGCCACTCACGGGGCGCCTGTCTAAAGCTGTAGACGGGGCACCTGAGGAGCCACTCGGTGCCAGGGGGGAAGGTACCGGAGAAGCCCTGGGGGCAGCGTAGGTAGACCTGCTCATGTAGACTGCCCTGGAGGAAAGCTGTGGAGAAGTCGAGGGAATGCAGCTCGTAGTCACGCTGTGCAGCTACGTATAGCAGCGCCCGGAGAGTGGTCATCTTCGGGGTCAGGGCGAAGGTCTGAAAGAAGTCCACCCCCTCATGCTGACTGAAGCCTCGAGCGACGTAGCATGCCTTGAAGGCAGGCGACTCTCCAGGAGGGCGCTTCACCTTGAAGAGCCACCGGCCATCGATTACGTTCACCCCAGGTTGGGGAACTTCGTGGACGAAGGTACCGGTGGATCTCCAAGATGTCATCTCCAGCTCCATAGAAGCTATCCACTAAGAGGCCCAGAGTCCCGAGGTGGCCTCAGCGTAAGTGCGAGGGGTTGAGATGTCGAGGGCGTCTGGGTCACCCTCAGGGACTAGTAGCATGGAAGAGAGATGGGGAGCGGCCTCAGACAGGAAAGCAAGCTCGAACTACGTGTCCTCTAAGACGTCACTGCCAAGAGCAGCCACACCCCCCACGGTCGGAGGGCAAGCAAGGTCAGAGACCAGAGCGGTGGCGTAATCCAGGTGGTGGGTAGCGGTAAAGTCAGTGACAGCAGCGACAAGAGCCGGCAGACTCGAGACAGGAACGGACGGGTCGGTAACGAGAGAGGCAAGGACACTCGGAACAAGGGGACGCGCAGCACGGAGGAAGTCCGAGAACGGAGGCGGGGCCACAGCAAGCGACGATGGAGGAGGAGAGGGAAGGAGAGGAGGAGTACGTGACACGTTAGAGTGAAGCAACATACAGTGACGGAAACAATTGTTTGTATGTTTTGCACTAATTTGGGTTTCTTTTCTTTAAGACCACTATACATTAAGCTTTAATGTTTAATGGTGGTAAGATTTGGGAGGGGCACATTTTGGATATGTTCACAACACAAAAATCCAGAATAGTACATTGGATCTAACCCATATTCCATAAGATAAAACAATGGGTACATCCGGACAAATAGTTCCAAGTAGAGAGAGCAATCTTCAGAACTGCGTTTCTAGTACATAGCCCACCGACCTTTGGCCTTGATCACCACCTGCACCCTCCTAGGCATGTTACCTACGAGGCTAGTGCAAACCTTGGCAGGGAGCTTCGTGCTCTCTTCCTAAACCCCCCATTTTGCATAAGGGGGTGAGCACTAGGAAAAACGCCAAAAAATTGGGCCTAGGCAAGGGCATTGTGTACCATTTTGGATTGAATGGTATCTTTGAGACTAGCCATGCTGAGGTGTAGTCAAAGATGCAATTAGCCAATCGGCCCCATGTCATTTTGGATCGTCTTCGTCGTCCTATTGTAGGGTAAAATCACAAATAGAGAGGCCAAAACTAGCGTAGACACCGCGAAACTGAGGGTAACGTTGCACGGTTGCCTGTGCACCCTTGCACCATTAAAATCACACTAGAGTCTACGGGTCTAGTCACGGGGCAGCAGTCGTAGAAGTCATGACTGTTCTGGAAAAACATTAGGGGCCGGCTCCAATTCGTGGAGTCACATGCTGAGTGAACAATTAATGTTCGAAAGCATGTGATCTCGTCAAATAGGACAAGCATCAACTGCTTCAGCTCCAATGACTGCACATTTGCCTAGATTTGTGAAGGCACAACCCTGCAGCACCACCAAATTAAACAGACGGTAAACCATGGGGACAATGATCGGTGATGATGTGGGGATGTATGACATGTGCGAGGTTGGGGCTCATATGCAAGATTCACGAGCGCATGGACAGGCCCCTGTATGAGGGCATTTTGCACGATGAACTCGAATTGGCCCTCGATTTCTCTAGCATTTTCCCCTCTGAGGTCATTTCGGTGTGGACAATGACCCAAAGAATTTGTCATGCCTAGTGCAGGAATGACTTGGAGAACATGAGTATGTAGCCCTAGAGTGGCCTTCTTCCTCATCAAACCTCAACCTCTAGGCTTACCTGAAAAGGGGGTTGGCCCAACATAAAAAGCCTTCCTCAGAAATGCAGGAGCTTTGGGACATGGTACAGGAAGAATGGGGGAAGATCCACGCCAAGGTTTGCTCAAGCCTCATCGACAGCACTCCTAGGAGGGTGCGAGCGGTGATCAAGGCCAAAGGTCGGTGGGCTTGGTACCATAAATGCAGTTCTGAAGTTAGCTCTCTCTAATTGGAACTATTTGTCCGGATGTACCCTTTGTATATCTTTTGGGATATGAGCTAGATCCAATGTAGTATTCTGGATTTTTGTGCTATGAGCACATCCACTATATGCCCCTCCCTAATCGTACCACCATTAAACATTAAGGCTTAATGTATAGTGGTCTTAAAGCCTAGAAAACCAAATTAATGCAAAACATACGGACAACGGTTTCCGTCACTGTAGGGTGAGAACGCGAAATAGGGGAGGTAGGACGAGCACGAGACGGACAATGAGACCAGACGTGAGTCGGAGGAGTCGGGTCAGGAGAGAGGAGAGGAACTACAGGAGGAGAACGGGGAGGGAAACGAGCCAGAGAGGAGTCCGGAGTAGGAAACACGGGGCCGTGGATGGGCAGAGGAGGAGGCGGCAGCAGCGGGGGAGGCAGTGACGGGCGGTCAGGGGAAGGGAGACCGAGGAGACGAAGAGCGGACACCGGCGGCGACAGCTGCGACTGCTACCCGACACCAACACCAGAACCTCCAGCGACAACGCGGCTCCCTCCAAGAAGCCCCACGCCGCAACCCCAAAGCCCGCTCCAGAACTAGCTCCAGCCTGCTCCCCAGCACCCTTAGAACACACGAACCTCAACGGCGGTGACAGCGGCGGCTGCGGCTGCGGCGGCAGTGGCGGAGGCGGCTGCGACGGGGACAGCATCGGCGGCGACAAGGGAGGCCAGACCGAGGCAGGAACAAGTGGGGGAAGAGACACCGCCGAGCCGCGAGAGTCAGGGGACTCCTCAGCAGGAACATCCAATGGGAGGGGGGTGATGTGAGACACACCAGACGGTGCTGGGCAGGGAGGGGGGTGGACAGGGTCGACCAGGGGAAGGGGGGGCACCAGGAACTGGGGGGATTGACCGGGGGACTACGGTGGGGAAAGCGGTGGTAGAAGGAGACAGACTCATCAAAAGTGACGTCACGAGAGTGAAAGAACCTGTGAGAAGGCGGATGGTAGAACTGCCAATCTGATGAGTCGAGGGGGAAACCTAGGAAAACACAGGGGACAGTGCGGGCAGTGAGCTTGCCCGTGCCAGAGGCACGAACGTGTGCAAGGCAGCCCCAGACATGGAACGTAGACGCGTCACCACGGGACCCGGTCCAGAGGAGGGTTGGCGAAACCTACGACCACTGAGGGTGCGGCCAGAGGTTAAGCTAGTGAGCGGCGTAGCGAACGGCGAACGGCCACAGAAAATGAGGTGCACCAGCATGGATCATGGAGGTACGAGCCACTTCCATGACCAAACCGATGCGTCGCTCAGCGACCCCATTCTGCTGCTCTGGGGCACCAGCCCTAGCCCCCTCGTCAGTATTACCTGCGAGCAAGCCACCTCCACCACCGGCACCACCCCCTCCTCCGCTACCTCCGCCGCGCCCAGCCTTGGGGCGGCGACCCTTACCCGAACGAAACTGCACTGCGGCGGCTGTCTCCACAGCCGGAGCTGTCTCAGCAACCGCAGTAGAACTGTCGGAGTAAGAGCACTGAGCAGGGGCACAGCCCTGAAAGATAGAGACTGGCACAGTACCACTAGACTGGGCGATAGAGCGTTGACGGGTCTCTATGGCAGACAGGGTGTCGACAAAGTCAGTGAGGGTAAGGTCAACGGGGTGGAGACTAAGGAAGTGATCGCGGGTGGTGGCAAGGCGGTCAGGAAGGCGGGTGGCAAGCAGGTAGAGGGTATTGCAGATGGGGGGCTGAAACACACGAAGCTGAGCCTCAGTGCAAGCAGCGCGCCAGGTCGTGTCTAGTGTGAGCAGGTGGGCGGCTAGGTCAGCGACAGTGGGGAAAGACGCAAGGTCAGGAAAGAGCATGGGCAAGATCAGACGACCAATAGAGGCAGAGGGCGGGGTGGAATAGCATACGGCAACAGCCTCTAGGAACTCCTGACGGACCTAAAGGGGGGGCACTAAGACAGGGGAAGGGCGTGACTAATCGCAAGCTGTGCTACAGAGTCACGCGACAACCAAGCAGCACGGGCAAGGGCAGCAGCTGCAGCGGACTCACAGTCAGCAGAGGTGGGGTCAGCCGGGAGGGCAGCAGGGGGTTCCGGGAAGGGGAGCGTACTGTCGATGTGGATGACCAGGGAGTGGCCGTCCTGCCGCTGACCAGTCATGTGTCGCTGGAGGTTGACGAGCCACGAGTCGAACTCAATCGGCTGCCCCTCAGCATCAAAACGCAGGGCCGAGTCCGCCATCATGGTTGCAACAGCAGGAGACAGACAGTACTGGGCAGGAGAGCGCGCCGGAAAGCGGTGATGTGTGGTGCAGTGCGGTACTGCGCGGTACTGCGCGGTGGAGGGAGGTGCAGTACGGTAGGGTGCAGTGTAGTGCGGTGCAAGACGGTGCAGTGCGGTGCCGTGCAGTACAGAGCGGTGTCGGGTGGTGCAGCGCGGTGCAGAGGGGCCGAGGACGGTGGCGAGGTGTCTAGAAGACGGGGCCGCGGGCGGCAAGGCGACGGGGCTGGCAAAGAGGCGGGGCCGGCAGGGAGACGAGGCTGGCTGGGCGACGAGGCCGGCTAGGAGGCGGGGCCGGCTGGGAGGGGGGTGGGGCGGCTAGAATGGGGGCCGCGGGGCCGCGAGGTGACGGGGCCGGGGGGCCGCGAGGTGACGGGGCCCGGGGGCCGCGAGGTGACGGGGCCGCGGGGCCGCGAGGTGGCTAGGACCTAGGGCGGAAGCGCTAAGAGGAGGGGGGGGGGGGGGGGGGACCTACCTTCTCATGATACCATGTTCAAGTGAAAGAATGTCGAGAACAAGGCGTACAAGGGAACATAACCTAATGGGTTGGACTCCCTAAGGCACAACCCTTGATAGTGTACAAAAACATACAACATATGTTTGACAGATTCTTGCGGTAAATGGAAAACCGTTGCTGACATGTTAAAGGCAATCGTTGTAGGCTTGAACTCGTAGCGTATCCTGCCTTACCTTCGCATTCATTCCTAGCAGCCTTAGATTGATTAATTTACATTAGTACAACGGTAATGCTGTTGTGCAAGACCTTACATAGCGTGTCTCGTATCATTGGTGAGGTCAAAGAATGTCTCCACTCTCTTCTTTGCCTGACTCATCAGAATCTCATCCACGATCCACTGCAACCACAAGGGAAACAAGGAAGCGGAAGGAGTGGTGCAAGGAAACGGTGTTGTTTGAGCCGAGACACGTACTGTTGAATGCATGTTGTAAACATATGATAGGGTTGGGCCAAGACATGTACGCCTCAAGAAGGCACGTCTCTTCCCCATCCTTTCCCCCATCTCCCCCCCACCCCCTCTCTCCCTACACACCACCCCCAAACCCACATCCACCCCCTCCCTTCTCGCACCTGCATTTGTGCGTCAAAGACTGGCTCGGCCCCGAGTTTGATTCGGTGCCGCTCCATGAGCTCCCGGCACCCCTTGTACCAGTCGCTGCCGGGCGCCCAGAGGTGGCGGTAGTCGGAGAGCACGTGGATCTTGTAGAGCGAGGCGAGCGGGCTGAAGAACCCCGGAGTGCGCTCGTTCGACGCTATGTACACGTGGCGCCCCGGCTGGATGAACTTGGGAAGAGTCTTGAGCAGGCTGAGGGGTAAGGGAGAGTGGGGGGGAGGGAGGAGAGAGGATGAGACCAGGGAGTGATTGAGGGAGGGAGCAGAGGAGAAAAGGAAGGGCGGGGAGGTTTCAGTGGGGAATGAAAAGAGGGAGAGATGGAGAGGAAAAGGGGACGGGCATGGAGCACAAGAATGCTAAGAGATGCGAAAGTGAAGCCCCTTTCGACTGCTGGTGCTCAAACCCATCTAACGACTTTCCACACCAAGGAATGCACACACCAAACGCTACAGAATAGAAATACCGCATCGACCACGAATAGGTGCGGCAGCAAGACACCCCCCGCCAAAACGCCACCTGAAGCTAAGAACTCACCACACACTTTCCCCCACCACCCATTGCCCCCACCCTATCCATTACCCAACCCCCATCCCCACGCACGCGTCGGGCCGCGTGTCCCGGTCAAGGTGCGGCCAGAAGTGGCGGTTCAGCTTGTCGCCGCGCCGCACGTGCACGCTGACATAGCCAAACCCCATGCTGCGCTGAATTGCCTCCGCCACTCGCCACAGGTACTTGGGCCGCTGGATCAGGTTGTAGTTGCGCACCAGGTGCTTCTGAAGAGAGGGGATCGAGGGGTGGGGCCGAGAGAGGGAGGACGGGTGAGAGGAGGAAGCTTTATCACTACAAAAATCGGGTGAATGGGCCGCTCAAGCCGCTGCGCCAGATTGTAGTTGAGGACAAAGCGTGGTTTTTGTGGTCAGGAAGTGGGGCAAGGGCGCGGTTTGGGAAGAGAGGGTAAGAAGAGACAGAGGGGGAGCGTAGAGTGATGGGGAGAGGGGGGGGGGGAAGAGAGAGAGCCAACTGGCAGAAGCAAGAAATTCTGTTTCAAGCCAACAAGCAGAGAACGGAAGAGGGATCAAATTGCAATTGCAACTGTTAAAAGCGGATCAACATGCCTTGCAATTGCAGTGCACCAATTGCATTCCCTTGCACCCACCTCACTCCCACGCACGCACCGCATTCCCTGGCAGGGCGCAGATCTCATAAGCGAAGCGTGCTTGGCGCACGATCAGCGTGGCGCCCCGCGCCTCCGCACTCTCCAGGCGGCTGGTGGGCTCGCGAGCTTGGAACTCGTGCACGCTCATGTTGTGGCGGGCCCGGAGGATCGTGGCATTGAGAGAACCAAACCGTAGCTCGAATTGGAGGTCCAGCATTATGGGCTGGATGCTGGGATGGATTGGGAAGGGGGAGGGGGAGGGGGTGCGAGTAGGATGAGTGCAAGTTGGCTTCGAGAGGGTGGCGGGTTAGAGAGATCGGGCTTGGAGTTGCGCTCACAGGTTTACAGAGGCCAATTTTACAACCCAAATCCAGCCCCTTTGAACTTCGAGCAGAATCCTTCGCCCTTTTATGCTGTGATAGAGCGCCATGGGTTTCTCCTCCCTTACTGAACCTGGTTCTTAAGAATCCTGAGAAGACACCGCTACAGTTATTATTATTTTATTTTATTTTTAAGGGAAAAAAAAACCAGGAAAAACAAAAACAAAAACAAAAAAACCGGCCGGCCCTTACCGCGGCCAGTGGTCCATGTTGTAGTAGAGCGCCATGGGCTTCTCCTCCGTCACATTGGACAGCGTGTGGGTGGCGTCCATGCAGCGAGCGAGGGGCAGCACGAGCGTGCGGTTGAGCAGGCGGGCCTCGGCTGCGGCGCAAAGGAAGCTCCACTTCCAATGAGACTCGCCCGCGCAGTAGTCGCCCTCACCCGTCACCCTGTAGAACCGCTCCGAACCGTCATATCCCTCGCCCGCACCGCCAATGCCGCCAGCATCGGCACTTGCATTGGCATTGGCATTGAGATTGGCGTTCTGATTGCCATTGCCATCAGCATGAGCATTGGGATTGGCATGGGCATGGGTACGGGCATCAGCGACACCATGCGCTGGCAATGCAGCAGCGGTTCTAGCGGTTGGTGCACGGCTGGCAACAGCCAGGGATAGTTCCACAGCCCGTGCCTCATCCACTTCCTCCCAGTCTACCTGCGCTGTCAGGGAGGGCCGCGCCTGCTGCGACCCGTCTGAATCCTGCTGCCGCTTCTGCTGCTGCTGCTGCTGCTGCTGCTGCTGTACCTCCGTAACAGCATCGTTGATTGTGTCGAGTACAGTCACGCCGCCGGGGACAGAGCCAGCATTTCGGCCACCGCCGCCGCCTGAAGGGTCAAGGTCGTTCCATGTGCTGCTGGCACGGGACGCCGCGAAGAGACCAGGTTCTGCACCGTTCACAGCGATACGCGACACCCCGCTCGGGACGCTTATCGCGTCTAGTGCGGCCGTTGCGTCGAGAACCTGCGAGGAACGTTCCAGGGTGCCGCGGCTAGAGAGGAGCGAATGAACGACGATCAGCGTGGGGAGCAGCAGCATCAGCAGGCGACACGTGGCGGATTTTGATGTCCATCGCGACGCGGCTCCCTGCGATGACTTAAGAAATGAACCTAGAGATGAACATAGAGATGTAATTAAAAATGCACCGGTTGTATCCGCTACGACACAGCGGTTCGACAAGCGAAGGCCGTGACTCGGTAGGCCTTTGAATCTCGAGGCGGCGGCCGACTGTTGAACTGCCTCCATGGGGATAATAGTAGCCTCGTCACTCCTAACGTGGGATCTAAAGGACACCGCGTTGCGGACTGCGAAATAAGGACCATGATATTATGGCAGTGGGTCATGTGAGCTGTATTACTACACGTTCTACTGCAGGCGTGGGCCGCGGTTCAAAATGAAGTTTTCAGGGGTCTGATGAAAATGGTCGGCCCTCCACCGCACTCAACCATACCAAAACACTCTATCGCGGTATCGAACCGCCTCGCGACCCAGATTGGTATGCGACCCCGAGCCTGCGGCGTCGCCAGTACTGACACCCTTAGAAGTCAAGCAAAAACTTGTACAGAAGCGCCTAGCACCTATTGGTCGCCCCGTCATCCCTTGCAGCTTTGCCGCCCTAGATCTGGAATATCAATGACGTGTCAATGACTCACGACGGTACATTACAGATCAATGCTACTGTTCTGGTCAAAGCGCAGGAATAGTAAACTGCGCAGGTACAAAGATTGTTTAGCATGGTACGGAGAGTTTCGCCACGGTTAAATGCAGGTGGTGACCTGACCGCAGATCACGAGAATCTTTCTCCGTTATGCTTTTTCCCTTACCAGACGAAGCACTACCTTTTTATATAACGTTATAGCTTCTCGGATTATGTATCCAAATATGTTTCATGCGCCGCCAACCTTGGTCAATCTAAGTCGCAGAAGCCCCCAGAATAATTGCTTTGAATATAGTAAACGTAACTTCGAACATCCTTCAACAAATATTCTTCAGTCCCAGGCCGTTGTGACATGCGAAAGACTAACTGTAGGCTTTAACTTATGTAAAATATTCACAGTTATACATTAGAACCAGCGCTCTTGTGTGTGACAAGTCCTTACACAGCGTGCCTTGTGTCATTGGTGAGGTCAAAGAATGTCTCCACTCTCTTCTTTGCCTGACTCATCAGAATTTCATCCACGATCCACTGCACGCAACCATACAAAAGGAAAACAGATATCAATCATCAACAAACGCCATGCCGCTTGCCATGAGAATCCCACACCACCACATCTGGAAGCCAGGCCATTTCTTCACCAATACACCCCCAACCCATCTCCCCTTCAGGCCCCCTCTCTCCCAACACACCATCCCCCAACCCACATCCACCCCCTCCCTTCTCACACCTGCATTTGTGCGTCAAAGACTGGCTTGGCCCCGAGTTTGATTCGGTGCCTCTGCATGAGCTCCCAGCACTCCGTGTACCAGTCGCTGCCGGGCGCCCAGAGGTGGCGGTAGTCGGAGAGCACGTGGATCTTGTAGAGCGAGGAGAGCGGGCTGAAGAACCCAGGAGTGCGCTCGTTCGACGCTATGTACACGTGGCGCCCCGGCTGGATGAACCGAGGAAGAGTCCTGAGCAGGCTGAGGGGGGACGACAGAGGGAGGGAGAGAGGGAGTGAGTGAGTGAGGGTTTCGAGATGCGAAAATGAAGCCTCTTTTCGATTGCTGGTGCTGCACGCCCGTCTAAAGACTTTCTACACCAAGGAAAGCACACACCAAACACCGTAGAATTGAAGTTCCTCATCCAAGGAAGTCCACGCACGTGTCATGCTGCGAGAAGATGTAGGGAGGCATCCCTGTCAACAAGCCGCCAGAAGCTACGAGTCCACCACACACTTCCCCCCTACCCACTGCCCCCACCACTCATTGCCCCCACCCTATCCATTGCCCAGCCCCCATCTCCCACGCACGCGTCGGGCCGCGTGTCCCGGTCAAGGTGCGGCCAGAAGTGGCGGTTCAGCTTGTCGCCGCGCCGCACGTGCACGCTGTCGAAGTCAAACCCCATGCTGCGCCGGATGGCCTCCGCCACTCGCCACAGGTACTTGGGCCGCTGGATCAGGTTGTAGTTGCGCACCAGGCGCTTCTGAGAGGTGGGGGGGGCGGGGAAGGGAGTGTGGGACGGGGTTGTTGGGTCTCTGAGACATGTCGCAGGTACTTGGGCCGCTGGATCAGGTTGTAGTTGCGCACTAGGCGCTTCTGAAGAGAGGGGATCGAGGGATGGAGTGTGGGACAGGGGGTGTGGAAAGGGGAGTCGGGACAAGGTACTTCCAGAATTATTCCACTCATCGCCTCCCCACTGCCTCTACAAACGCGGACAACCATGTAAGAGTGGGGATAAAAAACTGTCGCAACCCAACAAGCAGCGACGGGAAAAGGGACACGCAGAGACGGGAAGAGGGATCAAACACTTTAAAGAGCAGGGCTCAACATGCCTTGCGGTGCACCAAACGCATTCCCTTGCGCCCTCTGCACTCCCCTTGCACCCACCGCATTCTCTCTCGGCGTGCAGATCTCATACGCGAAGAACGCATTGCGCACGACCAGCGTGGCGGCGCGTGCCTCCGCAGTCTCCAGCCGGCTGGTGGGCTCGCGCGCTTGAAACCCACGCACGCTCATGTTGTGGTGGGTCCGAAGGATTGTCGCATTGAGAGAGCCGAACCTCAGCTCGAACTGAAGATCCAGCATTATGGGCTGGATGCTGGGATGAGAGGAGAAGGGAAGTGGGGGGATGGGGAGAGGAGGAGAGGTGTGAGGGTGGGAAAGGAGAGGGGGGGATTTGAGAGGGGAGGGGGGATTTCGAGAGCTGGACAGGGAAGGGCCAGCCGTCATAGCAAGGGCCAACCTTTGGAGCCTAAACCAGCATCCCCGAACCCCGTGCAAAATCCTCTGCTCTTACCGCGGCCAGTGGTCCATGTAACGATGGACTGTCAAAAGGTTTCCTCTCCCTCATTGTAGCTGGATTTCTCGAATCCTAGAAATCAGCCACAACAAGAGGAGCCTCCGTCCTTACCGCGGCCAGTGGTCCGTGCAGCAGCAGAGGGCCATGGGCCATGGGTTTCAAGCCCCTTGTTTGTGGGCCCTCAGAGCCGGTGCCCTTGAAAATAGCTAATCTCACAGCCCCGGGCCCGGCCCTTACCGCGGCCAGTGGTCCATGCGGTAATAGAGCGCCATGGGCTTCTCCTCTGTCACATGTGACAACGTGTGCCGCCCGCTCAGGCACCGTGCGAGGGGCAGCACGAGCGTGCGGTTGAGCAGGCGGGCCTCGGCTGCGGCGCACAGGAAGCTCCACTTCCAATGCGACTCGCCCGCGCAGTAGTCGCCCTCGCCCGTCACCCTGTAGAACCGCTCCGAACCCTGCTCCTCCTGCCCCTGCTGCTGCTGCTGCTGCTGCTCCCCCTCCTGCCCCTGCTGCTTCGGCTGCTGCTGCAGACTCTCGGCCGCAGCACCACCATCATCAAAACTGCTGCTTTCTGAAGCATAGGCGAGGTCTCGAGAGTGCCCTGGATGTACGCCTAATGATGCTGCCGATGCTGGTTGAACTGTGAAGGGGGCCGAATGTGTGCCTGATATCTGCTGTTCTTCCTGTGAAAGCCTGCTTCCTACTCGCCCTTCTCCTTGCTGCTGCTGCTGCTGCTCCTGCTGCTGCTGCTCCACAGAGCCACGCTCGCCATCGCTGCTCCTGCTGCTGCCACCGCCGCCAATGCCACTGCTGCCGCTGCTGCTGCTGTCCAAGGATGGGTGAGCCCAAGAGGCCATCCGTCCTCTAGAAGCGGCAGCATCGGATGCTGTGGCCGTGACCCCAGTATCCGCACCCGCTGATGCTAGGGTAGACGCTGCACCTGCTGCACCTAGTCTCGCATCTAGAACCTGCGAGGAACCTTCCTGTGTCCGGCTGGAGATGAGCGAATGGAGGGCGAGCAGCGCGGGGAGGACCAGCAGGGCTAGCAGGCGACACGTGGCGGATTTTAAGATCCAGCGCGACGCGGCCCCCTGCGACGAACATAGAGACGTACTTAAAAATACACTTGCAGTACTAGTATCCGTTACCACGAAATGGTTCGACAGGCGAAGGTGCGTTAGTCCGTGACCCGGGAGGCCTTTAGATCTCGCGGCGCCCGACCGATGAACAGGCTCCATTGAAATATGATGGGCCTTCGTAGCTTCTTACACGGGAAGTGGGGAAATCATTAAAGGACACGCGGCGGGTGGAATTCGGCCCATCATACCCATAAATGGAGTGAAATAAGAATCTGCGTGGATACTGGTCAGCGGCCTCTCGAAAACAGCGGCTCTGGAGACTAATCCTATTCGAGCCTAATGCACGGGTGACGGGGGTGCCGCGGTGCCGACCGAGAGTACAGTAGTCAGTAGCAATGCAAATGAACCGTTGTATCTCCTGCCCGATTTGGGGCGCCTGCAGGAACCAGTACAGTTGCAACGCAAATGAACCGTTGGCGCAAACCTAGCAAGGCGAAACCTGTCAGGCGCCTTGGATGCATCCGCTAAAGGTACACCGTTGTCCAACAAGAAGTACAGAAATTGGAATATAGCGATAATATCAAGTCTGGGTACTACATGTGTTATGATTTAGAAGATGTCAATGCACTATAACGTGAGAATACAAGGTCGCCATTGCAATCAAAGCACGATGTTATAAAGGGGTAGACGTAATAGGGCGATAACCTCGGGACGTGGGTAGGTTCGGCAATGTGGCAACGCTGTCGGACGCGACTCGGGAAAGGGTTGGATAAAAAAATGTAGGCCGAACGTGACGAGTCGAAGTGTTCGGGTGTACGCGGTAGTGGCCAACTCAGTAAGGAATGGAAATTCCTTACAACATGGTACTACCGTAACATGATGGCAGTCTTCAAAACCCATACTGATTGGCAACCCCTCAACTGAACACTCTGTTCATGTACTACGTCTACTAAACCCCCTAAAAACATAACATTTTCATTCAACAATATGCATAGTATGGCTCACTATGAGCTTGCTTCAGTGGTGTTGTGGCGAATCATTGCATTCTTGCTATCGTTTGTCAGGTCATTGAAGGTCTCGACTCTCTTCTTGGCATTCGCAATGACGGTTGCTTCCACGATCCACTGCATGGGGCACATATGCAAAACGTTGTCATTAAATAAGCAACAATGATGTAATAAGCAATGCATACATTGGCAACCCATTAATGTTAATCTGATAGGCATCCCCTTACCTCCATGTACGCATCCATTTCTGGCTTAATTGTAGTCTCGTTCAAGGAACGGAGGAGGGTCCTAAAATCCCTCCGAAACTGGCTGCCCGGTCCCCAGAGGTGGCGGTAGTCGGAGAGCACGTGGATCTTGTAGAGCGAGGCGAGCGGGCTGAAGAACCCCGGAGTGCGCTCGTTCGACGCTATGTACACGTGGCGCCCCGGCTGGATGAACTTGGGAAGAGTCTTTTTGAGACTAGGCATGAGGAAATTGAGTGTTGGAAGGTGGGGAAGGGGGTAATTCATAATAAACATGGCGCGGTGAAAATCACAATCGGAATGCGTGTGAGAGGGAAAGAGAAGCCCGTACTCGCGAAACTACCAAATGTCTCCATAAAAATTTGGTGCAGGCTTACGCATGAGGCTGGGTGTCTTGGTCAAGGTTGGGCCAGTAGCGGCGGTTGGACGGCTTGACCTTGTCCCCCCGCCTCACGTGCACGGCATCATAGTCCCACCCCATGGACGCCGAGATGTTGCTCGACAGCTTGCTCAGCGCTGGTGGCCGCCACAGCAGGGAGTGGTCCCGCTTTAGCACCTCCTGGTGCGTAGGCAATGTGGTGCATGGGCAATGGTGGAGAGAAGTGTGCATGGGATTTTTGGAGAAAAGAGTGCATGGGAAATGGAGGGGAGAAGGGTGCATGGGAAATGGAGGGGAGAAGGGTGCATGGGCAATGCAGGAGAGGTTGATGATGGGAAGTGAACGAGTGGCTCATGCTTCACAAGCTGCAGTTGTCATCAGACACACCAGCACGGATCACCACTTGCCACATGCCAATGAATGACCCCACTGCTCCTCCTCCTCCTCCTCCTCCTCCTCCTCCTCCTCCTCCTCCTCCTCCTCCTCCTCCTCCTCCTCCTCCTCCTCCTCCTCCTCCTCCTCCTCCTCCTCCTCCTCCTCCTCCTCTCCTCCTCCTCCTCCTCCTCCTCCTCCTCCTCCTCCTCCTCCTCCTCCTCCTCCTCCTCCTCCTCCTCCTCCTCCTCCTCCTCCTCCTCCTCCTCCTCCTCCTCCTCCTCCTCCTCCTCCTCCTCCTCCAACTCCTCCTCCTCCAACTTACCCTCCCTCTCCACCTTCTCCTCCCAATCTCCCATCTTCCCCCCTCTCCCCCTTCTCCTCCTCTCTTCCTCGCCCTCACCTTACGCACGCACAGATCTTGTGTGCGAACTGCGGCACCTCAAAAGGCGTCTAAAAGGCCCGCCTTCCCCCGCCCCCACAACCACACCTCCCCCGCACCTTATTCTCGGGCACGCCGCAGATCTGGTACGCGAACTGCTCCTCCCTGAGCCGCCGCACCACCAGGGTGACATCCCTCGTGCGCTCCCTCACCCACTCCGTCGCCCCCCACACCTTGAACTCCTCCACACTCATGCTGCCCGTGCTACCCGTGCTGCCCGTGCCCTGAAGCTTCTCTGGATCCATTGACCCGAACCGCTGCTTGAACTCGGTCTCATACATCATCGGCTGGCGGCTGGAGGGAAGCGAGAGCGTGAACGGGGAGAAAGGAAGAAGAGGGGAGAGAGAGAGAGAGAGAGAGAGAGAGAGAGAGAGAGAGAGAGAGAGAGAGAGAGAGAGAGAGAGAGAGAGAGAGAGAGGGAGAGGGAGAGAGAGAGAGAGAGAGAGAGAGAGAGAGAGAGAGAGAGAGAGAGAGAGAGAGAGAGAGAGAGAGAGAGAGAGAGAGAGAGAGAGAGAGGCAGGGTAAGGGGGGGTAAAGGGGGGTAATGCACCTCCCCATGCACCTCCCTGTCTTGCAGCATGACGCCACCCACTAACCGCATCATGTGCTCCATGTTGTAGTATATCCCCATCGGCTTCTCCTGTCATTCTGAGGAGCCTACAAGCTAGACCTTGCGGCATAACGCCACCCACCCACCGCATCATGTGGCATAGCGCCACCCACCCACCTCATCATGTGCCCCATGTTGTAGTATAGCCCCATTGGCTTCTCCTCCTTCTTCCCTGTCAGCGAATGCGCCGCGCTGATGCATCTACGCGCCGGCACCACCAGCGTCCGATTGAGAGCCTTAGCCTCCGCCGCGCCGCACAGGAAGCTCCACACCCAGTGCGACTCGCCCGTGCAGTAGTCGCCGCCTCCGGTTACCATGTAAAACCGCTCCGCCACGTGTCTGTTCCTGATTCGTTCAGCTGCTGGCTGTGAGGGCTTGAGTCGTGAGTCGCGTGACTGTATGGAAAGGGAATTCGGCAATGGCCGGCGAGTTGAAGTAGTAGCGGGAGGCAAGCTGGACGTGCTACGGGTGTCATTGACGCTGATTGCGGTCTGTATGCGCGCCGATTTACCATATTCCGACAGGCTACTAAACATCGGTTTTTTATCCTCGTTATGGTCATAATCGGCGAGTTTCCGGAGTGCACGGATCGGAGAAATGCTAAAACCGGCGACTCGGATTCTCGAGATATGAAAGGTGGAAACCCCCTGGGAGACCAAGCACGCAGCGACGAACAGCAGAAGCACGAGTAACGGTAACAGTAGCAGGCGAAACGGCACGCTGCCGCGAGGCGACAGCTTCTGAGTCAACTTCCCGGGCAACGCCGGGGATGCTGGGCTACGAGGCTTCTGCACGCGAGCCTTTAGTTTTCCGTCGCTGAGTCTAGTGACGCCTTCGCTCGTCGTTTGAAAGACGTCACTGAGGGGACACGGCCGCGTATCATGGCATCCGCTCTCACGGTTCGCGGCAGGCTCGGCCGCTACCTGCATCATCTCATGGCATCCGCTTGTACCGTGCATCAGAAAAAGAACGCTATCCCGCGATCGCGACGCGCACCGCTAACGCGTCGTATAGTACTAGCACTGGTACTGCATGAGCCGCTGCGTTGTATGGTTAGCTCAGTACGTACTGCTGAGAACTGGCGGGAGCTCTGGTGGGATGGAACAGTAGTCATTGCACAACGGGACGGAATTCCCGAGGGAAATTTGGGCCAGGCGGGTTCGCTTGGCTGAATGGTGCGCCTTGGTCGTGCAGAATGTCAGTGCAGGAGATTCGCCAGAGACGGCTTCGAAAAACGCTTCAAGCCATTGCATAACTTGCCGTGGTGTCGCGTTAGAGTTCAGAAGGGAAATGTTACGCGACACAATTTCTTCGGGATGGTCATATAAATGCCATCTGTATCACCTTACACACGTTATTTATGGACGATTGGTAAAATCAATGCAAAATCAGATGAAAATTAGTATCCATTATATTTTGACATGGCATAAAGATGTGCTGAGAAAATGGAAACGTGGTATTTTTGTTAATGAAATGTCTCCACAAATATCATCAACTGGATCCCATAACACATAGCTGTAATGAAATCGTCAAAATATTTCTGCCGATATGGCGTTTTGACTTCCTCGCGAATCGGTCGCCGTCGTGCCGACATTCCAAGATTTTTCCAAACACGTGGACTGTCAGAATTGCAGCGCCTGCCCAGGACGGAAGGGACGACAGAACTATTTCCCTCACCGGCATTCCCGCCCACCCTGAGGCACCGCCTCCATCGCTTGATCCCACTAAACTTATTTCTCCACCTCCTTTTCGAATCCGAGTGCTTTCAGAGTGCTGCTAGTAATTTATAATGATTGGTCGCGCAAGAGAGAACGGACTAGCGTGTGGGTCAATTGCCTTGCGCAAAACTTCTTTGTTCTGATTTTTCATTGTTGTTTTGCTTGTTAGCGAAAGAGCCATCGCGTTGGCCTATTGAGACGGAGACTATAGCACGAACGGGTTGGCTTCCCTCGTTACTGTAACGTGTGATTGCGGCGAGGAGGGAACGAGGCGATGGGACGAGGGGGGCGCGACGACAAGGCGGACGAGTCGCAGCGGCTGCTAGGAACTCCCGTTTACGTTAACGTTTACGATATGACGCGTTATAACGACTTTCTGTACTGGCTCGGCTTGGGGGTCTTCCACTCGGGCTTAGAAGGTGAGAGGAGACGGCGTGACGTATATGGCTGTGTGTCTGTCCATGTCACGTGGCCTCGTCCCTGCCTTGCGCCCTCACTGCTCCCCTCTCTTCTTCTTCTCCATTCTCCCTCTTCCAACCCCCTTCTCCCTTTCCCATTCCCCCTCTCCAGCTGTTCCCCATCCCCCTCCTCTCTCCCCCTGCCCCTGCTCCCCATGTTGCCCGTCCACTGCCACCTCCCTCTCTCAATCCCCCCAGTGCTGCTGCGCCCAGCGCAGTGACGTATGCCTTGGGAGAGAGCAACGGCCCATAACGGCCCATAACGGCCCATAACGGCCCATAACGGCCAATAACGGCCCATAACGGCGTCTTTGAGCTTGCCCTTCTCCTCTTGCGGCGCCTCAGAATCCCACCCCACCCACCCCATCTCCCCCTACCCGCTCCGCTCCCGTCCCCCTTCCCAGTCCCCATCCCCACCCCCAGTGCAGGGCAGCCTGCCGTGCAGCGGTGTGTATCAGAGGGAGTTGAAGCTCCTCTCAAACACCCATGGCGGTGTGCCTCTAACGACCTCCTTTTCTCAGCTTGACGCAGCTCATAGTCACCCCCCCCTACACCCCTCCCACCCCTCCCCCCTTTCCTTCCCCCCCCTTCCCCCTTCACTCTCTGACCACCCCCCGTGCACGGGGTGGAGTGCGCGTTTGCCGCGCATGACCAGCTGTGCATTGGCGGGTTTGAGCTCGCCCTTCTTCGCTCAAGGCGCCCACTCCCCAATCCACCACTCCCCCTCTTGCTCCCCTTACCCCCAACAATCCCCGCGCACCCCCCCCCCCCTCTTCCCCCTCCCTCCCCAGTGCATGGCGTGGAGTATGCCTTTGGCGCGCACAACCAGCCATGCAGTGGCGTGTTTGAGCTGGCCCCTCGCTGTGCGCCAGGGTTCCTCTTCCGCACCGCCATCCCTGTGGGGACCACCAGCCTCTCCCCACCACAGGTACGTGGCTCATGGCACATGGCGCATGGCGCATGGCACATGGCACATGACGCATGGCACATGGCACATGGCACATGGCACATGGCGCATGGCACATGGCGCATGGCACATGGCACATGGCGCATGGCACATGGCACATGGTACATGGCACATGGCGCATGGCACATGGCACATGGCTTGTTGTGTATGCCTCTACATCATGCACGCCTCGCTGCGCGTCGGGGTTCCTCTTCTACACCGCCATCGCTGAGGGGACCACCAGCCTCTCCCCACCGCAGGTGACTGGATGACTTTCCCCACCAGGCACCACAGCCTTGCCCCAGTGCAGGCACGTGGTGCTTGGCGCTTGGGCATAGTGCCTGGCGCATAGTGCATGACGCATAGTGCCTGGCGCATAGTGCATGCGCATAGTGCCTGGCGCATAGTGCATGCGCATAGTGCCTGGCGCATAGTGCATGGCGCATAGTGCATGGCGCATAGTGCATGGCGCATAGTGCATGGCGCATAGTGCGTGGCGCATAGTGCGTGGCGCATAGTGCGTGGCGCATAGTGCGTGGCGCATAGTGCATGGGCATAGTGCATGGCACATAGTGCATGGCGCATAGTGCATGGCGCATAGTGCATGGCGCATAGTGCATGGCGCATAGTGCATGGCGCATAGTGCATGGCGCATAGTGCATGGCGCATAGTGCATGGCGCATAGTGCATGGCGCTTAGTGCATGGCGCTTAGTGCATGGCGCATAGTGCATGGCGCATAGTGCATGGCGCATAGTGCATGGCGCATAGTGCATGGCGCATAGTGCATGGCGCATGGCTCTTCCGCACTGCCATCCCCAACAGCACCACCAGCCTGTCCAGGGCACAGGTGACGCATGGGGCATGTTGCATGGTGCATGGCGGATGGTGCATGGCTTGTTGCTTTATGCGGCTCTACCATGCGCAATTGCTCACATGCTAGTGTCATTCTGGCCTGTTGTCCCGGTTCCTCCAGTGTTCCCTAGTGATCCAAGATCCAGAATGACAAACTAGCTGTGCTTTAAGGTCCTAGTGATCCGGTTCCAAATACCCCGTCCCCATCCTCCCCAGGTCCGTTCTATTGTGGAGCAGCTAGCGTGCAGCTACACAGGCATCAGTTACCAGATCATGTTTTGAGTCGACTCAAAACCATCCCCATCCGTGCTCCCATCCGCATCCCATCCCATCCCCAGGTCCGTTCTATTGTGGAGCAGCTAGCGTGCAGCTACACAGGCATCAGTTACCAGATCATCTCACGCAACTGTAACCACTTCACAGCAGACCTCTGCCGCCTGTTGGTGGACCAAGAACCGCCAGCGTGGATTAATAGGCTCGCCCGCACTGCCAGGCTGTGCAACTGCCTAATGCCTGATGGTGTGAGGGTGGAGGTTGGGGATGTGGATGGGGAGGATGGGGAGGGGAGAGGAGGGGAGGGGAGGGGGAGAGGGAGAGTGGGAGAGGGACGGGGTGAGAGGAGGAGTGGAGAGGGAAGAGGACAGGGAAGAGGAGAGGGTCGGAGAGGGAATGGGCCTGTAATGGTGTATGGGGTGAGGGAGGAGGAGGGGGAAGGAGGGGAGGGGAGCGGTGGCGAGGAGAGGAGGAGCCAGGGGTGGTGGAAGGAGAAGGAGGAGTGGCCGGGAGGAGATGGGGGGGGATACTTCGACACAGAGTCTGACTTCTCAGACGACGATGATGATGATGATGATGATGGTGGGTGCTATGGCCAGTGAGTGTTGTCTGAGGATGGGGATTTGGGAGGGGTACTTTGACAGGGGATCTGCTTTTCTCAGAAGATGATGATGGTGGGTGCCATGGGTGCCATGGGTACCATGGGTGCCATGGGTGCCATGCTCAGTGACTGCTGTGTGCCCCCCTCAGGTCCAAATCTTGATCTTCATCATGATAACGGATATACATCATGGCTACTTAATCCCCTTCCAAGGCCTGTTCGTAGTCCTTTCTCTCTCCCTCCCCCTCCCCCACACTGTGCCTCTCTCCTTTTCTCTCTAGTCCCCCTCCTATGCTCCCTCTTCCCATTTATCTCTCTATTCCCCCTCCTATGCTCCCTCTTCCCATTTATGCATGCGCATGTGTTCCTATGTGTGTGGGAAACACCTAGCCATGCACCCAAAACCACCCCAATCACCACAATTCACATGCACCACTTGCCCTTAGCACCAATACATTGTATTTTTTAGGAGCCTAAAAATTGGACTCAAATCACCACATTCGTATGCACCCCTTGCACTTCTCCCCTCCAGATTGCAACGACCGGCCTACCCTCTCCCCGGCGTCGTCCCAGTCCGCATCAGCAGAAGGCTCCCCTCAACTGGCCATGCCTCGTAGCAGTGCCACTCATAGCACTGCCCCTCATGCCACCGTACATGCTGCCGTGCAAGAGTCATCGTTGGTTATCCAAGACCACTCCTAGCGCCTTTCAGTTCAACACTCCTCTGCTGTTAAAGGCTCCGGGGCTCGCTGCCAAAGCAAGGTGAACCCTTAGGAGACTGAGTTTACTCAGCTTCGTTCTGTGCTTGTGGCACCAATGAGAAAACCGGTAGATCCTATTTTGAAGCTGTTCTTATGCACATTCTTTGTAATAATTAAATGCAAGCAATTACATTACTGCTACCACTCCTCCAAGCACCTCAAAACATGTTGCTGTTATGATGATCTTCGGATAGGAATCGAGTAATGCAATAGTGAGGTAGGGATTGAAGTGTGTAGAGTACAAATGGAGCACAGTGATACAAGCACAGCTAACCTAGCAAGGGAGCCTCGAAGAAGGCCACGAAACACACGCGAGGTACTTTGGGGCGCCCCGGGACTCAAAAGTGTCGGTCGGATGCGACGCCGCGTGTAGGCTTGGGGTCTCGAACGTAGTTCGAACCTGAAATGTCGGGTCGAGCCTGGTCTTCCGAAAGTCAGGGCTGTACTCGATGTTAGCGAGGCTCGATAAGGAAAAGGGATTTTCCTTACGCCTTCCCCCCTCCTAAACGAGACTACCCACATACGGGGCAGCTGTCAGAAACTCAGTCACAAACTGCTGAGTTAAAAGGGCTTGTTAAGTAGCGGGTGAGTGCGCCCATAACCCCCCAGGCTCTGCACCTGTAACCCTTCCCCGAGGATCTCAAGGGCAACCCCAGCGGGTCTTCGACACCCCCCCTCGCTGGGATAGGCACGGAAGACCTTGCACCTCTGCCGGTGCAATGCCACCTCTACTGGTGCACACACTGGAAATTGAACCCCAGACCTTTGGCTCTGATACCATGTCAGAAACCCAGTCACTAACCACTGAGTTAAAAGGGCTTATTAAGTAGCGGGTGAGTGCGCCCATAACCCCCCAGGCTCTGCACCTGTAACCCTTCCTCGAGGATCTCAATGGCAACCCCAGCGGGTCTCCGACAGCAGCCCGATCGTGTAAATAGGCCTGCACCAACGGGTGGTTGTCGAGGATAGCGGCTGGGACCCACATGTCGCCGCACGTACGGTCAACCCAGCGAACCAGAAAATCCAAAACTCTTTGACCTTGGTCGCGGAGGATTCGGTGGGAGAGGATCTGATGTGGTTCGGTGGTTGGCTCGGGGACGGACCCGATCGAAGGATAGAGTCGTTGACGGTCGAGATCAGCCGTGTATGCGACGAACTGTGGGAGGTGGCTGACGTGGAATGAATCGTGGATACGCCAGTCGTCCGGTAACAGTAGCTTGGCAGTGACAGGTGTCACCATTTGAACAATTCGGAAGGGCCCACAGAATCTCGGGCGGAGTTTATGTGGTAAACTCAACCCTAAATTCTTGGTGTCCAGAAGGACTAGTTGCCTAGGAGCCAGGGGTAAATCCCGTCTATGCCTGTCCGCGTACCGTTTGGCAGTAAGGTTGGCTTTTGATATAGCCTCGGTAGTGTTTTTCTGTGCAGTCTGTAAGTCCTTGACGAACTGTTGCGACCGTGGGGCGGGACTCTCAACTAAGGGTGTGGTGGGAGTCGTGGGGTTTAGACTGTAATTCAGGTAGAACGGTAACTAAGCCATTGTGAACAAAAGGGCGCTGTTATACGCGAACTCGATCAAGGGGAGGGAATCTTCTCATTCGGTCGGGTCGGTACAAGTTGTCCGTATCAGCTGCTCCATGGTCTGATTTGTCCGTTCAGTCTGCCGTCGGTGTGTGGGTGGTAAGCCGTGGGCAGATGGAAACATGTACCGTACTGTTCCCGCATTATTGTCCATAAGTTGGACGTAAAATTGGGGTCGCTATCGCTCACGATCTCTTTCGGGATTCCGTGCAGGCGAACGACGGTTGAGATGAACAGCTTGGCAGTTTGCTTGGTTGTGATCGTCGTTCATCATGGCGCAAAATGAGCCATTTTTGTGAGTCGATCAATGACCATGAGTACAACATTATTTTGGGATGCGCCGGCCGGCAGTCCTGTCACGAAGTTCATGAATACGCGTGTCCAGGGCTTTGTGGACGGTTGCAACGGTTCCAGTAATCCGGCTGGCTTTTGGCGAGAGGATTTCATCAGTTAGCAGGTGGGACATGAGACCACATATTGCTGCCCATCATGGCTCGCATTCGGCCAATAATAATGACATTGGAGCATTTTCAAGGTTTTGTCAACCCCGAAGTGTCCGGAGCAGTTAGCGTCATGAACCTCGTGTATCAATAATTGCTGTAACAGTCGGTAGTATGGAACCCAAATTTGGTCAGTACCAGCTTTTAGGTGGTAGTGGCCTCGTTATGTGGTCAGGGCCTAGTGGCCATCAGAGGTGAAAAGGGGATGCGTACTGTAACCGTGGTTAAATATTCCAGTCAGGAGCGGCTTAGTTTGGGCCATTAGTACGGCAGATGTATGGGCATCGGCAATGTGATTTGCCCCCTTTTTGTAGGTGATGCGATATAGGAAGTTGGACTCGAGATATTCGAGCCAACGAATCTGTCGTGGATTGAGGGTCGGTTGGGCTCAGAGGAACTGTAGGGTCTGTTCGGACAGTAACGTCGGCACCTGATAGATAGCAGCGCCAGGTCTTGAAAGCGTTGATGATCAGAGCATGTACTTGTCGTGAACTGGGTAATTCCGTTCAGCTCCTTGGATTTTGCGCAAGTCGTAGGCGATCGGTTGCAGGCCTTCGCCAAAGTCCTATAACAGTACCACGCCAACGGCGATGTCGCTGGCGTCCGTAACCAGTTTGTACAGGCGGTCGGGGTCGGCGATGTGAAGAACGGGTGGTGTTATGAGGAAAGTCTTCAGTTGGTCAAACGCAGCTTGTTGCCTCTCCCCCCACTCATAAAAAACTGCCTTCCGTAGCAAGTCGGTTAGCGGGGCTGTTGACTCCGCCATTTTAGGGATAAGACGGCGCATGTAGTTGACGAACCCCAGAACACTCTGCAACCTCTCGACGTTGGTAGACGGCTCCCAGTTGCGAATTGTAGAAATTTTCCTCGGGTCAATTTTAACGCCTTCGATGGAGATGATGTGGCCCAAGAAATTGTAGCTCCTCCTTTAAAGCTGCGATGCAAATATAACCAGCAAGGTTAAATTGTTTGTAAGTTGAAAGGCTAGGTTACCCGGCGAGGTAGTGCTGGCTAGGCGAGAGCTCGCCAAAAGCAGTGCAAAAACTTGAACCAGAATGGTGCACTGCAAACCTCGAAAGTTGTCACTCTGCTCCCCTTGCTTTGATTCCCCTCGCCTTTTTTCCTTCCCCCGAGCCCATTTCGTTTCCCCGCCCAGGCCCCCACCCCGCCCTCATTTTCCCAGTTCCGAAGGGGCGATTTCAATTCCGCCTCGTGGCTCAATCATTTCCGCTAGCGACGGATTTCAAAATGTTTTCAACACCCCGCCCACAAATGTTGCTCCCGAGATATGCTGTACACCAGGATGTCATCCAGGTAGACAATGGCGCACTTGTCCAGTAGCGAGCAGAAAACTTCGTTCATGGTCAGTTGAAAAGTTGAGGGTGCGTTCGTCAACCCAAACGGCATCACTATATACTCGTAACTTCCGTAACGGGTTCGAAAGACAGTTTTCGAAATATCAGCTTCAGCGATACGAATCTGGTGGTAACCTCCTCGTAGATCAGTCTTGGAAAAAATCCTGGCACCGCGAAGTTGGTCGATCAGATCGTCGGCTCGTGGAATCAGGTAACGCGGCTTGATGGTGATTTTGTTAAGCACTCGATAGTCAGTACACATCTGAAGCCCTCCGTCCTTTTTAGGGGTGAAGAGTATCGGCGCGGCGTAAGGTGACGTGTATGGGTGGATGAATTTTTTCTCCAAGAGATAATCCAATTGCGTACGTAGTTCCATCAGCTCCGGTTGACTCAGCCTCCATTGCGATCGGACGGTCGGTTGCGCTCTGGGATCCAGCTCAATCTTGTGATCGTGTGGTCATTCGGGTGGTAGGCCGGGCGGGAGGTCGTCGGGTATCTTCTCGAATTTGCGCATTATTTTTGCCAGGTCCTCAGGTATAGCATCACACAGCTTCTCCATGTCAGTTTGTTCAGCCACCTCCGTTGATGTGATCCATCGGACGGCGTAGACGTCTACACCTCATGCCTTCACGCGATTGATAGTCACGTTGTTCACCTGTGTTGACTAAGGGTCGGTTGGTTTCCACTTTGGCAGTCTTCGCAACTCGCCGCCCCACTTCAAATGAATGTCGCCATTCCTCCAATCGATGCTCGGATTGTACGTGCGACGCCAATCGCGTCCCAGGAGCACATCGCCACCGTCTAATGTTGTCGCCAGCATCTTTATGGCAAAGCTGAATTGGCTGTCGCAATCAATGCAAACGTGTTTCACCCACTCCCGAATTGCAAGTGGTGTGCCGTCAACCAGCCGCGCGTCAATTTCGAGCATGCACCGCTCCATTTGCAGCTGCAGCTTCTTCGCTCTTGTCACATCAAATACAGTGTCTAATGCGCCACCATCCACAAATACTTTTTATCTTATATTGCCAACGCGCCCTTCCACCAGCACAGGGCAGTCAACAGGTTCACTCCCCTTTAACTGGGTATGGTCGATCGCATAGATCGGCACCACGACTCGGTGGGAATGGTGATCTTCGGGCGACGAAGCCTCATCACTAGGGGGCCCGACTGATACTGATGTTGTCCATTCCCTAGCTTCCTTCTGTCGTTTGCTCTCGATTTCTGCAACTCCGGACAGTCCCGTATGATGTGCCTCGGTTGGCCACATTTATAACACCTGCCAGAAAATCTGTTATTTGACAATGTCGCCACGTCGTTGATGGATGGGTAAATATTCTGCCTTCAAAAACAATTTCCCTCCCGGAAATTCGTCCTCGGCCATGCACTGTTCTCATCCCACGCCTCTACAAACTGCTGCACCTCCAAGAATGTCACTGGACGGCGCATGCAAATTTCGTGCGGGACCTCCGTCTTCATCCCTAGGATTTATCGACTTATTTTCTCTGTCTCGTATAGATCGTCGATTTTGTCGCAGATGGCAAGGAAGGATGACGTGTACTCTAGCACAGAGCCTATTTGACGCCACCCGTGCAGCTTCACACGAGCGTTTTTGCATGCGGATACATGCTCGAAGTGCCGGCGAAGCAGTGCACCCCACTGTTGCCAGGTAAGGGTCTTGACCAAACCAAATAAGGATCCTGTAGAAATCGAAGCCAATTGTTGCTCCCTGTCCATCGCCTGTTGCCGGTCTGCTGGAGTCCCTCGTGATGTCATGTACTGTCGCCATCAACTTAATGCAGGTCCGCGTAATAAAGGCGCCGCCAACTTGATGCGTGTCTCATCGTCGTTGACATCAGCAGCCTTAAAGAACAGTTCCATGGCAAATAGTTACCCACTCAGCGTGGTGTGCTTCTCCAGTGGATTGAACGGCGGGGGCATGGCAGGTTTGATCTTCACGACTGCCCGTCGCTCGCTCGAAGTGTCGTCACGTGTCGCTGACGTCGTCAACGATTGATGCGTGCTCGCATGATCTTGTCCACAGTATAAGGCGACTCCTTATGCGTCGCACCATGTGCCTCGCGAAGGCTCACATTCTCCTCTTTCAACGTGGCGAGCTTCAGGGCCATGGCCTCCATCTTCGCCATCATTTCGCCAACCTTCGTTGTCAGCACTGACGTGCTTGCTGCCGCCTCTGACAACTCAGCAATTTGCTCGGGAGTCATATTTCTAGTACTACGACGAGGAGGGCTATGGACCATTAACTACCCTAGCTAGCTAACGCCACTAAAGACACTACGGGCACATGCAGCGATAGAGACGTAGAGCGCACACGACAAAGTCGGCGAAACTGAAGAAGTTACTGCACGACCGCTGGACAGCTCCTGTCTCCTAAGGTGCGAGGTACCTCTAAAAACTACCTCAATATAGAAGCCTAAATGGGCAAGAACGTAGCTCTGATACCAATTGTTATGATTATCTCCGAATAGGAATCGAGTAAGAGCGTGTTCCTATGGAGTGGTGTTCAGTACCCTAAACCCTGCTCAGTCTAGCGGTGCTGCGCCGGTCCCTATCTTCCAGGGCTGTACTCCCTCCCAGTGCACTTACTCTAACGTTTTTGCAACTGTTGCTGAGACAGCCCCTGCTTCTGAGACCGCCGCCACGGCCTCAGCGCAGCAGCGTCAGGGTAGGGGCCGCCGCCCCAAGGGGGGGGGGCGTGGTGGAGGGAAGGGTGGTGGGGGTAGGGACGGTGGTGCCGACGACGCGACCGAGGCTGGTACCCCAGAGCAACAGCAGCAGCAGCAGCAGCACCACCACCCTTAGCAGCAGCAGCCTCAGCAGCAGCAGTCGCAATAGCAGCAGCAACAGCAGCCGCCGAGGGGACCCCCAACGTCGTGGTGGCCTGGTGGCACTGGTGGTGGTGGCCGTGGTGGTGCCCCGCAGGGCTCGGTGTCGGGTTGCAGCTCCAGTGTGGCCACCAGCCAGTACCACCTCCAGACCGACCCCCGCTGCGGCACCGTCTGCGACCGTTCACGTCACATCGCCACCCGCTGCTACCGCCGCCTCGATGACCTCTACTGTCTCCGCTTTGGTCCCACCTCGGACCCTCCTGACTGGTACACCCTGGCCCACCGCCGTGTGCCCGTCTTTGAGCTTTACATGGATCAGATTATGACTGCTATGCATGTCATTTATGCTGATGACTCTAGTGTGATTGGATCTTATTACCCTATGGTGCCTAGTATAGGTGTGTCTCCTGAGTGAAGTCTAGGTTCCCCTGCTGCGTCAGGCGTAGGACCTTCTGCTTGGTTTAGCTTAGGCTCTACGCTAGCCCCTACGCCAGCCGCCGCTACTGCAGATGCTACTTCTTTGCTCTCTTTCACGCTCGACTCTGGCGCGTCTGCTTGTTTCTTCCGTGACCACACTTCCCACAAGCCGCTTGCTGCCCCTGCCGCTATCGCGCCTGCTGACCCCTCCTCAGGTCCAGTAGTCGCACGTAGCTCTACTACCCTTCCCTGTCCGGCGGTCCCCTCGGGCTCTCTTACTGGCTTGCACATCCCCTCATTCTCCAGGAACCTAATCAGTGTCGGCTGTCTTCAGGACATTGGCGTCACCACTACGTTCCCTGGACACAAGCGGTACGCCATCTGTACCGAGGCCCCTCTTACAACATTCCCCTGGGACCCCGTGTCCAGCCTGTTCACGCTGGACACTGCGTCCCCCCCAGTGCGAGTGCCCCACCTGGTCGCCACGTCCACTCACGTAGCTGCAGCCTGTTCGTCTCGGTCGCTCACTCACCCTTCACTTATGTGGCACCACCGCCTAGGTTACCCCGCTCTCCCGCGTCAGCATCACATGTCCCATTACGACCTTGTCCGTGGTCTCGCTGCTTCGCTTCCTGCCCTCCCTCCCTCGCCTGCGTCGACGTGCACGCCCTGCGTCAAGGGCTGGCTGCGCCATGCTCCCCACTCCTCCTCCCTCCCCCCTACCACTGGGCCACTCCAGACCCTGCACCTGGACATTTGGGGTCCCGCCCCTGTCCCTAGGTCGCGTCGCGAGCGCTACTTTCTAGTGCTTGTCGACGACTTCACGCGCTAGACCACAGTGTTTCCCCTGGAGCGGAAGGCCGAAGTGCCTGACGCCCTTATCTTGTGGGTCGTAGATGCGCGACTCCACCGTGGCCTCCTCGTGCTGCGTCTCCACTCCGACCGTGGTGGCGAGGTTGCCTCCGGTCGTGTTGGCCAGTTCTGTCATGCGGAGGGCATCACCCAGTCGTACACCCTGCCGGACTCCCTGCAGCAAAATGGGGTGGCTAAGTGACGCTTCGGTTTGGTTATGGAGGTGGCTGGTACCTCCATGATCCATGTCGGTGCACCCCATTTTCTATGGCCGTTCGCAGTTTGCTACGCCGCTCACCGGCTTAACCTGTGGCTACACTCCCAGCAGCCGCAGGTTTCACCGACCCTTCTCTGGACCGGGTTTCCTGGTGACGCCTCTGTGTTCCACGTCTGGGAATGCCTTGCTCACGTTCGTGCCTCTGGCACGGACAAGCTCACTGCTCGCACTGTCCCTTGTGTCTTCCTTGGTTTCCCCCTCGACGTGTCTGACTGGCACTTTTACCACCCGACAACTCACCGTTTCTTTCACTCCACCCCTCCGGTAGCCACTGCTCCTCTTCCTCCCCATCCTGCCCCATCTGGTGTGTCTCACATCACTCCCCTCCCGTCATTTGTCCCGGTCGAGGAGTTGGCCCCGCGGCTTCACTGCCGTCGTCTGTCTCCGCCCCAGTCTCCCCTCCTGCACTGCCGCAGCAACAGCCGCCGTCGCCGCCGCATCCGCAGCAGCAGTCGTCGCAGCAGTAGTCGCCGTCGTCGCCGCCGTAGCAGCAGCCGCCGCAGGGTTCTCGTTCCAGGGATGCTAGTCCTGGGGTTACTATCGTGGCTCGTCCCGGCGACGGCAGTGAAGCCGCGTTGGAGAGGGTTCTCGCTCTGAGGGCGTTGGCATGGAGTGTGCCGGAGGTAGCCATGGTGCAGTAGGAGGTCCTGATGCACGCGTGGAGTAGCAGCAGCAGCACTCGCCGCCGATGTTCGCCCTTTGCCTTCTCGGTCTTCCCTCCCCTGACCGCCCGCCTGCGCCTCCCCCAGCTGTCTACGGTCGTATGTCTCCTCCGCCGAACTCGTCTTCGGCTCGTTTTCCCCTGCGTTCTCTTCATGTATCTCCTCCTCTATCTCCTGACCACACGCCTCCGTCTCGCTTCTGGTCTCGTCGTCCCTCTCGTGCTCGTGCTGTCTCTCGTGTCCAGCGCTCTCAACCTATGTTGCTTTGTTCCCACGCGTCTCGTCCTACCCTCCTCCCGTCGCCTCCTCCGTCGTTGCTGGCTGTTGCTCCGCCTCCCCTGCCTGACTTCCTTCGTGCCGCTAGTCCTCTTGTTCCTCGGGTCCTCGCCTCTCTTGTTACAGACACGTCTGGTCCTCTCTCTAGTCTTGACGCTCTTGTTACTGTCGTCACAGACTTTGCCACTACCCGCCGCCTTGACTACGCCACAGCTTTGGTCTCTGACCCTACCCGTCCTCTGTTCGTCGGTGGTGCACTTGCCCTTGGCAGTGACGTCCTAAAGGACAGGCAGTTTGAGCTAGCTTTCCTGTTCGAGGCCATGCCTAATCTCTGCTCCATGCAGCTAGTCCCTGAGGAGGACCCAGGCGCCTTTGACATCCCGACCCCTCGTACTTACGCTGAGGTGACCTCGAGACCCTGGGCCTCTCAGTGGATAGCTGCCATGGACGCGGAGATGGCATCTTGGAGATCCACCGGTACCTTCGTTGACACAGTTCCCCCACCTGAGGTGAATGTAGTCAATGGCCGGTGGCTCTTCAAGGTGAAGCGCCCTCCTGGAGAGCCGCCGGTGTTTAGGCGCGCTACGTTGCTAGAGGCTTCAGTCAGTGCGAGGGTGTTGACTTTTTCAGACCCTCGCTCTGACCCCAAAGAGGACTACTCTTCGGGCGCTGCTACACGTAGCAGCACAGCGTGACTACGAGCTGCACTCTCTCGATTTCTCGACAGCGTTTCTTCATGGCAGTCAGCACGAGAAGGTCTACCCGCGTCGCCAGTGAGGCTTCACCGGCACCTTTGCCCCGGGGACCCAGTGACTCCTCTGGCGCCTGGTTTACGGCCTACGGCAGGCGCCCCGTGAGTGGCACGACACGCTGTGTGCTACGTTAGCTGACCTGCAGTTCTTCCCATCATCTGCAGACCCCTCGCTCTTCGTTCGTGTTCGTCAGACCCCGTTCTACTTCCTTGTCTACGTAGACGACCTGGTCTTCACTACTACAGACAGAGGTGCACTGGCCTCTGTGAAGGCTGAGCTGCTGTGGAGACACACCGGCACTGACCTAGGGGATCTGCGCTGCTACCTTGGCCTGCAGATCTCCAGGGACAGAGGAGCGCGCACCATCACTCTAACACAGTCACACTTGGTACACCAGGTCCTTCAGAGGTTCGGCCTTCAGTTCTCCTCCGCACAGTGCACACGTCTGCTAGAAGATTACAAGCTCTCGCCTCCAGTCCTGGGCTTATCTTTGGTTTTTCACCACTCTGATTTTCACGAGTGACTCCTGGCCAAACTCTGATTTTCAGAGTGCCCTGGAGCTCGAACTCTGATTTGTCAGGGTTTTTTCACACTTTTCAAATAAAAACTCTTATGTCCAGGATTCACTCCCCACGACTATTTCGCAACGTGATGCTTTATCCCTGAAGACTGCCAAATCGCACCACGCTTTTTTTCTAGGTGCGTGCCATATACACAACCCCTACAGTTACGTGCCCAAGACTTGTGCTGAATGAACGCTGAAAAGTGTAGCTTTATAGAGATTTGGGACGAAATCTGCCCAATACAGTCGGCTGGAAACTGGGATGTCTCGGCCGGGTTTTGCCAAAAAAATCATCCAGGCTCTGCTCCAAAATACTTCGACAGTGCACGCTCTGTACTCGTGGAGTCCCTAGGCAGGACTTCGGGGCATAAGCTTGACGGACCACATGACCCAAAGTGTTGGCTTAGGGGATCCCGCCGTACCTATATTTGATGCCCCGAATTCTTCCCTTGGGGCTCGCCTCAGGTACAAAACGCGTCCTCAGTCAGCACTGCATCTCGCGTTGGCAGGCATTTCGCGTGGGAATAACAACAGCCAATCTTGTCTGCCTGTGAGCGAAGTACAGAAACAATACGCCAGTGATTGGCTGGCACATGTGCTGTACCAATCGCATTTGCTGCAATGTTTACGTGTCAACCCCGTGTCAAGTTACACACGTGAAATGTAGCGTTATTGACGGTAAGGGTCAATCAAACAGCACTGAACACAGCTGGGCTAGGTTGGGTTGGGTGTGGGAAGGGGGAATGTGCATGGGTTGCGTGGGGTATAAGTGTGTTGTGACTGGTTACAGAGGACTTAGCCGAAATTTTCCAGGTTACGGCGGGTATGAGGCGGGATGTGACCAGTTGCGAAGGACTTCGCCAAAATTATCCAGGGTACGTGGGGTATGGGAGGGGTGTGACTAGCAGTCAGAGGACTTAGCCGAATACCGAGAGAACATGGAAAAATCTAGGAGCATCCCCCCGATTGAAAACTCTTCAGGGTGGTACATAGGCCAACTCTGATAAATCAGAGAAAACTTATACTTTCAAAATTTTACCCAGGACCATCAGAGTGGTTTTAAAAACGACTCTGATTTTCAAAGAATCAGGGTGATTTACTTTGATAAAATAAGCCCAGCTCCAGTCCCTGAGGAGTCTGTAGAGCCTAGTGTTCCTTACGCAGAGCTGGTGGCTTGCCTCATGTACCTCATGACTTGCACTCGTCCAGATCTCGCATACCCTCTCAGCATCCTGGCTCGCTTTGTGACCACAAACAGACACCGACCACAGCACTGGTCGACCGCTAAGAGGGTTTTGCGTTACCTAGCAAGTACATCGGGCATGGGGCTTGTGCTAGGAGGACGCAGGCCAGTGGTCCTTACGGGCACACAAACGCTTCGTGGGCGGACAACGCTGAGACGCTCAGGTCGTCCCAGGGCTACTGCTTTAGCCTTGGTGCAGGCACCAACTCGTGGAGGTCCACCCGCTCGTCGCCTGTTGCCGAGTCTAGTTGTGAGGCTGAGATCTACGCAGGTGCCATGGCAGCACAGGAGCTCCGCTGGCTGACCTTCTTGCTCACAGACTTCCAACGCTGATTTTTCAGGGTCGGTACAGAAAAACACCCTGAAAATCAGCAAAATCAGGAAGAAAATCCTGAAATCTGAGGGCACCCTTGCCTCAGAGGTTGGACTAGTAGTGCCACCCTGAGCTGCGTGTCTCTTATCAGGCATTGCCCCTCATCTAGCCTAGGGGGTGTGTCGAAACACATATGTATGTCTTATAGGCTAGATAGGTGCGTACTCTTTGAGAGTACAACTCCTTTGCACAAAAGCACCTTGTATCTCTCATTCTAGTCAACTTTCCAACTCAGAGTTTGAACCTGAAATTTCGGGCCGAGCCTGGACTTCCGAAAGTCAGGGCTGTACTCGATGTTAGCGAGGCTCGATAAGGATAAGGGATGTTCCTTACATGCACGCTGCGTTTACACTACACTCCCTCAATGCATGTACAAACATACCTAAACCACTGCAGACACGGAGGTCTCAAGCGTGCTCATGGAAGTACTCCTGGTGCTGGAACCTGATGGGCTCATTGCCCCAAAACGTCCATCCTTCACCCATCCTTTCCCAACGCACCCACCCTCAAGCGCGCGCATGGAAGTACTGCTGGTGCTGGAACCTGAGAGGCTCATTGCCCCATGACGTCCATCCAGACTCTAGGTCCCTAGCGAACAGCTCCACTGCCCTCACCTCCTCCCCCACCTCCTCCCCCACCCCCTCCCTCATCTCCTCCACCAAACCCTCCCTCACCTCCTCTCCCGCCACCTCCCTCGCCTCCACCTTTTCCTGGAGGCGCGTAGTAGCTGTATTACCCCTCCCCCCTCCCTCCTCCCCCCCCTCCCTTCCCATCTCCCCTTCACTTCCTGCCGCTCCTTCTGCCGGCTTCACACCCTCTCGTCCCACCCCTCCTGGCGCTCGAGGGAGCATGATCTGGTGTGGCGAGGAGAGATGGAAAAGGGACGCAGTGACGGCAGCAAGCAGCCCTGCGGATGGACAAGGAGAGGAAGTGGGAGCACATAAGTGTCAGGTCTTCGGTATTTTGGGTACCGAAGGATGAATTAGAACGAGGGGGTGTGATGAAATAGATGAGGCATATCAAGTAATACAATGATGATACAAATGATGATCACCAGGATTTTTGGGTGATGTAATACAATGAAAGGAGCTTCAAAGACATGTCAAGAAATAGCAAGGAATGCAAGCAATCGAAGCTCTTGTGATGTTGGTTTTGTCTGGTGGACGAAAAAAAAGCAAGAGGAAGAGAGAGGGAAGGAGGGGCATGAAAGGCTGATGAAGGAAAAAAAGAGGTGCCCAGGAAGCAAAAAGGTTCTACAAAAGTTAGGGACTTGAGCACTGAGGTTCCTCTCCTCTCCTCTCCTCTCTCCACTCCTCTCCTTTTCTTTTCAGAGCAGCATAAAGCAGAGCAGAGTCAAGTCAACCCTGATAACTATGTGATTTTTTAGGCGCCTCAAAGTAGGGACTAGAACACTGGGCTTCCTTCTCAGAGAGCGACTATGAATTAGAACATAAGGTCGTACAGAATGTAGGGACTTAGGGACAGTGGGTTTCCTTTCCAGTGCCACGTACTGCAGAGTCAACCCTGAATGCTGCTTCCAGCGGTGCTGGCTTACCTCTCAGAGGAACCTTCCTGGAATGCTCTCCTGGCACGCTGAACAGAACGAGCTTATCCAATAGAGCCTGGCGCACTTTCAACTCCATGGTAGTGTCAGGCTCATTCACACTTGCACCCATGCCCATGCCCATACCCATATCCGCACCCATATCCGCACCCACACCCGCACCCACACCCGCACCCACACCCGCACCCACACCCCCACCCACACCCGCACCCACACCCCCACCCACACCCGCACCCACGCCTGCACAGCCACTCATCACCCCAGCTTCAACTCCTCCCTGCCATTCCTTCCCTGCACCTCCCCTCTCTTGACAAACTCCTCCCCCTCCGCTCTTCCCTTCTTCCCCCCCTACGCTCCTCCCCACTCCACCACCTTCTTTCCGCCCTTCCCGTCTATCCCTGCACGCATCCACATGCGGGACGAACCACAACATCCCCCTTCCATCTTGAGGTGCTTTACGTTCAAGTCCTTTCTTGAGCGACTGGCAACCACTGCTCTCGGGGTGTGGGGGGATGGGGGCGAGTTGCCGCACTTCATAGGGCCAGTGGTGGGAGCACGCGAGGGACTTTTGAGTTGGCTCCAAAGTCACCTTGGGGTTTGGGGGGATGAGGGCGAGTAGCAGCACTTCGTAGGGGCGGTGGTGGGAGCAGGCGAGGGGGGAGAGGAGGGACGGAGGGGAGAGAGAGGAGAGCTGGACGGGGGGGGACACGACGGGGGGGAGGAGGGAGGGAGAGGAAGGGGGGATACGGAAGCAATGGATGCGGAGAGGGGCGGTGGGGGGAGGGGGGGAGGGGGGGGGCAATAACAACAACAATAGCTGAGCCACAACAACAGTGCACGTTGAACAGGTGGCTTTCCAGTTGACTCAAAAACCACCTCGAGAATAGAGCAAGCTGAACAACGAGCGCACACTACTCGACAGCAAGAGGAGGATTGAACAGAAAACCCCTTCCCCTTCTTCCCTCTCCCCTCACTCCAAACCAGCCCATCGAATCACCGATCAACCCCTCACCTTCATCCAATACCACGTCGCCACGTGTCTCGCCCCCCACGCCGGCAGCAGCTCTCTTTCCACGAACCTTCTCAGCCTCTCCCTGTTGGTCACCCACAGCGCGACCACCGCCCCATGTTGGCTCGAAGCAAGGCGGGGCACGGGGAGGGAGAGCAGGTGACGGTTGGGGAGGGTGGAGTAAGACCTGGTGCGGGCCACGCTCTTGTTCTCCCAAGGGGGGTCGATGAGGATCAGGTGGTACCCTTGGTGCTGTTGCCCGTGGCGGTACGCTTGGTGGTGCTGCCCTTGGTGGTGGTACCGTTGCTGGTGTTGCTCGTGGTGGTGCTTTTGGGAGGTTGGTTCAGGTTGAGGGTTTCGGTAGGGTGGGTGCGGCAGCTGTGGTTGGTGTGGGCTGTGGGATTGCGGTGGGGTTGGTGGTGAGGGTGAGGGTGTGGGTGACGGTGGTGGTGGTGGGGATGACAATGAGGGTGATGGGGGTGGGGGTGGCAGCAGCAGGGACGGCAGGAGATGCGGCAACTCAGAAGCACTAGACTGATGGACGGATGGAGGTGGGTGGGTGGGTGGGTGGGTGGGATGGTGAACGAGGGAGTGAAAGGGGAACTGACAGGAGTGAAACAAGAAAATATTACGAAGCAGCTCTAACAGCTCAACGGCAACGTAAACAGACGAGAAAAATCCCCCGACATGAAGAAACTGACGGTGGTAAGTAAATATAACGAAGCCGCTTAACCAGCTCACTTACAATGAGGAACCGGGACCGTGGGGGCAGGACGAACTGAGCGTCACTCCCACGAGCATCCGCATGCATGCCCAGGTGCACGCATGCTAGAGCGTCATGAGCGGCAGATGGATTGGCTACCAAGTAACGGAACAGAGGGGCGGATGAGGTGTGGGAGGAGAGGGTGTTGGGGGAAGTGGAAAGGGAGGAGAGGGAGTGAGGTGGAGGGTGGGGAGGTTCAGTGGTGAGAGGGAAAGAAAGAGAGACTTCGCACAGCTTGGATTGCCAACAATTCCCGAGAGCAACCAGATCTACGGCTACTGGTGTTGCTGGTGCTGCTGTTGCTGCTGCTGGTGCTGCTGCTGCTGTTGTCACTGCTACTGCTTCTGCTGCTTGTGCTGCTGGTGAGACGGATGCTGGCTGTGCTGCTGGTGGTCCATTGGCAGCAGAGGGGATAGTTACGCAGTGCTGCAAAGACGCGTTTCCCTCCACATCACCATTCCTTGGCCGCACACCACAGCCTGCATCCCCACGCCCGTCATTATCACACTCGCTACTGTCACACCTATGGCTCTCACACTTGACCTCCCGCCGCCCAGGCACTCCCTTACCACCTCCACCTCCCCCCTCCCCTGTCCCTTCTCCCCCCCCCTTCTCCACCCTGCACTGGTCATATTGGCCACACGGCAGTGCATGCTGCAGGGCGGGCACTTGATCCCACTCAGGGGGGATCAGCTGTGAACGGACGGATGCATGTTGAGGCTGCTCCAAACGCGTACAGAGGGCGGAGAAGGCAGCTGAGAGGAGCCCTTCAATGGCCTGAAGGGGGCACGCGTGAAATGATTGCGACAGGAGGAGAGGGGGTGTTGGGTGGGAGTGCCCAGGGTTGGGTTTGGATCTGGATTCTGGAGGCTTAGGAAAACACGTGAGCAGGGCAGGAGTCCAAAGGTAATGTGATGAAAGACTAAATCTAATGAGGTAATGTTGCCCGAACCCTTAGTACACTGCGAGGCTAAACGCTTCCTAGGTTAAGAAACTCCAACTTGCAACCTCCTTCCTCAGTCATCCCGTCCCTCAGCAAAGACAAACTATTCTCAGAACAGTTACTTAGTTACCACCTTCCAACGTGTTACACCTGTTCCTGGAATTATACCCATGGTTTCTCTCCTCCAGTTTGCGCACCTGATGCCGAGCCTCAGCTGCAGCCTCGGTCTCCCCCAACACACGATCGTGCCTCGCTTTCTCCTTCTTCTCATTGCCCCGCCGTCGCTTCTTCTCTCTCACCCTCCTCCTCCTCTCCAAGTCCTCTTCCTTTTCCTCAATCAACCCCCCCTCCTCTCCCCCTAAAACACCCCTCTTTCCCCTCGATTCCCTCCCCATCTCTGTCTCTTTATCCTCTCCTCTCTCCGCAACAGGGCCACTCTCCGCCAACCCCCCGCAAGCTCCCCCGTCTCCCTCTGTAGCTTCCCCCGTACCCGCTGATCCTTCCCCCGGCTGATCCGCCCGGCTCTGAGCTGGAGAGTCTCTAGTTTCCGTGAAATTCGCCGTGAAAGCCGCTGAAGTTATTGGATCGGTTGCGCGCCGCATTGGGTCGGTCGCGACGCGTGGCAGTGGAAGAGGCCGCTCGCGCCAGAAGTACCTCGCAGCGCATACTTCGTGATCTCGGTAACCCGCGCTTGCTGTTGCTGGCGAGTCGACGAGGACAGCGAGTGGAGAATATTTCAACGGTGATGTGTGACGGACTGACGGTGGGATCGACGGTTCACATTCGTCGGCAGGAGTTCCAGCAAGACCCATGGCAAATGAGGGAGATAAAGAATGCCTGGGTGTTCTTCCCGCCAGCAATACTGAGGCGCTGTCACGAGTTTGTTTGCGGCTCCGTAGATGCGAAACGAAGGTAACGACGGGACGGGAGCGGAGAGGTGGAAACCCGTCGCAAGTGGTCTTTCGCCAAGTGTTCGCAGAGACTGTCTGCCTGGCAAGCAAGGATGCCAAAAACCGATGGGTTGGGAGCGGACTCAGGACGAGGATGGTCCGATAGAGAGCAATTCTTGAAAACGATATCCAGGAATATAAGGACTGATTTGTAAGATCGTGTGTAGGGCAATGCCAATTATACAAAAGTGGTGTTTTGTGGTGAATAAGTCTTCCATTACCTGATGAAAGCGTATACATAAACTTTAAAAAAAAACCCAAAGTAGCATTTTACGCAACCCACCCAACCCAAGATGTAAGTCCAGTCGCCTAATCCGTAAGCTAGAGAACATGCATAACTGTTGGGCTGAGAAAAAGCCCTTAGGATCTTTTGCAGAGACTAAGTCCCAGCTTGTAGAGACTTGAGACTTGGAGTAGTGCAGCGGAAGTTGAGGCAGTTGAACCCTTGTACTAGTATGTGAGAACAAGTGATTGATTAAAGAAACAAGCATACAGCAATATATAGAAGATAAGAAAGCAGTTGTAGAATACAGTTACAGGAACGGTTTATCGAGTCGCACAGCGACTCGATTGCCGCTTCGGTTACCATCCGTGATGTTGTAACGGTCAGTCGCAACCTCCAGTTGCGACCTTTCGAGTCCTTTCGCATTCTTTGTCCGCCCCCTCGTGTAACCTCCGTTGACTCCCGTGCTCCCCTGTAATCTTCCTCGAGTACAGTGTTACACTTCAGAAACGCTTAAGTCCTTGAGATATTTCCAACACTCCCCTTCGTTTCTGGAGTGCTGGAGTGTTCAGATCCGGTGACGTTTGTTTGCCCGGTTAGGAGCATGCAGTAGTCGAATTTTGCTTTCGCCAATTTCTTCGTCAGATAATCTGCGGCCATTTCTGTCGTCGGGCAGTAACTGAGTTGAAGTCTCCCCTTCGCGATTTCATCCTTGACGAAGAAGTACCGCAGGGCGATGTGCTTGGTTCGGTTGGCGAAGCCGTCCTTGTTCGCGATTTTGATCGCAGATTGGTTGTCGCAGAGGAGTGAGAAGGCGGGCAGGGTCGCGATCTTCGCTTCTTCGAGTAACTCTCGTAGGTAGAGTCCTTCCTTGGTCGCAGTACAAAGGGCGATATACTCTGCTTCAGCCGAGGATAGTGCGATTAACTCCTGCTTGCTCGACTGCCAGGAGATAGTTCCGATAGGTTCTAGTCGGTAGATGTAGCCCGTCCTAGACCGTCGATTTTCGCTGTCTCCCGCGTGGTCGGCGTCGACGTATCCGAGTAGTTGTACGGACGGTGTTGTTGTCTTGCTGTAGGTGAGCCCGATCGTCGGCGTGGAGACGAAGTAGAGTAGCGCTCGATTGAGTTCTTCGAGATCTTCCTGTTGCGGCTGCTTCAGATGTGTCGCCAGCTGACTCGCACTATAGGATAGGTCGGGTCGGCAGGTTACTGCTGCGAATAGTAGGCAGCCGAGCTTCTGTTGATACTCCTGGATTTGTTTCGCGGGGAGTTTTGTGGAGGCGCTACTGTTGTTCCCGTAGCGGTAGGGAGTTGGGACCGCAGTCGGTGCTAGACCGAATTTCTTCGCGACGGTGCTTGAGTACTTTCCAGCGTGTAGGTAGAACGCCGTGTCGTCTTCGACGATGTTCAGTCCTAGGTACTGAGTAACTTCGTCGGACACCGTGAGAGTTAAATCTTCTTTCAGCTCCCCTTCGAACCAGGTGGCGATGTCGATAGTGGAGCCGATGTAGAGCAGGTCGTCGACGTAGACGATGAGCAGAACATAATCTCTTCCCTTCTGCAGTCGGTACATCCCTTGGTCATGCGGTAATTGTAGGAAGCCGATCTTTGCGAGACGGCCGTGGAGATGCTGCTGCCAGAGCCGCGGGGCTTGCTTGATCCCGTATAGGGATTTTGTCAGTCGGCATATTTTCGTGGGATCGTTGATGAATCCGTGGGGTTGTTCGACGAAGATCTCAGCGTCCACAGGTGCGTATAGGAATGCATTCGCGACATCGATTTGGCGTAGTGGCAGTTTTTTCGTGGCCGCGACGGCGAGTAGGATGCGTAATGAGGTGTGACGGGAGACTGGAGCGAAGGTTTCTGTGTAGTCGGCTCCGTATCGTTGGTCGAAGCCTCGTACGACCCATCGAGCTTTGAATCGTTCGATGGAACCGTCTGAGTTGGTCTTGATGCGGTACACCCATTTCCCCGAGAGAACGTTTTTTCCGTTGATGCTCGTTGCAGGTACCAGTTTCCATGTTTCTCGGTCTTGCAGAGCTTTTAACTCCTTTTCCATTGCTTCCTTCCATCTTGCCTTATGTTCCCCCCCAGAGCCTGCGACAACGTTGAAGGCTCTCTCGGAGAAGGCGGCGGCGGATTCTGGACGGAGACCCAGAGGCCTAGAATCTGGAGTCCCGTGGGCGTGTGTCGAGGGGAATTTTCATTCCCGGAATAAGCTGCTTCGTCACCGTCTTCGGGGTCAGGTAAGAAATTGGGGCCGATGCGTTCCGAAATATTCGTGTCGACGGGGTGAGGTGTAGCGTAACCTTGGTCGGCGAAGTGGTAAAAGGTGTCGAGGTTGTTGCTATCGAGGGGATTTTCTTCATCGAGTGGAACAGGTACGGAACAGAATGGGAGTGGTCCGGCAGCTTCCGAGGCTCCAGGTACGTCTTCTTCTGCTGCGTCAGCCTCGGCAGTATGGTCAGCGAAGGAGCGAAGGCCCGCGAAGCCGTCGGTGGGGTCTTGTGTGTTGGCAAGGTTGTCCAGGTAATGCTGCAGCGTCAGTCGTTCGTAGAAGATAACATCGCGTGATGCCACCGTGTTTTTGTCTTGTATGTCGAGAATTTTCCACGCGTGAAAATGTTTTGCGATGCCGAGGTGTAGTCCCCATCGAGCTCTTTGTGAGAAGCGTCCTGCTCGGGCTGTGTGGGGTCTGTACTGTACCATGCAGCCGAAAACGCGGAGTAATTTTGTGCTGCCCCTTTTTCTTGTCCACAACAGGTGCGGTGATGCGTTGTTGGGAAGTGATGACGAGGACAGCAGGTTGTGCAGGTGAACAGCATGTGTCATCGCGTCTGGCCACAGTGCGTTGGGCAGCCTCATCCCCAGAAGCAGTTTTCGCATCGTCGTCTGCAAGGTCCGGTTCATGCGTTCTGCTACCCCCTGCTGCTGGTGAGCATAGGGCAGAGACACCAGGCGTCGGATTCCCCTTTCCGCGAGATAGGTCCTGAAGCGTTGTGACTGGTATTCCAGTGCACCGTCTGACTGGAAACTCTTGAGTTTGGTTCCTGACTCTCGTTCGGCGATTGGAAGCCATGTGGTGAAGGCCTCGAAGGCTTGATCGCGCGTTTTGAGATTGAAGTGCCAGACGTATCTGGTTGCGGCGTCGATGAACGTGATGACGTAGTTGAAGTCGGCTTCGGTGTCGTCTCGAGGCATGTTTAGAATATCGCTGTAGACTTTTTCCATCGGAGCGTAAGTGGGTGCGCTTGGATTGTGATGGGCTTGGAAAGGTTGATGAGGAAGATCTGCTTCGGGGCATGTGAAACACCGTGCGCGTGGTCGTCGGAGTTCCTGGCCGTTCGTCGTCAGAAGGGCGTTGCGTTCTAACACCTCTGCTTGGATTGTTTGAAGTATCGTGCTGTTTGCAGGATGTCCGAGACGTTGGTGCCAGATGTCGTCGGGAGCGCGGTGGCCGGGCGAGCGGTGGTAGATGTCGGCGTTGGAGAAGAACGCGACGACTGAGGCGGGACTTCGACAAGCTTCTCGTGTGGCGGGCATAAGTTGGTCTGCTTCCGTTGGCGGTCCTCGTGTTGATGGTGGTGGTACTCGGCTGGGTCCTGCTGCTGATACTGCAGGTGATGGTTTTGTTGGGACACTTGCGGGTACTTGTCTTTCTTGTCTGATAACTGCTAATGCTCGTGTTCTCTCTGCTGCAGGTATGGTGTTGGAGTGCCAGAAGCCGTCACTGTCGAAGTCGGGGTCAAGATCCGGCGGGTGAGTCCAGGCGGCGAACGATACGATGCCATCGCTGTCGGCAGTTCCGCGGTCGGGGACGAAGTCCAACACGAAGACACCGGACTTCAGGAGGGCACGACCGATGAAGAGGCCGCCCTTCCCGTGGTAAAGCCGGAACTCGTTGGAGTAAGAGTCGCACTCCAGGTGAATCCCCTTGGCCATTAGTTGGCTTACGCTTAGTAGGTTGTATCCCAGATTGTCGACAATGAGCACCTTGTTGAGTTGAAGTATGACATTCGTCTCCATTGATTGTAACTGAACCACGCCCTGTCTGTTTGTCTTCAGGTTTTCGTTGTTGGCGACGGTGATGACGACGTCGCGGTTGAGTCGTTTCTCCTGTTGTACGAAGCGTCCCGAGGAGCACATGTGTTGACCGCAGCAGCTGTCCAAGAACCAGGTGTTTCGCCCGGTGGGTTCGGCGTTGGCGACCGCAGCGTATGTCGGGTTGACCTGAAGTCCTTGTGAGCGCGGCGGCGGGAATTCCTCTTCGTCTGGTGCGTAAGTGGGTGGTGATCTGGGTGCGCAGTTGTCGATGTGTACCATGCAGTTGATGATATTTGGTGTCCCTTGTGCAGATGTTGAAGAGCGCCTTGGGGAACTTGCTTGAGTGGAAGCAACTTGTGGGTCTGCTGCTCGGTAAACGCGAGGGCGGTTGCAGTTGACTTTGGAGTGTCCGGAAGTCTGGCAGTTGTGGCAGAACGGCGGCACGATGGTGAGTCCTCGGTTGTCGCGTTGATCTTGCTTGCTGCGTCGGTTGTAGTTTATGTCATTTCTTCTTTGAGTGTAGAAGACTAACTGCTGTTGCTTCCTTGGTTGTCTTTCCTCGAACAGATCCATCTCCTGTTGTTCAGCGTGAAGCTCGGCGCAGAGGTGCATCTCCGAGATCCTTCCGTGGGCGCGAAGAAGCGATCGTGTGGTTCTCCATTCTGGTCCGAGCCCGGCGAGGACAAGTGTGACGAAGCTTTCTTCAGTGATCGTTCCTCCGCACCGAAGCAGGCGGTCGCGCAGGGTCTGGCAGCGACTCATATACTGCATCGCCTTTTCCCCGGTCTTCATCTGTATTGTTGTCAGCTGTTGCATGAGTCTGCTTTGTGTCACGCTGTCGTTTGCTTGGTAGAGGCATTTGAGATGATGCCATGCGAGTTCCGCGGAGTTTCCATAACTCCGATACGTTCTGATGCTCTGCTGCTCTTGTGGTGACAGGTTCCGCAGGAGGACTGTATACGCCAGTAGCGACTGATACGTGAAGATCTCTTGTTCCTTTCCAGTGCCGTTGCTTGGGAATGGCAGGGACCCGTTGAAGTATCCCAGAAGATGCGCGGCCTCCATCAGCAGCTCGAACTCGAAGCTCCAGGTAAAGAAGTCGTGTCCGTTGAACGGTGAGGATGTTTGTAACTTGATGACGTGTGAGAATTGAGCTTGAAGACTGAGAATCTCGTTTGGTGTTTGTTGTGATGCAGCTGCTGTTGGTTGGGCGCGGGGCGGCATGAACTCGAACGTCCCCGGTGAAGAATGATAAGGCGCAAAGGTAGGTGCTTGGTTGTGTCGCCCGAAGGATGAGTTGTCGAGGCTCATCGGCGCTAATCCCATGTTTCCTCCATTGCTCTGTGTTGAATGCGCAGGTGTCCTTGTCTGCTGTTGCTGGTCGAAGTGTGACATGAAGCTGAAGAATCTCTCCATGAGATTCGGGTCCACACTTGAAGAGGGAGACGGAGTCACCATCTCTGGTACTCTTCCTGTTGTTTCTTGAGCAGTCCCGGTCTCTGTCTGCAATCCTGAGGTGTGCAGACCAGAGTTGCCGTGTTGAGTTTCTTGGCCGCTGGGTGAGCCCGTAGAGGCTTTCTTGCCCTTGCTGTCCATGTCTTGTAATCAATGAAGTCGTTGAATTGAGTTGAGTTGCAGTTTGTTGATGGAGCGTAGTTGCTGGGAGTTTGATCTCTGACCAGCTCTCATACCATGTTGGGCTGAGAAAAAGCCCTTAGGATCTTTTGCAGAGACTAAGTCCCAGCTTGTAGAGACTTGAGACTTGGAGTAGTGCAGCGGAAGTTGAGGCAGTTGAACCCTTGTACTAGTATGTGAGAACAAGTGATTGATTAAAGAAACAAGCATACAGCAATATATAGAAGATAAGAAAGCAGTTGTAGAATACAGTTACAGGAACGGTTTATCGAGTCGCACAGCGACTCGATTGCCGCTTCGGTTACCATCCGTGATGTTGTAACGGTCAGTCGCAACCTCCAGTTGCGACCTTTCGAGTCCTTTCGCATTCTTTGTCCGCCCCCTCGTGTAACCTCCGTTGACTCGCGTGCTCCCCTGTAATCTTCCTCGAGTACAGTGTTACACTTCAGAAACGCTTAAGTCCTTGAGATATTTCCAACAATAACCATCACTTTCGGGGTCAACCGGTGTTTAAATATAATTTTTTATGTTTTATTGAAGGTATTTTTACATGGATGTACTATGCTCAACACCATAACATGAAGAAGTAGTGAAGAAGTTATACCTTGGAGTTTGTGGGAAATATTAAAGAACTGTTGTAATGCAGTTTCTCGATCTGTTGCAACCGAGGACGATGGCTCAGGCCTTGCATGCAGTTTTCGGCGCCGCTCTCCAGAACATCTCGAGTCAGACAGAGACCCGAACCAAATTTCGGTGGTGGTTGCCAGTGGCGGTGTCAGTCTCTAGGGATGAAACTGCCTGGCTGAGTCAGACTGTCTTCTCCAGTTCTCCTCCATGGAACCTCCCCCTCTTCCATTGTACCGAGCTCGTATTCCTGAGGAAGGAGGACAATATGACGAGGCGGGATCGTTGAGCTCTGGTTTGCTCCAGGTAACGAAAGTAAACACTTCCGAAGTAGACGTTACCATGTCCGACCAAGCTGTACAATGGCTATGCAGGCAGCTCGAGGAAGAAAGGGCGGAGAAGCAGCGTCTTTTAGATCAGCTTCATCGTGAAAGGCTAGAATGTAGAAGATATCAGGAACAGCTCGCCAAAGTTTCAGCGGAGAGGGACATGGCAATGGTAAGGTGGAAATTCTATTCTGTGACGTTTTCGATTCGCAATTTTGGTTTTTTTTTTTTCCTCAATGATTGTTTTCTTACTACCTCCTATTGACTCACAGAGAATTTGTGGCGTCATTTCCCGTGGAAGATCGGCATCTCCTATTGACCGACCGGCGTCGCCCATGTTATCCCCGTCTCGCTCCACTTTTTCCACTTTACCCAGAGCTTACACGGCAACTTCAACCTCTCTAGAGCAGCATACCCCACCTGCATGGAAAAGGGAGATGCACCATGGAGAACCCGATTCTCATTACCCAGGACAGTCTCCATACAGCTATAAGCCGACCAATCTGAAGTCGCAATACACCAACCATCTTCCACGAGTCAACGAAGGCGGGAGTGTCATGATGGGAGACGCTCGTACAGCTCAAGTTCCTGGACCGAACCGTTTCAACTTCAGCGAGGAGAGAAGCATGAGCTCGGAGTATCAGTCTCCGTTTCCAGCCAGGCTGACAGCTTCATCTGCTTACATCGATCGTGGGACGAGGATGCCTTGTAGGTGGGGGAAGGAGTCAAGGGGCTACGATCAGAAGATGGAAGCATCGAAATTGGTTCGATCTTTCAGTACCAGCGTCTATGACCAGGTATCCACCAAGGCCGAAATGGCACGTCCTGGATCGCAAAATCTAGCTCAGAAGTTGACTTCGTGCTTCTCGCCTGGATCCGTTTCAGGCGAAAGCATTGACATGATGAGTTCTGCAGGCGTAACCATGGATGTTGGAAGCTGGGTGAATGAGCATGAGGAATCAGCTGCTGGAGAAGACTATAAGGATAAGGCATCAAGCGCAAATACTGAACTGCTGCGTTCCGAGCCTTCAACCAGAAGGTCATCGACCTCTGGGAAAGTCACAGAAAAGGGCTCAGTTCGTCCATCCGGCATTGAAGAGTGCAAAGGAGTGTCAGGTGTAAACGAGACCCAGAAAGGTCCAGCTCCGAAGCAGCCAGCACCAACTTTTCGAAGTCTCAGCAGAGTGGTCGTTGCTGAGCTGTCAGTGTACAAGAATGTGCCTCCTGAAGACATTGTGAAGCTGTGGTCAGCCGTGCTCACGCTTATTGGTAAAAGCAGCATTTCAAAATTTCCTGCATCTTTGCCTTTTTCCTCAAATGGCTAACATAGCGTATGATCCTGTGCAGGGTTCCGGGATGCCTCATATGACTCAAACATGAAGACAAAGGCTGTGTGGAGGGAGATCCAGAAGCGGCTCATCACCGCATCCACGAACCAGCAGCACAGGATATCAAGCATCTACTGCTGTTTGAAGGAGGTAGAGAAGAGGATTCAAGGTCAGCCGCCAGATGCTACCACCGTGAAAGTCGTCAGAGGAACTCTTCCTAAAGTTGACAGAGTCACGTCTTGCAGCAAACCAGCCGAAGCTTTGCATGTGTGGGTCATATCTGCCCTTGACCAGTTCACAAAGGAGAAACGCTCGACTGGAGTCACAGGTGGAGGGTTGTGACTGACATGTGGGGTTTGATTGGCATGGGGGGAGGGAGAGAATACCTTTCCACTCGATGGAAACAACTCTGAATAAAGCAGCAAAAGCGCTGTGTGTAGAGGAGTTCAGATTGGTGACACAATGCTTTTAGGCGACTGAACAAATGCTGTAGTTTCTTAGTGGCGGCAAGCTTCACTAGCCAGTTTCAACCTCAATGTTAATTGAAGAATGCGTGGTATCTATAGTGGCTGGACAATACTCGTTCCCCAGCTAAGATTGTATCACTCTTTTCTATAGAGGTCAACAGACGTTTTTTTGTTCACAAAAGCAGCATGTTGCACGTTTCCGCCGGTCTTGCACGTTGCAGGCTATGGCTTGGCCTTATTATGGAAAACACCCTTGGTGTTGGCTCCTGCCTGGCCGTTATTCACTTCGCCAGCAAGGACGGCTCTCTCAGCCATACAGCTGCTGTGACATCCACCCATGAATCCGGAACCCCAGGTAAGCACCAGTGCCTGCAGTCTGGTTGCGATTGCATTGTAGTTCTTGGTTTCCCAGCAGCTGTGCCATTCAACGCTCCAGGCATCGTTGTGCTGCTGCTTTTGGTATCATCAGCCTCCCCATCAGCAAGCGTCCCTCCACCACCTAATACCCCCCATACTCCAGTGTGCCCGTCTGGTCGTGCTGTAGAAATGGCAGTGACGTCTATAAAGCGTACAGGATTGGGGGACGAGAATGCTGCTCTTTGGGCTGAGACGTAGTCAAGTGTGGTGGTTGAGCTGCCAAGTACAATGGCAGCAGCAGTGGGGGTCAATGGACGGTCTGCTCCACATACACCTGGCTTTGATGCATAGGATGAATCCCATCGATGAGAGGGCGACAATGATATGAAGTATGGCAGGAGCCTTGACCTGCAAAAGGGAAGGATAGGGAAAAGGGAAACACTCAGATTACAGTAAGTGCCAGTAGCAACGAACAGTCAAGAGCGGAAGGACAAGAATAGTGACATACCTATATGTTCCGAGGTAATTTCGAAGAGTGTTGAGCGAATATTTATGCGCATTCAGGTCCTTGAGAAACACTTGCTGTCCCTTTATCTTATATACGTTTGACTGTACCCTCCCGGGAACATTCGCCTGCCACCACGTGCCACTTGTCAGCACGACAACATCCATGTTTGGGACAGCTCCCATTAGCGCTGGGTCGACGACGTCCAGGTCAACATTGTAACCGTGTTTGCCTCGCCCGCTGGCGGTCTTCGTGGAATTCGTGACTGCTTGCATAAGGTACGCCGAGAAGCGGTATACGATAGTGGTGTTGGATGACGCAATGAAGAATCCCACGTAACGGTAACCACCATACCGCTTTTGAACCAGCTGAAACAGGGAAAGAGGAGGAGCGGCCGCAATAACCGTGACTTGTAAGTGAGCAATGCGTAGCATTTAGAGGTTTCGCGCATGAATTTCCAGGCGTTTGTAACGATGGCCAGACCAAATAATGAGGTTCACGACCCTTAGTTTCCCCCTTTTTTTCTCTGTTCGTTCCCTTTTCCACCTCGCTCCCAGTCCCCCCTTCTCACCCTGAGATTGACGCCACTGGCGTACAGCAGGCACACGAAGCTCTCCCACATGTTGCTCATCAGCGAGTCCCCCACGAACCCCACCGTCTTGCCGCGCATCTGGGCCAGAAACGCCTTGGCGCTGAACCGCGGCAGGCTGCACTTATCCGGCACCCACCGCTGCTTCTCGTACAGCCGGTCCGGGCGGCCGTTGCCGCGGCAGTTGAATATGGAGCGTACGTACGGGCAGGAGACGTAACGAGGGTAGTTCTTGGAGTAGCGCCACTCGCCGACGGACATGTCGCACTTGGTGGGTGTTGGCGTGGCGAGAGCTGCTGCTGATGACGACGATGGCGCTGCTGCGTGCGTGAGATGCGCGCCCAAGAGGAGGATGGAGGAGAGGAGTAGGAGCGCAAGCGGCGCTTGAAGTGATGATGATGGAAGTGTGGGTGTTAGTATGCGACTGGGTGCAATGTGGGGTCGTAACGGTCGCAACGGTCGCAACGGTTGCTGGTGCCGTGCCATCGAATTCGCCGATCCTTGCATCCCTCGCGCTTGGTGCGAACCTTCTCTCAGCATCGTCGTTCTCCAAAGGGAACCTCGAACCTCAGATAAAATACTCAACGGCCACAAACAGGCGTCTGACTAGGGACGATTCCTCGCTAGTTAGGACGATCGGTCGCGAGGTAAGCGGCGCGCTTGGCGCAATAGTATAACGCGAACGTGAAAACGGAGATTGCGGCGAGAGGTGGTGATGCGAGCTACCAGCGTCCACAGCGTTTCTGACTACAGACCGCTATGCACTCTCCACCCGCAAGCGTTCTGGCCCTATTTCTAACGCATCCGCGGACTGCCAAAGTGGCTAAGAAACTAAGAACGTTCAGGGGGCAGTCCGGGGGAGGAGGAAGGAGGGCGGAGGGGGAGGTATGCAATGGCGGTTCAGGCGAGGGAGGTTGCGAATGTGCCGAGGCAAGGGCTGGATTGTAAGGGGCGGTCTGGTATGAGGAGCTAGCTAGACCTCAGGGCGTCATTCTTTGGCGCTAGTCAAGAGAGAGAGGAAAACGGTGTGTTTTGAGTCGGCGCAAAATGCACCAGGCTGGGTCGTAAGGGACGGTGGTTGTCCCTCCCTGGTATCCTCCTAACTAGACTTCAGGGCGTACGACGCTCGTTCGCTCTAGGATAGTCGAGGGAGAGAGGAAAATGACGGAGAGGAGGTGCTAAGGTGGAGGAAGCACAAATGGAGAACGATCAAGACGAGGGCGTGGGGAAATGGAGGTGCTCTGGCCACCGTCCGTGATGCTTCGGTTGGGCGCTGGCGCTGCCAGGGTGGAATGTCGGCGACGCGCTCCTTCTGCACCGAGTATGTCTGAGTGTGTTTTTCTGCCGTGGTTGTCGTCTCAACCTCCTTCCTCTATCGCTTTGCTATCCGTGGGCCATCATCCAGGGCTGTCGTGGTTGTCCTTACTATGACCTATCGTTGATCGTCGCTCGCAGTCGTTCACAATCAGTCACGGTCGGTCACGCTCGAGGGACGCTGGAAGCCTCACACTCACACCGCGAAGGGCTGCTCGGCTTCGATGACGGAATGATGCGTAATAAGCAGCGTGTGCTGGCCGCGCGCGTCAGCAAGCCCTGATGAAAGCTCAGTCAGTTTGTTGATGGGGGAAGTTGTTGGAGTTGGGTGCTGTGCTGTGGGCGCACTGTGTTAGGGGCATACCCTGCACGATGTCTGATTGACAACAAGGCCCTCTTGTTCCCCCTTCGTCATGAGTCGTCGTGATGCAGGTAATTGTGTGTGGCTGGATTTGACAAGCACTGGTTCCCCGTGTCGGCTCGAAATCGCCTCCCTCCTGTGGATGGACAAGAAAATGAAATGTGGAATGTGCGGGAGAGAAATCGAGCCGCATTGCGGGCAATTTTGTTTTCGCTGGCAGCCTCGACAAGGAAGCTTTCGCCGTGATGTGCGGAACAGGTGGCAGTATAAGATATGCCTTCGGAAGTTTGGACGACAACCCAAGTTTGGACAAGATAGATTTTTTTCGTTTTTCACAGGATGACAGTCTAATTCACGCGTATACTCGTGATATTAAAAAAATCATTGTACATTCCCTCATCCGAAGCGATTTATAGGGACTCCGCCAATTTCTCGCTGAAACACACTGCTGCAGTGCACGTTTAGGTGGAGACCAGGGCTTCGGAAAAGAGTAGACTGGGAAAAAACCTGGGGTCTGTTGTTTTCTGGGTAAATAGGTGTACAGATTGAGAAACCAGCTTTCTTGTCCAAACTTGGGTTGTCGTCCAAACTTCCGAAGGCGATCTAAAACGTAGGCTGGTGATCAGAATTCTTTGAAGAATGGGCAAGGATTTCTCTGCCCCCTAGTTCGCAAAAATGAACAATCGAATTGGCGCGCGAAACATCACCTCTGCGAAGCCAGCATTCCGTTCAGCTGCGAATCTTTTCCCGCCACAATTTTGTGTTCATTGTCGCGACACGAGTCCTTTTCTCATAGCTGCCGACCCGAGATACGCACAGTCAAGCATACCTATACGGATATAACAAAAGGAGTGGTTACACCTTGTTGGTACAGCCCCATCATGAGTGATGTGTGTCACCATCAGCAATGAGCTTGTAGGTATAAGATGATTTCTAATTGGGACACCAGCCCTAGTAGCATACCCTTTTAAACATCTCACCTTCGAAAGGTTCTCCTATTATCCTACAAAACATGGCAAGCCTAAACGGACCTAGCCTTGCCATCTTCTCACCAGTCTTCAAGCACAGACCCCTCTCACACCCTACTGGAAGCTGGCACTTGCACAGACCAAAGCCTGCTTGATCGTGACTTGCCAATCCAGTCAGGAGTGCCTTGAGCACTTCAGAGAAAGCGAAATCCACCTCTTTCTCACTCTCGTTTCCACTCAGGTGATATTTACACCGCCGAGTTAGTCCTTCGCACACCGTCTTGCACATCCCACACAGGCTCCTGCAGTCCACTCCATCCCTCTCCTCCATTCCGTCCTCATCTCCATTCTCCACTCTACCCTCTTCCATTCTCTCATCAATTTCTGTCTCCCTTCTCTCCTCCTCCCTTCCCTCCTGAATCCGCCCCTCCCCATCACCCCTCCACAGCCCGTGTCTACACCATTCTGTGCACACCATGCAGTCAACAACAGCTGCTATTTGAAACAGGTCGTATCTGGCCTGCAGTAACGGGGCAAGGCCCCCCCTCCTTTCCTCTCCTCCTCCTTTCTTCTCCCCTCGTCCAACTTCCTCCCCCCCTCCTTTCTTCTCCCCTCGTCCCCCTTCCTCCCCCCCTCCCAGCTCCCCCCCTTCATCCCTCTCTGCCTCCCTTTCTGGTGCCAGCTGGTCTTCCCTCTCCCTTCGCCACGCCACTTTCAGCAGGCAGCGCATGGCGCGAGCAGCAAAGAAGGCACAGAAGGCGAGGAGGGAGGAGAAGTGCATACCTGGTGGGGATGAGGCATGAGAGAGAAGCTGACATGCACTGGTAGAAGTCCTCGATGTAATGCACCCTCGAAGTCCCGGTCCACATGGCTTTCTACCAATGCTCAGTACAGATGGACATAGATACACACACACACACACAACATCGCTAGACAACCACCCAGGTTGGCCTTGAGGTTCCGCTGCACAAGCTGCCTGAAGTCCCCGTGGGTCAGCTTCCCCCCCCCCGCCACCATCTCAAGGTGACTCACCAGCCCACATGGCTTTCTACACAGGCAGTCACCAGCACACACACATGCACACACACAATCACATGCGTCAACCACCCGAGTTAGCCTTCAAGTTGCGCTGTACGAGCAGCTGGAACTCCCTTTCTGAGTCATCTCCCCCCGCCCCACCATCTCAAAGGGATTCACTGGCCTGCGTGGCTGCCTACACACACACATGCATGCACATCCCCACCCACCCACCCACCCACCCGCCCACCCACCCACCTACCCGAGTTGGCTTTCAAGTTGCGCTGCACGAGCTGCAGGAACTCCCGCTGAGTCATCTCCCCCCGCCCCACCATCTCCCGCACATCGCAGATCGCCTCTGCTGCCTCCTCCTCGTCCTGCTCCAATAGTCGCCACTGGTGGGGGGCACCGTGGGGGCGGGGTGGGGGGGGGGTGGGGGAGAGAGAAGTGGGAAGGGGGGGGGGGGGGGGTGTTGAGAATTCTCAAAGATCGCCTCCACTGCCTGCCTCTCATCCTGCTTCAGTAGTCGACACTGGTGGGGGGAACGGAGGGAAGGGGAGAGAGGGAGGGGGGGTAGTGGTGGGTTAAGGAGACTTTTCAAGGTTCGCCTCTGCTGCTTCCCTCTCGTCCTGCTCCAGTAGCCGCTGCTACGGGGGCACGGGGCGCAGAGGAGAAGGGTGGGAGGAGGTCATGGGGGAAGGAAAAGGTTGGGTGGATGAGACAGTGCAAGCGGAAGTAATGAGTCTGCTTTTGAGTCGACTTTTGAGTCTGCTTTTGAGTCGACTTTTGAGTCGACTCAAAAGTGAGACGGTGCAGGCTGAAGCATGCAGGAGAGGCGTGGAGCGAGCATGCACAAGGGTGAGGTTAGAAGGCACGCCGTGAGCCTTTTAAGGGGACTGAGAGAGAAGAAGAATCAGTGTAGTGTGCGTGCGAGTGTGTGGGCGTGTGTGTGGACATGAGCGTTGCACATGCATGCTTTCTTTGAGAACTGTATGTGTGTGCGCGTGAGTGTGCGCGTGAGTGTGCGCGTGAGTGTGCGCGTGAGTCTGAACGTGAGTGTGCGCGTGAGTGTGCGCTTGAGTGTGCGCGTGAGTGTGCGCGTGAGTGTGCGCGTGAGTGTGAACGTGAGTGCGCGCGTGAGTGTGCGCGTGAATGTGCGCGTGAGTGTGCGCGTGAGTGTGCACGTGAGTGTGCGCGTGAGTGTGCGCGTGAGTGTGCGCGTGAGTGTGCGCGTGAATGTGCGCGTGAGTGTGCGCGTGAGTGTGCGCGTGAGCGTGAGTGTGAGCGTGAGTGTGCGCGTGAGTGTGCGCGTGAGTGTGCGCGTGAGTGTGCGCGTGAGTGTGCGCGTGAGTGTGCGCGTGAGTGTGAACGTGAGTGTGCGCGTGAGTGTGCGCGCGTGTGTGTAACGTCCATGTGGGCCTTACAGTGTGCATGAGGTTAGAGCCGTTGATCCAGTTGTGGTTGATTGAAATGGTGTCTTCCTGCAGGGGTGGCAACGAGAACGAGGGATGGATGGTGGGGATGACATGGCGGCCGGAAGAGGGGTTGGGAGGGATACAGAGGGATACAGAGGGATACAGAGGGATACAGAGGGATACAGAGGGATACAGAGGGATACAGAGCGGGAGAGAAGGCAGGAAGTAGGAAACAGTTGACGCTGTGAGTGACTGTAAGAAGGCCGGAAAGAGAAAACTGGGAAGTGGGGAGGAGGGAAGTGGGGAGGAGGGAAGTGGGGGACTTCAGAGCAAAGGCAGCAGAATAGAGGGGTTCCTCATCAAAGGAACCCCTTTGTTGTAAAGTCCCCCTGGAATGCAGGAAACCCATAACCCCTCGATTTTTTAGTCGACTCATTACACACGGAATGCAGGACACCCATATTCCAAACAGTCATGCTTCAAGTCGAACGCTTGAAGCAGGAATCCGCCCGCTTAGAACCGCACGCTTGCATGGCAACTCAAGCCACGTAGACAGATACATGCGGAGCGAAGGGACAAGAAGGGGAGGAATGGGTGAGTTACGAAGAGGAGGAGACTTGAAAGTCAAGGGATGGGTAAAGACAAGGGTGAATGAGGGGGTGGGGGGGATGGCTGACTGACCATGTTAGTGACTTGGTGCGGCCACGCACTGGGCACAAAGATGGCGTCCCCCGCTCTCTGATCCACCATCATCCATACCGCCTGCTTGGTTGCGAAAGGGGTGGGAGGGAGTGGAGCGCCGATCGTGTTGACAACGTGCCCCTTATGGGGAGCCTCAACCTCAAGTGATTCTTGAGTCGACTCAAAAATCACTTATGGGAAGCCTCGAAAGCAGCAGTCAGCGCCTTGTGGAAGTCTGAAAGAGTGAGGGATCCACAGGCGAGTCGACGGCGTAGACGGGAGTGGAGCGGGTGTGCTTATGCGCATGTGTGTGGGGGGGGGGAGGCCCCTGAAACACAACCGACTACCTTGTGGAAGTCTGGAAAGAGCGTGGCGTCCACTGGAGAGTTGATATCATAGATGATAGTGGAGAGGGTATGCTCGTGCGTGTGTGTAGGGGGGGGTGGGACTTGGGGACATACAACACGCCTTGTGGAAGTCAGGAAAGAGTGTGGCATCCACGGGAGAGTTGACATGGTACACGGTAGAGGAGCTGTGGTGCCGGTGCATGACATGCTGCTTATGAGGCGCCTGAAACAACAGTAGTCAGCAGTACCTTGTGGAATTCTGGAAAGAGCGTGGCGTCCACAGGAGAGTCGACGTCGTAGACGGTAGTGGAGCGGGTGTGCCGGTGCGTGACATAGCGCGTCTGGTCGGGCGAGAGGAAAAGCCAGCGCTTGCGCCCGCACACGTTGACGCTCCAGCTGAAGGAGCGCAGCACGTCCGTGTGGAGAGGCGTCCACGTGCCTGGTGGGGGGGAGAGAATGGGGGGAGGGGGGGAGCGGGGGAGGGGGGCACAATGGATGGGGTTTTGAGAAGCGTCACAACCAGGCCTGCCTGAGCACACGTTCACCCTCCACCTGAACGATCGCAGCACGTCCGTGTGGAGCGGCGTCCATGTGCCTGCAGGTTAGGGCGGGGAGAGAAAAAGGGAAGGCTTACGGTCGACTCACACACGTTCACTTCACGCTCTAGGTGAAGCAGCGCAGCACGTCCGAGTGGAGGGGCGCCCATACGCCTGGAGATTGGGGGCGGCGGTGGGGACGCAGGCAACGGAAAGCGTTTCGTTTTGAGGCACCTCGTTACTAGGCCTGACTTCTGACGCCTGACTTCTGACTCGTGATTACACGTTGACGATCCAGCTGAAGCAGCGCAGCACGGCCGAGTGGAGAGGAGAGGCGTCCACGAGCCTGCTCCACTGATGCTTGCCTGCCACGGCCGCATGTGACGAGCTGCAGTGGCGGTTCCGATGACATGACATGACATGACATGACATGACATGACATGACATTACATGACATGACATTACATGACATTACATGACATTACATGACATTACATGACATGACATGACATGACAAGTCCACATGTAGCACAGGATTGAATCGCATGGCCATGCCATGTCATGTCTCCACAGACGGCATGGCACATGGCATAGCACACGGCATGGCACACGGCATGGCACACGGCATGGCACACGGCATGGCACACGGCATAGCACACGGCATGGCACACAGCATGGCCCATGGCATGGTATGGAACGAAGCTCACCAGCCCGACCCATGTAGACAAAGCGATAGTCGTCGCAGCAGCAAGAGTCATCAGGCTGCAAGGACTGGCCAGTCGCTTCCAACGCGCAGCCAGTGGCACTAGTAGCAGCAACAGCAGCAGCTGAATCAGCAGCATCAGCATCGGCCGGAGGAGCAGCAGCGGCAGCAGCAGGGGAGCAGTGGGGGCAGGAGCAGGAGCGCGCATCCGCATGGTCGTTGAGCCAATCATCCTGGAAGAAGGCGGGTGTGCGGTAGGACGCGTACGACGGGTGGTCCTGGGGGTGGGGGGGGGGGAGGAGGGGACGACGGGGGAGGAGGGGGAAGAAGCACATGTGATCTTGAGGCATCTTAGAAATAAATCGTGGGCGTGCGTGCTGTAGGCGTGGTAACATGGCTGGTCCTGAGGATAGTTTTGAGGCGCCTCAAAACTGGGAGGAAAAAGGGAAGGAGGCTTAAGCGAAAAGGACAGAGAAATTTGAAGAGGCGGGGGGCAGGGAAGAGGGGGGAGGGGGGGGTGCTGTGTGTGTGGGGGGGGGGGTTGGGTTGGAAAGGGAGAGGAAAGGCAGCCATACACAAACGCGCTTGCACTCACACACTCACACGCGTGAAGAGCCAGTCCTTGAGATAGAACAGAGGCTGCCCTCCATTTGTGTCCGTGGGCCCCCCCCGTGGGCCCCCCCCGTGGGCCCCCCCACGTGAGCCCCCCCGTTGCCCTCTCCGTGCCCTCCCCCTGGGGCTCGCGCTCACTGCGCCACGAACCCCCGTACGCGCATTGCCACGCGCCCTTGCACTCACACACTCACTCACATGCGTGAAGTGCCAGTCCTTGAGATAATAGAGCGCCTCCCCTTCACTTGCGCCCGTGCCCCCCCCCGTGGGTCCCCCAGTGGCTCGCGCCCACTGCGCCACGAACTCCCGCACGCTCATCGCCACGCGCCGCTGGTCCGTGAACTGCTGCTCGCCGCACGCCGCCACCTGCGGGGCAGCACGGCGGAGCAAACACCGCGCATGAGCGATGGACACTGACGGGCGGGCTCAGGGGTGAGCTGCGGGATGGAGTCACGGGTGGGCTGAGGGATGCATGAGGGCGCGTGCTGAGTGCCAATATTGAATTAAGTTATCGCAGTGAAGACTACTATAGCGCGCAGACCACCACCCAAATGTGCCCAATCGAGATGCACCGGAAACCAAGAACGAGATTTTTTGCACTTAGGACGCGCCCTGAGTGTACGGAGGATGCAGACAAGGGGTTCTGGGTGGTGACTGCCGGTACGTTAGCTGCGCCGAATGCGGGCAGGAATCTAAGGCCGCTTTCACCTGCACTCGCGAATCCCCGAACGCGTCTCGGAACAGCGAGAGGTTCGGCCCGCCATCTGCGCGCCGCCATTCGCGGAAAGCACGCCACGTGTCCGCCACGCCACGGATGAGAACGGGATTGCCGGGATGCATGTACCGATCGCAGAAATCCTCGTACGACAACTGCGATGCGTCTTCGACGGGGATGTTGCCAACTACGGGGACTCGCACGTCGCCCAACCTTTCGCATGGCGTCGCGTAACTCTCGCCGCCACCATCATGATGTCGATGGGTGACAGATTGCATTTTGTCAGGAGGCTTGTGGAAGAGGAGGGCCTAGGGGGAAATGCTGAAGGCGGAATTTTGTGTGGCGTTGTTTAATTGTATGAATTACCTCTTGAACGAATACACTCATTCAATCATCTACGTTGTTCCGTACCTTATGTTATCGGGTATTTGAATGGTTGGGTCTGGCTCGGGGCTCGTGCTTGTTGCTTCAGCCACCCCCAACCTGCGATTTCTCCACGTGGCAACATCAGACTTTACCAGGCCGCATGCAAGCCGTCCAATGTCGAGCTGTCCTAAAGAGCGCGCCTCGGTCCTCCCAGCGGAAAAATTTCGAGTATTTTTCTAACAGCACGGTGGTGCAACAAGCAGGGAAAATGTAGAAGTTTACAGCACTTAGGTAAGTGAGACCGTCACGTGACGCTGATGCATCAGGGGAGTCGCGTGACGCTGGAACATCCATTGGTGTCGTCACGGCGCCGACGTGTGCTGCTCTCAATCCATTTGAAAAAGCAGCCACCGTACTGTACCACTTAGTGATGTCCCAAGTCGTCACATCACCCTCAGACCTTTGTAAGGCTAAGCAAGAAACAAGGAGCAAGAACCAGACTGGTGCTCCCATTCTTGGGTTTCGGCTTCTGGCGAGTCCGCGGTAAATATGCTAGTGGCCTTGTCTTGAACATTTCCTTGCGATAATATGCGGCGCTGGTGGGAGCATTTGACGTCCTACTGATAGAAGGGAGGAGCATGTGCGATATACTATACGGCCTTGGTTCGTACCTGTGCGATGCCTGCGAAGTAGCGTCTATAATCGAGCCCTCACTCTGGTTGACCATTCCTAATCGATGAACCCTTACTCACAATAAGAACTTCTAACGCCACTTCTAGTACTCGATACGTGGTTTAGAGGAGGACATCGGCGAGGCCACGACTTCCAGCTCTTCTGGACTGGTACTTAGTACTAATAACTGGGAGGCAACTCTTCTGATGGATCCGAGATTCGAGGCGCATCGGCGCGAAGCGCTGTCGGGTTCGGAGGAGCCACACTATCTCCCGAAGAATACGAAGCGCGTAACTGACGAGGAATTCGAAGACTCCAGTGATCTCGAGGGTCGAGAGGAATCCGAGGAGGAAACCGAGACGCCTGAAGACGAGGATGCGGCGCCGACGCTTGACGTGGCGTCTGACGCCACTCTGCTGCACGGGATTCTCGAGGTTACTGTTCACGAGGCGCGGAATATACCCACCATGGATAACATCGCGTATCACGTGGACAGGTGCTTCTCGCTGTGCACGCAGCCCTGCTCGACGCGACCACATCACCCGATTGTAAGGGGCTCAATTGTGAGCAAATTATTGTAGTTATATCTTACCCGCTTATACACCTCACTAAATTTACGCGATATAAATTAAATTCCCCACATTACTTCACCACAACCCCCGTTGATGCCATTCTCTTGGCATGTTCCTCTCATCGTTTTTTTCAAGAGTCGCATCGCATCTGCTGATGTAGTACTTGTGAAAGCATGCATCGTGCTTGCATCACCCGTGCGTGTATGACCCATTCTCCTGATGTCAGGGCACGCGCAACGACCCCTACGTCACCATCTACCTCGGCCCTGCGCGTGTCGCGCGCACAAGGTCCGTTTCCGACTCGCGACTCGCGACTCGCCACTCCCTACGGTCTTCCGCTCTTCGTTCTTTCCCCTTGCGACGTGTTCTGTTTTTTTAACCTTTACAATGCCCGTTTCGGAAAAGTACTGTAGTTCATTCTCTTCCTGTTCCTCCCGCCGTCTCCCTTCCTCGTTGTGCCACAACCGTCACAATCCTCCCCTCGCGTCTCCCCTTCTCTCCCCCCCCCCCTTTCCCCCCCCTCTCTTCAAAACTCATTGCCCAACGTGCTTGTGTGCCCATCTGAACATCCGTCTCCCGCGTTCTTCTCCCAGGGTGGTGCACAACAAGCGGCACCCTGTGTGGGAGGAGCACTTCCGCATCCCCGTCGCGCACCACTGCTCCTCGCTCTCCTTCACGCTCAAGGTATCTTTCTAGCGCACCCCCACCGTCCATGACAATGACACCGCGCTCTCGAGGCCCGCCGCCGCATGTCTTTACAGATTGTTAGGGCGCTTAAAATTTCGCGTGTTTTTAGGATCTTGAGTGAATTCACCACCTCGCCCCGCCTCTTCTTCCCGCACACCCCCGCCCCGCCCCCCCACCCACCCCCTTCCCTCCCCCCTCCCCTCTCCCCATTCCCCCTTTCCCCCCTTCCCCCTTCCCCCTTCCCTCTTCCCCTTCCTCCCCCCGCGACCAGGACGACGACGCAGTGGGCGCGAAGCTGATCGGCAAGGCGGTCGTGCCGGCCGCCAGTCTCCGCGCGGACGGCACCCCCGTCTCCGCGTGGTTCGACGTCATCACCTTCGGGCGCGAGCGCGCGCACCCCGCGCAGCTGCGCCTCTCGCTCCGCCTCGCGCCCGTGGGGAAGGACCCCGCGTACGGGCGCGGGTGGGGGAGGGAATCGCGCGTGGAGAACGCGTATTTCCCCCTGCGCCGGGGGTGCCGCGTGACGCTGTACCATGATAGCCACGTGGCGGCGTCGTTCAAGCCGGGAGTGGCGCTGGAGGGAGGGAGGGAGTACACGGAGAGCTACTGCTGGGAGGACATCTGCAGGTGAGTTGCGGGGTTTAAGGGATTGGGGTGGAGGGGGGGGGGGGAGAGGCGGAATCAGAGTATCGCGGTTTGGGGGGTAGGGTTTTGTGCTAGGGGTGACGTGTGCTAGTTTGTGCTGTGACTTGGGGAGGTGGGGTTCTGCATGTGACAACCACACTCCCTAAACCCTACAGTTCATATATTCGTTCCTCAACTTATCCCAGTCGTAGACTCTCCCCCCAACTCCACCCATGCGTTTCATCTGGGTCGTTTCATCTCCCCCGTTTCACCCGGCACGTTTCATTCACCCCCTGTCTGACCTCTTGGAGGGCAATCCTGGACGCCCGCGAGGTGATCTACACAGGAGGCTGGTCAGTAAGCAAGAAGAGCTTTCTCATGCGTGATTCCACGCCACACGCCTCCTGCTGTTTTGAAAAGAGCTTTCTCATGCCCCCTCTCTCTCTCTCTCTCCTTGCACAAGGATCCTGGACGCACGCGAGGTGATCTATATCGGAGAGGGTGGTCCGTTCCGTGAGCACCACCAAAATCTCAGCGCTCATGTGCGACCCCGTGTGCCCCATGCGTTGAAACGTCTTATATCCCCCCCTTGCAGGACCATCCTGGACGCACGCGAGGTGATCTACATCGGAGGGTGGTCGGTGAGCACCAAGATCGCCCTCATGCGCGACCCCTCGCGCCCCATGCCGCTACACGGGGACATGCCTCTGGGGCAGCTGCTGATAAGGAAGGCCAGGGAGGGCGTGCGCGTGCTCGTGCTCATCTGGGACGACCGCACCTCGCTCAACAACGCGGCCTTCAGAACGGTACGAGGCGGTGGAGAGGTGTTTATAACTTGGAGTCTCAATTGTAGTGCTCGTTCTCATCTGGGACGACCACACCTCGCTCGAGAATGCGGCGTTCAGAACGGACGGTGGAGAGAGATGGAGAGGTGTTCACATTTTGGTGTATCAATAGTAGTACTCTTGGTCTTCTGGGATGTCAGGGCCTCGCTCAACAACGCGGTGTTTAGAACGGTATGAGGCGATGATGGAATGGTAACAGGAGCCTCAGAAGTGGTCCTGGCGCTGGCGCTGGCGCTGGTCCTGGGACGACAGGCTCAACCATGCGGCGTTCAGAAGGGTACAGGGCGGTTGAGAGGTGGAGAAGTGGATGCGAAGTCGTTCCTTGAGGCGCCTGTAAAACGCACTTGTGTGTTGCCATGCTGTTTGCGTGCATGCCCTCACCTACCCTCACACGGCAGGCGGGCATGATGGGAACCCTGGACGAGGAGACGTACAGCTACTTCCGGCACACCAAGGTGGTGTGCTTTAAGATGCCCCGCATCCCCGACAAGCACCTCTCCTGGACCAGGAAACAGGTACCCTCTCCACATTCGTGCACGCTGACGCACTGGCGCACTTTCCTTTGAGTCGACTCTAAAGTCAGCTTCAAGGTGCCCCACTTCTCCGATAAGCACCTCTCCTGGGCCAGGAAACAGGTAACCTCGCTCCCCCTTGTGACTACGCTACTGCACACAGCAGCGCACACCGCAGCAAACACCGCACTCCACAACTCCAGCCTTGCAATCCCGTACTACTGCCCCCCTCCCCCCTCTCCCTTCAACCCCCTCTTCCCCGTCCGTCCTTAATGCCGCTGAGGAAACAGGCAACTACTAACCAGACCGTGCTCTTTCTGGTTACCACACTTTTCCCAGTAACAACTCGCCTCCTCCTGTTTCACGGCCCCACCATTTCCAACGCCAGATACACACGCTCTTTCACTCTCCCTGCCTCGTTTCCCAACCCCTCCCCCACCCCTCCCAACTCCCCTGGTTTGTGGACAGCATGCACACACAGCCCCAAACCAGAAAAGGTTGTAAGCAAACCAAGCCAAGCCAGCTCAAACTACCCATGTTCGCTCCGCCCTCTCCGCCCTCCCCTCCCTCAACTCCCTCCTCCCTCTCCTCTCCCCTCATCTCCTCTCCTCCCCTCCCTTCCCCTCCCCTCCTCCCCTCCCTTCCCCTCTCCTCTCCTCTCGTCCTCCCCTTCCCTCCCGCCCGCCTCCCGCCCCAGCTAGTGGAGAGCAGAGCATGCACACGCACCACCAGAAGTTGGTAACCTGGCTCATCAGCTCTCCGGCTTTCCTCTCTTCCTCTCCCCCAACCCTCCCCCCCCCAGCTAGTGGAGAGTATGTACACGCACCACCAGAAGTTCCTCATCGCCGATGCTGCACCTGCAGCAGCAGCACCGTCAGCAGCAACAGGAGGAGCGTCAGGAGCAACAGGAGGAGCGTCAGGAGCAACATTACCGGCAGCAGCAGCAGGAGCAGCGTCGGGGGATCAAGGGCGGCGGACGCTGGTGGGGTTCCAGGGTGGGATCGACCTGTCGGTGGGGCGATACGACACTCAGGAGCACCCGCTGTTCCGCACGCTGCACGCCGAGCACCAGGGGGACTTCTACCAGAACAACCTCAAGGTGAGGGATGGAGAGGAGGGAGGGAGAGGGGGTGTAAGCTGAGAGGCCACTGGTGAGGGGTCGTGCATAATGCGCTGCACGCCGAGCACCAGGGGGACTTCTACGAGAACAACCTCAAGGTGAGGGGGGAGGGAGGGTGAGAGGGGGGGGGGGGTGGAGACGGTGAGATGGGGTGAGAGGGGTGAGATGGGGTGAGGTGGGATGAGGGGGGTGTGAGAGGGGTGTGGGGGGGAGGGCGTGGATGGGGTGAGTGAGAGGGATGACGAAGTGCGGGAGGGCGTGGGAGGGCGTGGATAGTATGCGACCTGCTACCTGAATTCGTCCCCAATCCCTCCCTCCCATTCTCCCCCTCTCCCCCTCTCCCCCTCTCCCCCTCTCCCCCTCTCCCCCTCTCCCCCTCTCCCCCTCTCCCCCTCTCCCCCTCTCCCCCTCTCCCCCTCTCCCCCTCTCCCCCTCTTCCCCTTTCCATCCCTTAGTTCGTCAACCACCGCCAGATCCACCTGGATTTACCCCCCCAGCAGCCATGACACGACGTGCAGTGCAAGGTGGAGGGGGCCGTGGTCTGGGACCTGCTTACCAACTTCGGCTCCAATTCCCCCCTCCCGTTCCTCTCCCCATTCTCCCCCGCTCCCCCTTGTTCCCCCACCCACCATCAGACCAAACCTGGCCTGGGCCCCAGGCAGCCGTGGCACGACATTCAGTGCAAGGTGGAGGGCGCCGTGGTGTGGGACGTGCTTGGTTACCAACGTGGCACCCCCGTCCCATGTTCCTCTCCCCTCCCCCTTGATACTTACCCACTGCCAGACCAAGCCAGATTTAGGCCCCAGGCAGCCGTGGCACGACATTCAGTGCAAGGTGGAGGGCGCCGTGGTGTGGGACCTGCTCACCAACTTCGAGCAGCGCTGGCTGCGAGCCACCAAGGGCCCGCGCGCGTCCCCCAGGAAGCGGCTGCACCGGGGGGACATCAAAGCGCTGCATGCCAGCCCGCTGGTGGCGCACAAGAGTGGGTATCGGATAGGGAGGAGGAGCTTGGGGGGGGTGTCGGGGGAGGGGGAGGGGGAGTGGGGCTGGTGTGAGGCGTGGTGGTGGTGGTAGTGGTAGTGGTGTTGGTATTAGGGTTGGGACTGAAGGTGGTGGTGGTGGTGGGAATGCAGAGAGTCGACGCGTGCTTAGGCAGATGCGCGAGAGAGGAGAGGAAGGGGAGGTGGGAAGGGAAGAAGGGCCGCAGGAGGAGAGGGAGGAGGGCAGGGAGGGAGGAGAGGAGGAGCAGGGAGAGCAGGAACGAAGGGAGGAGAGAGGGAGGGCAACGGAGCCAACAGAGCAGACTGAGTACCAGCCAAGGCAGCAGCCAGCACCACAGACAAGGCGCAGCAGGAGCATAAGGGACGCTGTGATGCACCGGGTGTACACGCTGAGGCGAGGCTTGGGGAGTGGTGCTTCCAGGGCGGCTGCTGCGCGTGCTGTGGATGCTGACGATGACATGAGCGTGATGGTGACGGGGGAGGATGACCCTGAGACCTGGCATGTGCAGGTATGTCCTGTGTGGGGGCACACGGTGCATAGGTCACTCACCCTTCCCCCTGTGCTTCTGCAGCGCGTGCGGTGGACGCTGACGATGACATGAGCGTGATGGTGACGGGGGAGGATGACCCGAGACGTGGCATGTGCAGGTGTGTGTGTTGTGTGCGGGGACGCAAGGTGCTGCTTAGATCATGCACGCACTCTCCCTCTGTGCTGCTGCCATGGCTGCTGCTCTGCTGCCATGGCTGCTGCTCTGCTGCCATGGCTGCTGCTGTGCGTGCTATGTATTGATTCAAGCTCAAAATAGACCAGGGTTGTTGCTGCAGCACGTGCGGTGGATGCTGACGATGGCATGAGCGTCATGGTGACAAGGGAAGATGACCCTGACACATGGCATGTGCAGGTATGTGTGTGTGACACATGGCATGTGCAGGTATGTGTGTGGTGATGCCTGGTCTAGTGAGGGTTGCTGCAGCGCTTGGTGTGGATGCCGATGGTCAGGGCATGAGCGGGGGGGGATGCTGCAGACCCCGGGACATGGCATGTGCAGGTATGCGTGCCGGTGTTTGTTGTTTGTTTGTTTGTTTGTTTGTTTGTTTGTTGTCGACGCATGTGCTGATTCAAATTCGGTACACATTATGCATCCGCACGCACAACCCTGCTCCTCCCTCCCTCCTCTCTCCCACAACTTACAACGCTCTTCCCTCCGCTCCCCTCCGTTCCTCCCCCACCCCTCACCACCCCTGCTCCTTTATTATCGCCAGTTGTTCCGGTCCATTGACTCGGGCTCTGTGGCTGGCTTCCCAAGGAGCCCTCACCAGGCCATGCTTGAGGTACGCTACGCTACCCTGCTGCCGTGGATGCTGTGCTGCTGTGGGTGCTGTGCTGTACTCTCCCTATCACCCCCACCTTTCGGCTCTCCCCCACCAAAGCCTGGAGGGAGGCAACAAGGGTGTGTGACCTTTGCGTCGACTCAAAAGCCGTCAGACCGTTGATCGCAACCTCCACAAGGCCCTAAGCCTCGCCTCCTTTCCACCAACTTCCCCACCCTCCCCCCCCCTCCCCTCTCCTCAACCCCCACCTCCCTCCCTCTCCCACCTTCACCTGTCCCCTCTCCCAGGGCCTGGTAGGCGACAAGGGCGTGACGGTGGATCACAGCATCCACGAGGCGTACATCATCGCCATCCGCCGCGCGCACCGCTTCATCCACATCGAGAACCAGTACTTCCTCGGGGCTGCGTACGCGTGGCCGTCGCACCAGACGTGCGGTGCATGGCACACCATCCCCATGGAGATTGCGCTCAAGGTGGCGCGCAAGATCAAGAGCAGAGAGCGGTTCAGCGCGTATGTGGTGGTGCCCATGTGGCCCGAGGGGGACCCCAAGGGGGCATCCACTCAGGAGATCCTCTACTGGCAGGTGGGTGCTTGGGCTCTCCTGGGGTTGGGGTTGGGGTTTGGGGGTCGGGGTTTCGGGTTCAGCACGTAAGTCGTGGTGCCCATGTGGCCGGATGGGGACCCCGAAGGGGCATCCATCCACGCACCTGTACTGGCAGGTGAGCAGCTGGGCTTGTAGGCTTCTGGGCTTCTGGGCTTCTGGGCTACTGGCGATGCTGCTTACCACCCTCTCTTCCTGCCCCCGTATTCCTTATCCTTCTCCACCATCAATCATGAGTTCTCGAAGTCCCTCCCCCGCCCCCTCCTCCCCCTCTCCGCTATTCACCAGCCTCGCACTATGGAGGCCATGTACCGTGTGGTAGGTAGCTAGCACGGGCACTGGATGAGGTGGAGGTGGAGAAGAGGAGGACGCTTTCCTTCTCCTTCCGCCTATAAACACTTCTTCTTCCCATCTCTCCTCCCAACCTCCCCCCCACCTGCCCTTCCATACACACCAGCCTCGCACAATGGAGGCCATGCACCGTGTGGTAGATAGCACGGGCACTAGATGAGGTAGAGGCGGAGGAGAAAAGGTAGCTATCCTTCTCCTCCCATAAACACTTCGTTTCCTTCCTTTTCCTCTCAACCGCTAACCCTCCATGCACCAGTCTCGCACTATGGAGGCCATGTACCGCGTGGTAGCACGGGCACTGGACGAGGTAGAGGCGGAGGAGAAGGGGATTGGCCTGGGGAGGGAGGGGGAATTTGACAGGGACAGGGGTCAGGAGACAGAGGGGGGGCAGGAGGCGACCGTTCTTGGGGAGGAAGGGGAGTGGGGAGGCCAGGGGCAGGGCGGGGCCTACGCGGGTGAGAAGGGAGGGAAGGGATGGGTGGGAGGGAAGGAGGGGCAGAAGGCGAGGGAGAGGCGAGAGGAGACGGCAGAGGGGTTGGTTGACCAGCTACAGCCGGAAGCAGATGTGGCATCACGACCAGCAGCAGCAGCAGAGTTTGGAGCAGAATCAGCAGCAGCAGCAGCAGGATCATTGCACAGCCCCCATCCGTGCGACTATCTCAGCTTCTTCTGTCTCGCCAAACGCGAGCTGCCACCTGGCGAGGCTGGTGCTCCTGCTACTCCTCCTCCCCCTCCTGCTGCTGCTGCTGCTGCTGCTGCTGATACTGCTGCTGCTGATACTGCTGCTGGTGATACTGCTGCTGGTGATACTGGTGGTGGAACCGGTGGTAACCCCACTGAGGATGGTAACCATGACAGGAACGGAAGCCAACCGGCTTCTCCCCATGAGCCTGAACACAGGGCAAGCCTTCCCAGTGATCCTGTTCTTGTGAGTTGCCTCCATGCGGAGCTGCAGCTAGTTGGCTTGATGCATCTTCAGCTGTCTGCTTTTTTTTAGATGTCTCGGTGACCTGAGCTTTCCACTCCCTTCAACTGCCTGTTTACTCCCTTCCTTTCCCACCAGCGCTCGGCTCTGACCCACAGGAGAGCGATGATCTACGTGCATGCCAAGATGATGGTGGTGGACGATGAGTACGTGGTGGTGGGGTCGGCCAACATCAATCAGCGGTCCATGGACGGGGGCCGGGACACCGAGATGGCCGTGGGGGCGTACCAGCCGTATCACACGTGGAGCGAGAGGGGTCACGCACCCAGGGGACAGGTGAGAAGGGGGGGAGGTGTGGGAGGGATAGAAGATGGGAGCATGTTCCGTTGTGAGTGGTCAGTTCAGTTGGACTTTCCATCGAGGGATGGTGTTTGACTATTGAGGCTGATGGTTGTGTGTGTGTGTGTGTTGTGGTCTCTGAATCTGTCTCTCTTTTTGTCCAGTCCTCCACATCCTATGAGTTGATGCATTGATTGATGCCTTGATGCGTTGATGCCCTTGTGCCGTGACTACCATCATCATCAGGTGCATGGCTTCCGCAAATCCCTCTGGGCGGAGCACCTCGGCTCCCTCTCTCCCATCCACGACCAACCCTGGACGCTCGAGTGCATGCGAGCCGTCAACCAATCAGCTCAGGACAGGTGGATGCAGTACGCCGGAGAGGAGAATGTGGAGCTTCAGGGGCATTTAGTCAAGTACCCGGTTCAAGTGGGGCGAGATGGGAGTGTGCACCCACTGCCAGGGTTTGAGGAGTTTCCAGACTGTGGAGGGAAGGTGGTTGGTGAGCAGAGGAACTTGCCGAATGGACTAACCACTTGATGAGTGTGAGTGCCCTCAGATTTCAAGTTTTTTTTTTTTTTTTTTTTTTTTTTTTTTTTTTTTTTTTTTTTCCCTGATTTTGCTGATTTTCAGGGTGTTTTTCTGTACCGACCCTGAAAAATCATCGTTGGAATCTGGAAAAACGGGGGTTGATAGTTAAAAAAATAGTAGCAACCCTGATTTTCAGGGGGTTTTCAGGGTGGCTTTGTGTACCTACCCTGAAAATTCTGTGTGGCCTGAAACGAATCTGAGGGCTTAGTGTACATATTCCTTGGAGGGTACTTTTCTTTGAAGTTCCATCTTGTATATAGACAGCATAAATATGTTTTATGTGATCTATTGCTTTTGATGGTCAAATTGGCATGGCGGTAGAAACCGAGGTACCGTTTCTGTCAAACATATTTGTATTGTAAAAGCCCAGATATAAGACCCCCTAGTAATAGAAGACCTTGGGTCTTCTATTAGGCGCTTATCTTGTGGTAACCCGGTTTTTGTCCCCTGGATCTAGGACCATATGGAATATTTCTAAACGGTATATGATAAGACCCATGCGTCTTATATTCGGGCTAATACGGTATATGTTACTATAGCCTATATATGGGCATGCCTTAGAGAATACAACTCAGAAGGTCAAAACTATCGTGTACCCTTCTTTCTAGTTCATTCTGCTACTCTGAGATGGTATCAGCTTAGGTTAGGTCTACCCGCAAGCTTCCGCCCTAGCCCTAGCCTCAACGCCCCGCTGTTCACCTAGCGCCCCGCTGGCCGTCCCCTACGCGCCCCGCCAGGCCCTTTGCGCCCCGCCGGCCCCTCGCGTCCCGCTTCCCCCCCCTTCGCGCCCCGCCAGGCCCTTAGCACCCCGTCGGCCCCTCGCGCCCCGCTGGCCCCTTTCGCGCCTCGCCAGGCCCTTTCGCGCCTCGCCAGGCCCTTTCGCGCCTCGCCAGGCCCTTCGCTCCCCACCGGCCCCTCGCGCCCTGCTGGCCTCCTTTCGCGCCCCGCCAGGCTCTTCGGGCCTTGCTAGGCCCTTCGCGGCCTGCCAGCCCTTCGCGCCCCTGCCTTCCGCGCGCCATTGGCCCTGTGCGCCCCGCCCGACCTTCCGCGCCTCCACCAGTCGGTGCGACCCGCTTGCCTCGGCCGTGTTCGCCTTCCTTCCTGCCGTGGAGCCGTGCCGTCGTGTCGTCGTGCCACCGTGCCGCTGTGCTGTCGTGTCGCTGTGCCGTCGTGCCCCCGTGGCGTTGGGTTGCTGAGGTCGTACGATGGCTGACTCTGTACTCCGCCTGGATGCGGAGAGGCACGCGCTCGACTTCGCCGCCTAACTTGTCGATCTACGCTGTCACCTTACAGGTCAGCGCCAGGATGGTCACTCCCTGGCTGTGCATGTCGATGGCTTGCTTCCCTGCCCCTCCGCGCCTGATCCCCTCCCTGATGACCCCACCACTGCTCAACGTGAGGCCTTTTTGTCGAAATAGGTCATGAGGTTGCTAAAAGGTAGCTAGGTGGGACGCCATGAAAATGGCGAGAGGTTTAGCTAGGGGACGTGAGTTATGAGAGGGAGGAGAAGTTGGCAAGAGAAAAGAGATGTGGCTTAGAAGAGAAGGAGATACAAGAAGGGGGGGTTGTCCCCTCTACAATAGGATTCAGTAAGTAGCATAACTACCAAGCCTACATAAAGATATACACTGACGGAAAGTATTGCCCGGATAATTGCCTTAAAACATTTCTCGTACTGGTTTGGTGCCTTCTTTGTTTAGTTACGAATCAAATTTCGGGGTTGGATGTAAAGTAGTACTGTACTGTATATGACGGATGCTGGTTTCAGTTTTATAGGGGTTGATTTTTTACCGAGGACGAGATTTCGTCCGCGTGGGTGCATCCGGACAGTTTAGGCCAAGCAGCGTAGTAGATCTATTTCCTAACCTCGCTATTTCTTCTTACTTGCCCTCGCGACTATCGAGTAGTCAGGAGATAGGCTAGGACCGCTGCGACGATTAGGCCGTCATGAAATCGTTAGATGAGGCGCTCTACGCATAGATCATTCCCTTGTTGCGGAGGGGGTAGAGCAATCGTTGAATCGCTAAACGGCTAGCCATAGGGAAGAGTTCGGTCCATCAAGGTGATTGTAGAGTCTAGCCGCGATGACGTGCGTCCTACGATGCCCTCAGCCGGTCGCCCTCGCTTAGTGACAGAGAGAGTTCGCCACGGCATAGTTCGGTCGATTACCAGCGATGAGACAGAAATCTATGCTCACGTGGTGAAAATCGTTGAGAAGCAGCACGGCATCACGTTGCATCCTAAGACATTGCGTAACGCTTTGAATGGGAGCGGACTTGTCGCAATCAAGCATCCCAAGAAACCGCGACACTCTCGGAAAAACAAACGCGATAGGCTGGAATGGGCGCGTGCCTACGCAGACTGGACGGTTGACGACTAGAAGCGAGTTATCTGTGCGGATGAGACCAAGATCGGTAGTCTTGCATCCGACGGACTCTCATACGCCTGCGTTCACGAAGGGACTGCCCTCCAAAGACACCAAATCAAGCAGACCGTCAAACACGGGGGCGGTTGCTTGATGATTTACGACTGCATGTCGTAAAAGGGAGCGGGTTTCATGAGCAAAACATATGATAGGATGGACGGACTGCTCTCGCTGAGTATACTGCAGGACGATCTCAACAGTACGATTGAGCTTTACCAGCTTACACCCTCAAAAACTATCTTCCAGCACAACAACGACCCGAAGCACAAGTCGCGTATCGTACAGGAGTGGCTTTGGGAGCAAGATTCTGGGGTGCTAGAGTGACCGTCTTCCTCACCCGACCTCAACCCAATGGAGCATTTATGGGCTCATCTCAAGAGGCAGCTGGCCAAGCCTTATAAGCCTCCCACTGGTATGCTGGACCTTTGGGAGCGGATGCAGGAGAAATGGGAGAAGATCCCGGCGGATGTGTGCACCCACCTGGTGGAAAGCATGCCCAGGAGGGTGAGGGTGGTGGCTAAGGCAAAAGGGCGGTGGATTAGGTACTAGTTTGGGGTTGATGTAACTTGCTGCTTGCGCCTGGCAATAATTGTCCACATGTACCAAGATTGTTATTTTCTGGTATTTGTTGTAAACATCATTATACTTGTGTGATGTAAGGCATGGGCGTAGAGCCTTACCCCAACCTACATACACTAGGCACACCAGAAGATTAAGGCTTAATGTCCATGACCCCCTAAAATGGCAAAATTCCTCTAAGTCACAAACATGTGGACAATACTTTCCGTCAGTGTATATAAAATATATACTTTGACACTTTTCTGCTGCTACGCTTGTTCGCGCAGTCTGGGATTCACATGATGTCGTAGCGCAGCTTGCCATAAGTCATGCTCTTCCCCTGTCTGAGCGTCCGCGCTTTACTACTGTCGCGAACGCCAGGGAATTCTTAGATGTCGTAGTTGGGTGCTACTCCACGTCTGCCTCCGCCTTTGCTGGCCGCATGCTCCTCCCCGTGTTGTTCTCTGATCTTGTCGCCTTCCCCACTGTAGCTGACCTAGCCACAAACCTCCATGCATTAGAGGGTAGCTACCGCGCCGCTAGCACTAAGGCCCAGCTTACTGCCTTCCCCCCGCTGTTCTGCACTACCTTGTACCTCATTGTCATGCTCCTTCCGGACCGCTTAGCCACTGCCCGCGACCACTTCCTTAGTCAGCACCCAAGTGACCTTACCCTTACCGCCTTTGTCATCACACCGTCTGAGATTGAGACTCGCCAGCGCACTATCGCTCAGTCGAACGGTACTGCGGCAGTCCCTATCTTCCAGGGTTGTGCCCCCACCCAGTACATGTACACTGACGTTTCTGCCGCTGTCGCCGCGACAGCCCTTGCCGCTGAGACCGCAGCTGCGGCCTCCGTTCAGCTGTGCCAGTGTCGAGGCCGCTGCCCCAAAAGGGGGCGTGGTGGTGGGGGTGGTGGGGGTGGTGGAGATGGCAGCAGGGACAGTGGGTCCAACGAGAGGACCGGGGCTGGTGCCCAGGAACAGCAGCAGCCGTAGCAGCAGCAATCGCAGAAGCAGCAGCAGCAAGAGTCGTGGGCCCGCCTACCGCCGGGATGGCCCGGTGCTTCTAGTGGTGGTGGCCGCATTGGCGGCCCTCGCAGCTCGGCGTCGGCCGGCAGCTTTGGCGCTGGGGGCTGCCAGTACAAGCTCCAGACCTGCCCCCTCCGCGGCAGTGTAAGTCGTCGCTCGCACCCTACCGCCCGCTGCTTCCGCCGCCTCAACAACCTCTTTCGTCGCCGGACCTCCCTGCTTGGGCCAGTCTGCTGTGCCACGGTGTGCCTGTCTTTGAGTTAGATATGGATCAGATTTCTTCTTCTTTGCATTCCCTGTATGCTGATGCTTCTAGAGTGCTTGGATCATATTACCCTGTATTGCCTAGTTTTGGTGTGTTTCCTGTGTGTGGTATAGACTCCCCTGCTGCGTCAGGCGTAGGACCTTCGGCCGTGTTTAGCTTAGGCTTCACGCTCGCTCCTCCACCGGCCGCAGCTTCTGCTTCGCTCTCCTTTACGCTTGACTCTGGCGCGTCTGCCTGCTTCTTCCGCGACCACGCTGCGCTGACGCTGCTTGCAGCGCCTGCCGCTGTCGCACTTGCTGACCCCTCCTCCGGTCCTGTCGATGCCCGTAGCTACACTACCCTTCTTTGTCCAACTGTTCCCTCGGGTTCTCTTACAAGCCTGCACATCGCTTCATTCTCCAGGAACCTAGTTGGTGTCGGCTGTCTTCAGGACCTCGGCGTCCCACTACGTTCCCTGGTCACGAGCGGTACGCTGTCTGTACCGAGGCTGCCTCAGGTGCCCCCCTTGCAATGTTACCACGGGACCCGGCATCTGGCCTGTTTACGCTAGACACTGCTTCCCCCTTGGTGGGCGCGTCCTCCCCGGGTCCTGCGTCTACCCAGCTCGCTACTGCTTGCTCGTGTCGGTCGCTCACTCACCCGTCGCTTCTATGACACCACCACCTAGGTCACCCCGCAATCCCGCGTCTACGTCACATGTCTCAGAACGGTCTCGTCCTAGGTCTCCCTGCGTCGCTCCCGCCCTCCCTCCCTCACCTGCACCGCCGTGCACGCCCTGCATTGAGGGCTGGTTGCGTCGTGCTCCTCACTCCTCGCTTCGCCCAGCCTTCGCGCCACTCCAGACCCCGTCCCTGGGCCGCGTCGAGAGCGCTATTTTCTAGTGCTTGTCGATGACTACTCGCGCTACACCACGGTGTTTCCCCTAGAGCGGAAGGCCGATGTGCCAGGCGTTCTTATCCCGTGGGTCGTGGCTGCGCGCATCCACCGCGGTCTCCCTGTGCTGTATCTCCACTTTGACCGTGGCGACGAGTTCGCCTCCATTTGGCTTGGACAGTTCTGTCGTGCGGAGGGCATCACCCAGTCGTACACCCTACCAGAATCCCTGCAACAGAATGGGGTCGCTGAGCGACGCATCAGTTTGGTCATGGAGGTGGCTCGTACATCCATGATCCATGCCGGTGCACCCCATTTTCTGTGACCGTTCGCCGTTCGCTACTCCGCTCACCAGCGTAACTTGTGGCCGCACTCCTAGCAACCGCAGGTTTCGGCGACACTTCTCTGGACCGGGTTGCTTGGTGACGCGTCCGCGTTCCACATCTGGGGCTACCTCGCTAACGTTCGTGCCTCTGTCATGTAAAGCTAATTGCCCACACTGTCCCCTGTGTCTTCCTTGGTTTCCCCCTTGACTCGTCAGACTGGCACTTCTACCACCCGTCGTTTCCCCGCTTCTTTCACTCGCGTGACGTCACTTTCGACGAATCAGTCTCCTTCTATCACCGCTTTCTTCACCAAGGTCTCCTAGTTTCCCCGCCCTTGTTTCTGGTACCCACTCCCCTGGTACCCCTTCCTCCCCTCCCTCCCCATCCTACTCCGTCTAGTGTATTTCATGTCACTCCCCTCCCGTCGGTTGTCCCGGTTGAGGAGCCGGTTGACTCTGGTGACCCCGCGGCGCCGTTGTCTCTGCCTGTCTCCGTCCCGGCGTCTCCTCCTCTGCCATCGCCGCAGCAGCAGCCACAACTGTCGTCGCAGCCGCAACAATCATCTGCGAGGTCTGGGGGTGCGGGCGTTGAGGAGGATGCTGGTCCTTGCTAGTCCTGGGGTTACTGTCGTGGCCTGTCCCAGCAATCTCGGGGATGGCACCAGTACTGGAAAGGGTTCTCGTTCTGGGCGTGCTTGAGTGGAGCGTTTCGGAGGTAGCCGTGGTGCAGCCGGAGGTTTTGGTGTCGGCGTGGAGCAGCAGCAGCAGTAGTCGCCACCGGTGTCCGCCCTTCGCCTCCTCGGCCTTCCCTCCCCTGACCACGCGCCTGCGCCTCCCCTGCCACCACCTCCCCTGCCTATTTACGGCCCTATGTTTCCTCCGCCGGACTCGTCCCCGACTCGTTTCCCCCCTCGTTCTCCTCCTGTGTTTCCTGACCCGACTCCTCCAACCCACTTCTGGTCTTGTCGTCCGTCTCGTGCTCGTCCTATCTTTCCTGTCCAGCACTCTCACCCTATGTTGCTTTGTTCCCACACATCTTCTCCTCCCCTCCTCCCCTCACCTCATCCGTCGTCACTCGTAGTTGCTCCGCCTCCCCTGTCTAACTACCTTCGTATCGCTCGTCCTCTTGTTCCTCGGGTCCTTGCCTCCCTCGTTACCGACCCGTCTGTTCCTTTCTCGAGTCTTGACGCTCTTGTTGCTACTGTCGCTGACTTCGCCTCTACCCGCCGCTTTGACTACGCTACAGCTCTGGTCTCTGGCCCTGACTGACCTCCGTCCGTCGAGGGTGCTCCTGACCTTGGCAGTGACGTCCTAGAGGACAAGCAGTACGAACTTGCTTTCCAGTCTAAGGCCACTCCCTATCTCTGTTCCATGCTGCTAGTCCCTGATGGTGACCCAGATGGCCTTGGCATCCCGACCCCTCAAACTTCTGTTGAGGCGACCTTGGAACCCTGGGCCTCTCAATGGATAGCTGCCATGGAGCAGGAGATGGCATCTTGGAGATCCACCAGCACCTTCATCGACGCAGTTCCCCCACCTGGGGTGAACGTCGTCGATGGCCGGTGGCTCTTCACGCTGAAGCGCCCACCTGGAGAGCCGCCAGTGTTCAAGCCGGCTCTGTTTGCTGTTTGGTCTAGTTCCTGTAGTTCCTCACTTACTAGGACATTTATTGTGTACTACTCTTTATATATACCTTATTGACTGGCCTTGTGGCTTCTCTTCCAGTGGCCGGACTAGTAGTGCCGCCTTGGTTTGCTCTTGTCGAGTTTGCACTCTTGTTGATTGGTCTTCGGACCCTTGTTTCAGAGGTCGGACTAGTAGTGCCGTCTTGAGTTGCTTGTCTCTTGCCAGGCACCGCCCCTTGTCCAGTCTAGGGGGTGTGCCAAACATATTTGTATATATTATTATAGCCTAGATAGGGGCATGCCTTAGAGAGTACAGCTCATAAGGTCAAAACTACCGTGTACCCTTATTTCTAGTTCATTCTGCTACTCTGAGAGTTTTCAGGGTGGCTTCGTGTACCTATACAGAGAATTCAGTGTGGCCAGAAACGAATCTGAAGGCTTAGTGTATATATTCCCTGGAGGGTACTTTTCTTTGAAGTTCCATCTTTTATATATACAACATAAATATGTTTTACGTGATCTATTGGTTTTGATGATCAAATTGTTTCATGGTTGTTGTAAAGTTGTCAAATCACAAGAACTGCAATGTTGAAGCGTGAAAATTTTTTATCACTGAATTAATATGTATATTTATTACAATACAAACATTTGCACTAACGAAAGTGCATACCTTCCAAAAATGTTAATGAATATGACTAACCTACACATACAAAATGCTGTAGGCAATACATATACAGTCCAGTAGTTCAAATCCCAGCGGGTTCATTCATGCATTTCGTTGCTCCTGTTTTCCTGCCCCGCAGCCATTCGTGCCTTCGCTATCGCCCCGAGGTCTGCTCTACACTGCAGCCCCTTGTTGCCGTGCCGTGCTCTCCGCGGCCTTTTTAATCGATAATCTTTCGGCTGTAACAGGGAACACGAGCCACGGGCCTTGTTCCTTCCTCTGAATCTCGCCAGTCAATTCCGTGCCTCAGTCTCTCGGCCCGCCATGGCTGCTTCGCGACCCGTCCTCTCCCCTCTCCTCGCCTTCTCGCGAAGGATCCTCGCGACTTCTCCTGCCGCACCGATCCTCCCTCTTGGTAACGCCTTTTTCGTTATCTCTTTCGTTTGGTTCCATGTATTGTCGTCGATCCGTCGCTCCTTGGTATCAGGGATTCCTCCCTAGCCCGCGCTGAATTCCGGCTTGCCGACACATTTCAACGCTGGCCTCGTTCGTCGAGTGTACAGGAACCCTGATCGGCGCGCGCTGGCTGCACGCGGGATCGGCGCCGTCACATGCGACGGGAGGCCCGGCGGGGACGGCGCCTGGAGGCGGCGCGACTCCTCCAAGCGAGGATGGCGGCGAGACGCACGACGACTTTAAACCGCAGATTAAGGCGGCCGAGGGGGTGCTCCCGGTGCACGCGCAGATTCAAGAGGTGAGCGGCGATCTGACACCGGTGCTGCCTTACAACGGGTATGTGCGGCCAGTGCACGAATAGAAGGAAGAGTAAGCTGACGGGATACGATTTGAGGCGTGACGTGTCACGTGTGGCAATAGAAGCTTCCAGTTCAGGGCATGCGATTCAGAGTCATAATGCTCACTTTGACAGTGCGTACCAAGCTTAACATCGCGTTGCCTTCGCTTTAAGACAGGCTTTAGCTTCACACCGCACTCTCTCCCAACTAGATCACGTCTTTCTTGCCGCCTCCTCAGCTCCCATCATCTCTTCCTTCCCTCCTCGTCTTCCGCCGCCCCCCCCCTCCCCCTCGGCCTCCCCTCCCTCCGACCCCCAACCAGGACATCAAGTCGTGTCCCGTGGTGGTGTGCACGAAGGGCCTGCCATCCGATTTTCGAGGCACCTCGAACAACCCCCCTTCCCCTCCCCTCTCTCCAACCCGCCCGCCCGCCGGCCAGGACATCAAGTCGTGTCCCGTGGTGGTGTTCATGAAGGGCCTGCCATCCGCGCCCATGTGCGGCTTCAGCGCTGCTGTCGTGCGCGTGCTCGCTGCTCATGGTAACCATGCTGCACTGCACTCTGTCACCTTTCCTTTCTTGCCTCTCCCCTTCCCAGCCCAATCCCCCACCCCCCGCTCCCCCCTCCCCGCTCCCCTCTCTTCTCGCCCCCCTTCCGTTGTGGCGCACTCTTTTCCATTTCGTCCGGCTCTTTCTGTTACCTCACGCTTTCCTCGCTCACTTTCCCGCCAGCTCTCTTCAGCCGCCTGCCCCCCCCCTTCCCATCTCCGTTGCGCTCTCACTAACCCCCCTTCTCCAGGCGTAGATTTCAAGGGGGTGAACGTTCTGGAGGATCCAGACCTCAGAGAGGGAATCAAATCTTTCAGGTAGGCTTTTGGAATGACACCTGTACCTATCAGTTGATTTGGATGTTGTGCACTAGCATCAGCCGATCCAGCAAAGCCAAACGGAGTAAGGACGTATGGTGATTGTTAATTCGTCTCTGCGAATGTACCCCCCTGCCTCCCTCCCCTTCCCCCCCGTCCCCGACAGCGAGTGGCCCACTATTCCCCAGGTCTATGTGAATGGGGAGTTCATTGGCGGGTGCGACATTGTCATGAAGATGCACCAGGTATGGATTTGGGATGTGGTTGGCACGTGACGCATGCGTGGGGCGGGGTGGGGTGGTGTCGGGGGCGTGAGGGGGGAAGTGGATTGTGGTATAGGCATGACTCTACCTGTCCAGTTTTTTACTGGACCAACTCCGTCCTGCTCTTCCTCCACCCACTTCTCTCCCCCCCCCCCCCCCCCCCCCTCTCTCTCCCCCCTCCCCCTCCCCCCCCCCCTTCCTACCACCCGTTTTCCCTGTTTCAGTCTGGTGAACTCGCTGATGTACTGAAGTCGCTCAAGGCAGCACCTGCTACATCTTGACATCAATTCGCTAATCACGGGATAGCTGGTAAAAAATTCTTCTCCTGGCTCTGCAACAATGCCCTGGAGTCTCTGTGCTTCATTGCCTTCATCGAGCTCTTCTTTATGTGCTCAGGGATATTTGTTCAAATGTATCAGCTTCGACCCCTCCTGGTTTCCCTATGCTTGTGTTTGCAGCAAAGTTGGCACCGCGTGCTCTCTTTGCTCTCAGCTACTTACCCAAGGAGCGCCAGATATAAGTATCATTGTGTTTTGTACACACATTTAGGAAGTGCTGCAAGATGCGTAGCTTTGTTGATATGGAATTAATTGTTTGTCTAGAAATTTAGAACAAACATCTCGCTAAACCTGCTATGTACTGCCTGGTGTAGACTCGTTGAGCAATAAATTCGTCACTTCCAGTAGTCAATTTTGCGAGTCCTCCAATCGCGTGCCACAGTATCAAGTTTCCCTTGGGGTATAGTTCACTGGGAGAGCTGCCCTCCCTATCACCGGGGTTATGCTTCACTAGTCAAACAAGGAAGGTGAACCCAGTAAAGTTGAACTTTACGGAACGGCATTCTGAGTTTTAAGGGGAAGAACACTCCTGGGTGCGTAGAATGGTGGGGGCACTTATTTCGAGGTCAAATAGGGAATATATATTTTAGTATAGTAAAGCCGAGTGAAACCAGGAACGCCTCGAGTGTTCAATCAGCCAAGCCCCGAAAAGATCGCTGGGCATCAAGTCATCCATCCATCAATAATGTCGCGCGCGTCGAATTCGAGATCCAGGATTCATACGAGGGCGCAATGCAGTTGGATTGGGCTGTTGTTCTGGCGCGCGGCATTCGTTCGTTCCCATCCACGGTCAGCGGAAAAGGTGCTGCCGACCTTCCGCCAAAAGTCAAGAGGAAACAAATCTCAAATCTTTCCCCATGCAGGCACCGCAGGGCGTGCCCTCCCCCCCACCCCCCAGCGCAGGTAAACCCATTCCGCCCCACCCTCCCCTCCCTCCGCCCTTCCGTCCCCACCCCACCCACCCACCCTCTTCGCCCCTCTCTCCCCACTCTCACTTCCACCTGCCTCCACTTCCCCCTTTCCCTGTGCGTACTCCTCTCCTCACCCCCGCCTTCCGCCCTTCGTCGGGGTTGAATGTGAGCAACCCGTCCTTACTGCCTGCCTATTCCTATCTCTAAGGCAGAAATTTCTGGAGCCTAGTACTGTAGCTGGTTACCTCTCTTGTTCCCCTTCAGTTAGTTAGATCCGGGTCGGCGTTGGATAGAGATGGCGGGAAGCGTTTAGTACATGATCCTTCTCGTAGTCCGGTTTCCGTGGGTTCCTCGCGCTCAATACATTCCCCCGGTTACATTCCCCTGGTTCCCTGTGCTAGTGTGTCAATCTCGTCCCGCTTACGAGTACCACTACCGGTCTCACATTCCGTCTAAAATTCCGTCTCCATGCCGACGTCAACGGACGGAGCGCAAGGCGCTCCGCCTCAAGGGCCTCTCGCGGCGCGCGTGAAAACATACACGTCGGTGCAAAAGTTCAAGGATAAGCTGAAGCTGCGCACGGCAGCGGGGGGAGGTGAAGCCAGCGGTTCGGTTTTGACGCCTGGGGGAGGCAGCGCGCGGCCGATGACGGGCGGCGATCAGGGGAAACGACTGCTGTCCCAGTCGGCTGTAAATCGATGGCTAAAAGTGAACTCTCAAGGTGAGGCGAGGGTGGGTTATAGAATGTATAAGTATCAGGAGCACGGCGGATGTGATCGGATCTGTAGTTGTTTAAGATTGCCCCAGCTGCTGCTCTTGTTAGAGGCATACGTGCTCTGAATATGCAACGTTTTTAGTGGCAGATGTTTCGATTTGTTGGTTTTTTTTCCACATGTCTTTAAATATCTGCTTCTTGCTTCCTCTCGCCTTTCTGATTTGCTTTCTCCATTTTGACGAGCATTCCATCCTTCTTTCCGTCGTCTTTTGTTTCGTTGGTCTGCTTTTTGAAAAAAAGTGGCGTAGAGCGGGTCCAATCTATAGGTCATGTTCGCCGCATGGTTTGGTTCGGTAATTAAAGAGGCTGCGGTGCGGTGCCTGACTGGATGAAACAGCCTGCCTTCGCTATGTGCCGGGTGCTGGCACACGCGAAGCCTTCATTTCTCCATCACTCTCCTTTGCGTCGCTCCTCTACTCCCCCGTCCTTCCTGCCTCTTCTCCTATGCGCCTCCGCTCACTCTCTCTCTCTCTCTCTCTCTCTCTCTCTCTCTCTCTCTCTCTCTCTCTCTCTCTCTCTCTCTCTCTCTCTCTCTCTCTCTCTCCACATCTGTCCCGTGTGTCTTGCTCCTCCCTCTCTATTTCCTCTCTCGCCTGCCTTGCAGATGCCGCTAAGTGCGCGGACGCCGCCCACAGGCTCCTAGACGAGGGGGCAGACTCCTCTGGCAAACGTTCCTCTCTCTCTTACTCTTCCGTCTCCCTCTTTCCTTAATCCCCTTTCTTCCTCCCACTCTACCTCCTCTCTCTCTCCCCCGCTGCGCAGACGCCGCCAAGTGCGCGGAAGCCGTCCACAAGCTGCTAGACGAGGGCGCGGATTCGTTCGGCAAGCGCGCGGAGCTGATGTACGCGCGCCGCCCAGACATTCTCCAGCAGGTCGACCTGCTGCACAACCGCTACTTAACTCTCGCGGCGCGCTACGAGCAGCTATTCGTCACGTCGACGCACTACGCCGCCGCCGCCGCCGCCGCGACAGCGAATGCCGCGGCCGGGGAAGGCTTGGAGGAGGGGCTACTCTCTCCGCTTATCAGCCCCGCGGGTTCCTCCGCCAAGCTGGCGGAAGACGGGGCTGGGGCGGAGGGTGCGGGGAAGGGCAAGGGGGGCGAAATGTTTGTTGTCGAGCAGGATGTGACTGCGATCGAAAAGTTTTTTGGGCAGATTTTGGGCAGTTTGGACAAGGTTTTGAAGGAGGAAGCAGGGCAAGGCTCGTGGGAGGAACTGGTTGGAGCGTTATCCGAGCTGAAACTGGCAGGGGAGGGGAAGGCCGAGGGGAATGCGGAGGAGAACCGCGAGGAGGATGCGGAAGCTAAGGGAGCTGACGTGTCTAAGATAGCCCTAGCGCAGGAAGCGGTGGGTCGTGCTAAGGAGCAGCTTAGTACGCTCGTGCGACGGTTTAAAGCCGTCGCGGAGGAGGAGGAAGCGCTGAGGCAGAAGCTGGCCTCGTTAGAGTCACTTGAGGAGGAAAACGCGATGCTGCGGGAAATCGTGGAGGGGGAGGCGGAGGCGGGCGCGGGGGCAGGGGAAGGCGCGGACGGCGCAGCGGGGGGCGGAGGCGGAGCTGGCGGAGGCGGAGGCTCGGCTGGCGGAGGCGGAGGCGCGGGCGGAGGGGGAAAGGGTAAGGCGGGGATGCGGGACGACGAGAAGCAGGTTGCGCTGGAGGTTGAGGTGGGGCAGCTGAGGATCCGAAATATGGATCTAAAGCTGAAGCTAGACCGCCTCTCCGCTGCGCTGAAGGACTCCCGCGAGAGAGAGGCGCAAGCCGTGATCGCCCTTGAGAAGGTGAAGGAAGAGGGGGGAATAGTGGATGAGGATGCGGGGGAAGGGGAGGGGGAAGGAGCGGAAGGAGAGGGGATTGGGGGTGGGGGGAGTGAGGAGGGGAAGGGAGGGGAAGCGGAGAAGGGGGAGGATAAAGCGGAGAGTGAGAAGGGCGGTAAGGAGAAGGAGGAGGTGGCGAGGGAGGTTGAGGCGGGGCAGTGGCGGATAAAGCAGATGGACCTGCAGGTGACCATAAAGAAGCTGCGGGAGGAGCTTAAAACGAGGACGGAGGAGCATGCGGCAGAGGTTGCTCAGCTGAAGGCTCAGGTGCAGCAGAATAGCCTAGAGGGAGGAGGAGGCGGGAAGCAAGAAATGGAGGAGAGCAGAGTAGCAGGAGGACTGGGGAGTGATCTGGCCAGTCCCACTGGTAGCGACGTGTCTACTGCTTCTGCTGGTGCCTCGGACCCTGCCGCCGCCGCTGCTGCTGCTGCTGCCTCTGCTCTCCCTCCTACCCCCTCTGCTTCGGGTTCCGCGCCAGGAACACCCGGAGCACGGGCATTGACTCGCGTGCTCTCAGGCTCGGGGGGCGAGAAAGCAGGGGCGAAGAGGATGTGGGTCATGGGGGGGAGGATGATGCCTGCCGTTGAATCTGCTGGTGCATGTGTTTCAGGAGCGGGTTCTGAAAATCAAGAGGAGGGTGGCCGGGCAGCTCCGAAAGAAAAGGATCAGTACACAGTGGGGCTGGAGGTGGAGGTCGGGCAGCTGAAAATAAAGAACGGGGATCTGAAGATGAAAGTGGACAAGCTGCAGAAGGAGACAAAAGAGCTACAGGAGCAGCTGGGGGCGGCAAAGGACGAGGTTGAAACGTGGAAGAAAGACGGCGTGCTTAAGGAGGTCCTGGAGGCGAAGGAGAGGGAGGTAGAGGCGCTTAGGAGGGAGATGGAGGAGGGGAAGAGGCAGGCGAGTGGGGCTGCGCAGCGGAAGGAGCAGGAGGAGAGCGCGGTTGCGCTTGATGTGGAGATGGGGAAGCTGCGAATGAAGAACATGGACCTCAAGAGCAAGGTGGAGAAGCTGCAGCAGCAGGTGCGCGAGCAGAAGGAGCAGCTGGGGGGACTTGGCAAGGCAGGGGCGGGTGGGGAAGGGGTGGTGCTGGCAGTGGGGGCGGGTCGGAGAAAGGGAGAGGGCCGGTGAGTAGAAGTGCCAGCTGGAAGGGAGGAGTAGGCGGCGGAGTGGTGGGGGCGGCAGGAGGAGGAGCAGGAGGCGATAGTTTGGGAGGGGACGGGGAAGTGGGCAAGCTGCGTGCGCAGGTGAAGGAAGTGGAAAGGACGAAAGCGCTTCTGGAGGAGGAAGGGAAGAGGAAGGACGAGCGGATCAAGCAATTGGAGTCCGAGGTGAAGTCCAAGGTAGTGGAGATGGGTATGCTGAAGAGGAACATGCAGAGGGTGGAAGGCGAGCTTAAGGAGATGGGGGCCACTCCTGCGAAGAAGGACGGCGGGAAAGGGAAGTGGGGGTCGGTTGGGAAGGTCGCGATGGCCGCTGCAGCAGCCACGGCTTTTGCAGCAGCAGCGGGAGGAGGGGGAGGAGGGGGAGGAGAAGGAGCGGGAGGAGGAGTAACCATGGCAAGAAGAGCGAGCGGCGGGGGAGCAGACGATCTGGTCGTGGTCCAGGACAGGCAAGGGGATGGTGAAGCAGCAGGGGTCAGCTCAGACGAGGAGGTGCAGCAGCTGCGAGCAGCACTCAAGGCCGCGGCGCACAAGGTGCAGGTGCTGCAACCGATGGCTGCGCTGAACGAGAAGCTGGTGAAGAAGCTGCAGGTTCTGGAGGAGGAAAAACGGGCTCTCCAGGACCTCCTAGAGCAGGTGCTGGAGAGGAGGAGAGGCAGGGCTGCAGGGGGAGGGGGAGGGGTGGTGGGTGGAGGAAGTGGAGCGGGAGGAGGAGGAGCGATGAGTGCGGAGGAGGAGCAGCGGCGGCAGGAGTTGCTCGAGAGGCTGAGGGCCAAGGGGCTGGTGGTGGATGATGTGGATGATCTCTGTGATGATGAGCTGGCTGATGGACCGGGGTTGGGGTTTGGGCTCTTTTCGTGCCTGTTCCAGAGCCGAGGCATGGCTCGACTCATGCGGTGAGAAATATGGGGTGATGAGAGTCCTTCATGGAAGGTAGAGGGGAAGGGGGGGGAAAGGAGAGTATGGGAAGGGAAGAGGGTTTTGGGAACGAGGGTGCCGTGCGAAACGGAGCATGAGTCATGCGTGCAAGATGCAGAGGCGGATGATGAGGCCCGGGCAAGGCCTCAAGATAGGATTTTAGGCATCCTGGCCAATCAGGGCGGGCCCCCCAAGAAACGTGTAGCCGTCAGGGCTGGTCGGATATGTTCATTCTGATTCCTCTGGGTGGTTCTCCAATTATATACTATGTACAGGCCCCCAAATTGGTTTTGGGTCTGTCTGATTCGTCAGAGTCCACTGCCTTCCCTTGGTATGGGTGTCAGAGTTGCCTCCTTGAAAAAGTCTGAAAAATCAGAGTAGCCTACAATTTTTTGTCTGACCAATCAGAGTCATAGCCAAACTTTAGTATGAGCCTTTTTTATGGTTCTTCATTAGAGAATGCACTACAATTCACTACATGCACAGAATCAGTCAATATCCTGCATATCTTGCTGCGGTGCTGTCGCCATATCATTATCATAATCTACTTTCTCCTTTCCCTTCCTGCTGCTACAAGACTCGGGGAGGGCATTGCTAAGGGGCTTCCTCTTCTTATAAGCCCGCCAGATGGTGACCACCTCTTGCCAGTCGGGGTCATACTCTAGCTGCGACATGCACATCAGATCTCCTAGCCTAGTATCCTTGAGAGCCCCCCGCAGCCAACTCTTGATGACGTTCTGGCGGGAGAACCCGCGCTCGCACTCGACAGTGCTCAACGGAAGGACAGCCACCGCCACCCACAAGTTGACCAGGTTGGGGTAGCTGTCCCTCCAGTCCTGCGTCTTTAGCATGGCGCTCAACCCCGCGTGGAATGACCTGTCCGCCTTGGGAAGCGCAGCAAGGACGGGAACGAAGTTGCGGAGCTCGCTCTGGGCTTTGCGCTTGTCTATACCTGATCAGACAAGGGCACACAACACAAGGAAACGGAGAAGGGTTGGGTTATCTGAATCACTACACAGGGTTAACGAAAAGACATGTGTCTTGTTTCATAAATATTGCGAAAGGGATACTGAAAGGAGTAAACAAATTTACCTGGCAGAATTTCGTCCTTGTCTTCAGCGCGGTAGTTGACCACGAGCGAGTTGAACCACTCGAGGCACTGCGTCCTCCGTGCGTGGCGGTCCCAGTTGGGCGGCCATGTGTCGACGCTGAACAGGCGCGCTCCCGACAGCTGCCGCAGATCGCCTAGGCGCTCGTCGAGGTTGCGGACCAGGCCCTCCGCTAGAGCCATGCACGCCACGACACTCCCATCGTGGTCGCTGGGCCCAGGGTAGTCCTCTTGGGGCTCTTTGTGCAGCTCGAAGGTGAACCGTGAAGGTCGGCCATCGGAGTCAATCCCCTCCACTGTCACTAGCTTGGACTTGCCGGGCCCGTGCTTGGCGAGGAACCGCGTCAATCGATCGTTGGGCCCGCCGGTGAAGTCGTCTCCGCAGTCTACGTAGCGGCTCTCTAGCAGCGAGGTCGTGCGGATGATCTGCGCGTGCACCGTTGTGTAGTCCAGCTGGTGGGTAGGGGGGCGAGGAAAGCTAGGGCATCACAGAGGGATGTGTGGTTAAGGGACGAGCGGCAGAGACGAGCAATATCGACATGCATGCAAAGTTGCAAACACAAGCATTAAACATATTTACCTCCCGCTGCTGAAAGACCTTGTTGAGCACGTTCAGCAGCTCGAGCACGTCGGCGAGGAACACCAGGAGGAGCCAGAAGCGGTAACTGGTGACGAGCGCGTACAGCTTGGCGTCGTACTCCTGCAGCATGACCACAATGGCTGGTAGGACCTCGACCAGGCGGATGATAGCATCTCCGCGCGACAGCCAGCGGATGTTGTGGATGCCCTGGAGCTCGAGGTTCGTCGACATGAACACCTCCTGGAGCTCCAAGAATCGTTGATGCCAAGGGTTGGAGCGACCGAGCAGCTCAGCGATCTCGCGAATGATGTTGTCAACCATGCTGAAGACAGGGATCTCCTCAGCTGCAGCCTTTGCCGCCAGCGCCTCTCTGCGTGGGATAAGGGGATGAGATGCAATGTAGGAAGCAAATTAGCGATTGGAATTATAAACAAAACAAGCAAATAAACATGACATGCATACAGCAAACGGTTGACGAACCGATGGGCAATGCAATGGCAAGAGACAAGGTGCGGAACGCGAAGACGAAGGCGGGCCACAAGTCCAGAGCGCGCTCCCATCATGACGGCAGCGCCGTCAGTGCTAATGCTAGAGATGCGGCCGAGGTCGACGCCAATCGCCTGCAGATGGGACAACAAGAGGGCGAGTAGCGATGCCGCATCCGCCTTCTCCACCGTCAACAGAGCCAGGTACTCAGTTACAAGCCGCCCTTCCCGGATGAACGTGGCAAACACGATCATGTGCTTGCCACGGCAGCGATCGGTGCTTTCGTCGAGGCTCAGGCCAATGTAGGGACTCGCCAGCAGGTGTTGGAGTTGAGTCGTCTGTAGCCATGTGGCCGTCGCTTGTGTCAGTTCGCCGAAGCCGTACCTGTTACATGACACGCACAATGCAAGTTGTTGTAAGTTTCATATCTAAAGACGAAACATAGCGCAGTTCATAGTCACTGGAGTTCTCACCAGTTATAGTACGTGCCGTAGGCAGACTTCAGGAAGCCCTTGAAACTGCGCGATGAGAGGTATCGCACCAAACGAATCCAAGTTTCCATGGGTTCGTTACACTTGGCGCAGAAGTAGAGGGAGTCGAGCAACGCGATCACTCGCTCCTTCTCTTCGTCGGCCGCGCGGAGATGCAGGTCGATCCGCCGCTGGTTAGACGCCTGTTGCAGGAGATCGTCCTGCTTGGACATGGCGAGGCGATGCTTCTGCGTTCCGGCGTGCTTCTTGAACGACTGTGTCTGCACGTCCTTTGCTCCCTTGCCCGATTTGCCGGTATGCCCTGCAGGTCCTGCATGCACTGCGCATACACTACACTTGAAGGCCGGGAGCCCATCATCAGTTTTCAAAAGCATGAGCCAAGGGAATCTTTCAGACCAGCGAGATTTGAAACGCTCTTGGGCCTCAGCATAGATGTCCTCGTTCGTTCTAGCAGTGGACCTACCGCCAGACGATTCTGGCAAGTGAGCATGTACAAAGGGGCTCGGCACAGGCTCAGGCGGATCCTGGCATGTCGACGTTGAGGCATACGGCAGAATCACCTGCCTGTACCGGAACCTCTTCGCCGCCGTCACCGACGGCGTGGTGCCGGCGACAGGAGTTGAAGCAGTGGGCAGGGGGCTTGCATCCCCAGACTTCTTGCCCGCTGCATCGGGAACAGGTGCATCGCCATCAGCAGGGGCAGCGTCACCAGGCTTCCTCTGAGGGCTACGATCTGAAGCATCCGACTACCGCAGGAACTTTAGTGCGGCCGGACCATCGTGGAAATTCTCGGCACACCAGTACTCTTCGTCTTGTTCGTCATAATCTGCCTCGTCTACGTCCTCATCGAGGTCGACCTGCTCCATGGCCTGCAGGGGCGCGGTGGGAAAACAAACGCACTGAAAGAAAACCGAGGGGCTACACGAAGCTTGGCTGAAGTTTTGCTGGAGGGGGGAGAAGCAGGGGTCGTTTTCCCCGTCAGTAAAGAACTGATGGAGAAGGAGGGGGTATGCCAGCTGCAACTCCATCGCAGCGCGCGAGATGCTGTCCATGCATGAATGAACCAGGCACTCGTCGCGTCAGCATGGGTGCGATGCCTCGTCTGCTGTGCCTCACCCAGCAAAATACCTCAGGATTGGCGAAAACAACCGTGTTTTGGTCAAGGACCAGTCGGCTGCTTGGGCTATCTCTGTGCTGGCGCCATCGCACAAAATTTGCCCCCCCGACGGCTCGGGCCGCGCCAGCGCAAATGTAATTCTGGCGTGATTGACGGTGACAACAGAGGTACCAACGCAAATCTCGCAACCCCCCCTATAATGACGGTATTACAGGAATCAGAGTCCCCCCCCCATACAAGGATGAAGCATCAGAGTACACATGTCAAAAAAGTCTGAAAAATCAGAGTAGGTACATAAAACTTCTCTGAAAAATCAGAGTAACATAGAAAAAAAAGTCTTTGGAATCAGAGTACACCCCCAAAAAAATTCTGAAAAAAGTCTGAATCAGAGTAAAAAGTCTGCAATTTGGGGGCCAGACTATGTATCAAAGTGAGAACTGAATGATAAGTAGAGAGAGAGTACAGGTGAATATACCTAAGTGTTGTACCCTCTAAGAGGTGGCCTATACAGTCTATGCAACATAGGAGATACACATGTTTGACACACCCCCTAGACTGCATAGGGGCAGGTCCTGAACAAGCAGCTCAGGGCGGCACTACTAGTCCAGCCTCTGAGACAAGGGTATAAAAGACCAGTCAGAAGGAGTACAAAGAAGGCAAGAACAAGACCAGGGCGGCACTACTAGTCCAGCCACTGGGAGAGGACACAAGTCCAGTCTGAGTACACATATAAAGGACAGTACAAAGTCAAGGCCCTAGCAAGTGAGAGGCTACAGGAACTAGACCAAGCTGTACACAGTGCCGCTGATGATCTTTAGGCGCAAGCGCCTTCGTAAAGATATCAGCTGTGTTGGCACCTGAGGCCAAGTGTACTACGCGAGCCTGGCGTCGCTGCTGTAGCTCGCGCAGGAGGAAGTACCGCAGCTGAATATGCTTCGCTCTGCCCTCGAGTCGAGGCTCCTGACACAGGAGGATCATGGCCCTGTTGTCAGCGAACAGGACCGGGCAGAGCTAGGCCGCTCACCTAAGTCAGTGAGCAAGAAGGTCAGCCAGCGGAGCTCCTGTGCCGCCATGGCACCAGCGTAGATCTCGGCCTCACAGCTGGACTGGGCAACAGACGAGGAGCGGGTAGCTCTCCACGAGACGGCACCTGAACCAAGGCTGAAGCAGTAGCCCTGGGTAGACCTGAGTGTCTCGGCGTCGTCTGCCCAAGAAGCGTCTGTGTGTCCAGTAAGGACCACTGGCCCACGTCCTCCTAGCACTAACCCCATGCCTGATGTACTAGCAAGATAACGCAAAACCCTCTTAGCGGCAGACCAGTGCTGCGGTCGGTGTCTGCCTGTGGCCACAAAGCGAGCCAGGATGCTGAGAGGGTATGCGAGATCTGGGCGAGTGCAAGTCATCAGGTACATGAGGCAACCCACCAGCTCTGCGTAGGGGCCGCTGGGCTCTACCGACTCCTCAGAAACTGGAGCAGAGAGTCTGTGGTCTACAGGCAGAGGGGTGGGCTGTGCAGAGGAGAACTGAAGGCCGAACCTCTGAAGGACCTGGCGCACCAAGTGTGACTGAGTCAGGGTGATGGTGCGCGCTGCTCTGTCCCTGGAGATCTGCAAGCCAAGGTAACGGCGCAGTTCTCCAAGGTCAGTG